TTCTTCCACAACGGCCTTATCAACAACACCCTGTTCGTTGCCAAGGATAAATCTCCCTACTCTGATGATCAGCTTCAATCGGTTCTCCTTAACCCCAAGGCCCGCGTTACCGAGGACAAGAAGACCGGTCAGCTCACGTATCCCGCCAACTTCATGGAGTTGGAGCCAGCAAAGAAGCTGCAGAAGAAGAGCGAGGAATCTCTTGAGTCGACTGTTGCCCGTGCTGCAAACCGTCTCAAGAACAGCAACACCCGTGTTGGCTTCGATCTCGAGGAAATTTCCTCCATCAACATCGACAATGAAACCTTCTTGGAACGCAACTTCACCGAGGCTGAGCTCCAGTACTGCAAGGCCCCTAGCACTGGTCGGTCGCCGCAGAAGTCGTTTGCTGGTCGCTGGAGCGCGAAGGAGGCCGTCTTTAAGTCCCTTGGTGTCACCGGCCAGGGTGCTGGTGCATCCCTGAAGGACATTGAAATTCTCTCGGATAGCAACGGGGGTCCCGTTGTGAAGGTACGTGTCTCTTGTCTCGTTTTGTTGGTCACTAGAATCAATTGCTGACATGTTCATAGTTGCATGGTGCTGCTTTGGAGGCCGCGAACGAGGCTGGCGTTTCCAAGGTCAACGTGACGCTGTCCTATTCCGACAGCCATGCTGTTGCCATTGCTACGGCTCACTTCTAGAAGAAGAAGAGAAGAAACGAGAGCGATGAGCAATGGGAACTGGTTTAGATGCTTACATATCCTTTGGTTTCAGTGGCTTTGATCCGCCGCATATCACTATTCAGCATCCATGGACTTGGCGGTTATTTGGACGGAAGGCAAGAAGTGGTGGATTACAGGAGTTATAAAATATGTTGTATTTTGCCAGCATTTGTCGGCGGCCGGGCGTATATTTTAGATGGCTGATTTAGCTAAATGGTATCGAAAGTCTGAAGGAGTGGTAAAATAGATGAGGTGACAAAAACAACGCCATTCACAAGAACAAGATTAGGAGAGACTGTGACCATTTGACCTCAAACGCTGCTACCAAGCCGCGATTTTGGCACTCGCTGTTTGGTGTTATCTTGGGCTTATCAAGACGTCATGGCAGGACGCCTTGACATGTTCAGATTGGCCAATCAGATTGATCAATCAGGTCGCAATCGGGCAAGTGATGCTGATTAAAAGGTTTAGGGGATGAGAGGTGCCAAAATCCGATGATCTCCGAGTGGTTGGACTCACTACTTGGGGGCTGGGCGAAGTGGGACCTTTTGTCAACCCCCTCTCATAAAAGAGGGGGGAAAAAAATAATGGGACAAACTTTTATTATGGGACAAGCCACATAGTAATCTACTAGTAAAGTAACCCATTGCTATAGTAAATTATTATATTACATATTAATGCAACGTCTTTAAGAGCCTAGTATATTGTCCAATTAGGTAGTAAGTAAATAAAAGACTAGGTTTTAGTCTTTTTTATTATTTTCTAGTACTAGTACAATCGCTAGTACAATCGCTAGTACGGGTATAACCTCCTATACAACCGCCTCCTATCTTACTAGCGTACTCTTTATACGTACAACCTCCTTTCGTACTTATATACGGGGTTTTATAGTACCCTTAACGAACTTTATAACCCCCTAGTATAGTATTAACTCTAGAGTTTTTAATTGTAATAAGGTAAATAAGAGGGTGGGAGTTAGTATTAAAGTTAAGGTAATTGGTATTGATAGTCTAATTCGTACGGGAGGTTTGAGCGTAGTAGGCGGGTTAAAAAGACGGTGGTTAATTAGGGGAGGGAGTATTAGTAAATCCTCTTTCCCATCCCTATCTTCTTTATTATTATTATCCCTATTGTAGATTTCCTTAAGGGTAGCTTCGTTATTGTTATTAAGAAGGGTATTTTCGTCTTCGAATATTTTATTAATTATCTATATATTAAAACGAATAATAATTTAAGAAACTGTTTTAATAATTAGAGGGTAAGGGTATAGGGGGGAGGAGGGGAGTTCTAGCGGGCGAATAATAGAGGGATTATTATTTAAAATAAGTTTAATAGAGTTATTAAATAATAAATTAAGTAGGTTACCCTATACTCTTTTATAAAACTCTAGCACTAGTATACCGTATATATCACGCACATACAATCCCCCCCCCTCCTCCTCCTTATTTAGTATATTAAATATATCCTCCTTATAAAGCGGTATATACCCTTCTTTTAATTACTCCTTCTTCTAATTATTAAAGTAAACCTTCTATATAACTTTACCCTTACTATTAATAGAGTTATTAACTTATTACTCGTATAATTACTTTTAAATCTTCTTATTCTCTAATTTAACGGTTAATATTTACTTCTTTATATTAGTAGCCTACTTTTTCTATACCTATTTTATAGTTCTCTAATTAAGCTCTCCCTTAGAGAGGGAGAAAGATTCGCCCTTTCGTAGAACTTTATATACCCGTTTCCTTATTTTGCGGTCTAAATTAGTAGCCTTCTTTCTATTTTATTAATTATATTCTTAAATAATATTATATATTAATAATCCCTCGTAAATAACGGTTTTAGTAGCGGGATAATATTAATAGGTAGGAGAATTGAAAGTATAGTAATACTTATTTTTAATATAGGTAATAACTTTTACTACTTTAGTAAAGCGGTCTTCGTTAGGGAGTATCGAGGGTAGTACGGGGTTGGATTATTTTAGTTACTTTATTTAAATTTAAAGTAAAATTCGAATCCGGTTGATTAGCTACATCCTAATATTAGAGAAACTATTAAAAATATTATATACAATTATATTACCGTCGAGGATACCTTAAAAGACCGGAGGCAATATGGTTAGTTAACTAGTAAAATCGTAAGGGCGGACGGTAGCAATTTGAATCTAACTTACCTTTAGCTCTCTAATAAAAGTAGTATAAATAAAATTATATTCGTTTTATTATACGAATTGCCTTAAAACCTTTTAGTAATAGGATTTGAATAAAGAGAATATTTTAATATTAAACGGTTGTATTATATACGTTAAATAGGGAAGTAAACCTATTAAAATAATATTAAAAGCATCGGTATACTCTTTAATATCTATATCGTAATAACCGTTAAACCTATTAATAATTAGAATATAGTAGACTAGCTTATATAACTTCCTTAACCCTACTCTATATACCAAATCTAGGATTTTCTAACTAAAAGCGTTATAGCTATACTAATCACACCCAAACTACTTAGTAAAAGAGAACCTTTCTTCTCCCAATTTATAATTATCCTCCTCCTTTAATTATATAAAAATTAGTAATAAGTAGAAGGAGTAATAATTAAAGTACTTTAACTAATTGAGGGTAAATTTTGTATTTAAAAAGCTAATCGGCGATTTAGCAAATTTAACGCCCTTATTTAAATTATTAACGAAGAAGTTTTCTATTAGGTCGGTTTTAAATATTAAGTACGCTAGTACCGCGTACCCCGCTACGCTTACTCTTACTATAAGTGTAGTAAATTCGCAATTAATAATATTATTAATTTTTAGCTTTTACTTTACCAATTCCCTCAATACAATTACCTTTACTCGCCTACCTGCTACGCAACCGAATTTTACCCCTATTTTATTATAATTCTAAATATCGCCTTTTTTAACTTCGTACTTTTTAATAATAATTTTATATTCGTTGAATTACTTATTAATAAATTCCTTATTCAATTCCTGGAACCTTCTTTTAATATTAACCGTATAGTAAATAATAGTCTTAAACTCTAAATGGTCTTTAAGGAAATTAGCTAATTATATTATATTATAGGTTTCCGGCGTACCTTACAATAAGCGTAGTCGATTTACCGCCGTAATGATTATCTAATATAGCGCTAAGAACTATCCTTAAAAGTAGAATATTACATATAATATAATAGCGCCTTCCTCGGCTTCTATTAGTATATAGAGTTTTCCTATTGGGCGTAACGAAATAGTGGGCTTCTGGAATTTACATAACGATTTAATATAATAAAAGATCGATATACGGGATTTACTAGTAATAGTAGTAATATCCCTAACGGTTAGTAGCTTCGTTGCCCTATCTCTAAGGGTTTTAAAGCACCGATGAACTTTAAAATATATACGGGCGCCGCGGTAGCTAACGGGCGCCTTACCCAACTCCTTAAAGTACTAATCGAAATTCATAGGTATTGCACAGTAAATTAACGATTTTACTATTAATCTATAGATATATATAGACTACTTACTTTTTATAGATTCACGCGATGAAACTGCACGAGTTGGGGTACGGTTTGGTTGCGAGGTTGTTGCCGATTTTACGATGCAAATGAGCGATTTTACAGGGCGTTAATAGGCAAATCTGCATGGTACCTATCGGCCTTGTCCCATAATAAAACGCTGTCCCACAATTACTTTACCCCCTCTTTAATGAAGAGGGGGGGAGAAAAGGACCCACACCAGGCCGCCCTCCAACCCCCAAGTAGTACCCGTTGGTAGGCTCGGATCGGCAGCCGGCGCTGACCGCACTTTAAAGACAGAAATCAAGGGACCGGATCCACCGATATACTCGATAACCTATCGCGTATCGGCGGTAGGCGGGTATGTAAAGAAGCAATGAGGAACACGCTGAGGTTTCTAGAGAGAATCGGCATGGTGAATGTTTCGGCTTTAATCGATGTTGATTGGTGATATGGCTCGGAAGGGGTAAGAGCCATTTGACGCTCTTATCACCACCAACCAGCCTGTTGTTTCCGACGACTAAGACAGACCTATAAAAATCATCTTCTCCCCGAACTTTTGTTCTTTGCTTCCTGGCTACTGGGGGGTTTGATGCCATTTCTCATCGCTATATGTAAGCAATAAAGAGGACACGTTGTATGAAAGCGCACACAGCAGCTCGCACCTGTCAGAGTTCGACTTGCATCTGCTTAATCGTCAGACCGTTACAGCCTTCACTTGAGCCAGACCCATCGTGTGCAAAACCGAGAATCGGGCGTCTTCTTGTCAGCCGCGCATAATAAGGGCATCATTGGCAATTGCTTCAACCAAGCAAGTCTCATCCATCCGAAAAGCCGAACCGGGACGGCTCGAACAAGCACATTGAGGGTCTGAGCGCAAGGTGCCTTAATCTGTATCCTTCACTTCCCAGCACGGTACCTACCTACATATTTTGGGGAAGTTCAAGAGATATCGGTCCTCTTGTACTACACACAACGCAGACATCATGGGTTCTCAAGAACAGACGACCCTGGCCACCCAGAATCAGCTCTTCTACGGCACCTTTGTTTACCCCAAGACCCTGACCGACCTCAAATATCTCCACAACACGGCCGTTGCCGTTGACCAGAATGGCACCATTGTTGCCATCGAGCGAGACTATGATCTCTCGCAGGCCGCCATCACTCTTTTCCCATGCCTGGGCTGGGCTCCGGACAGCGTTTCCATACACTCCTCCTTAGCTTCCCATAATCAATTCTTCTTCCCCGGCTTCATCGACACTCACCTGCATGCCCCGCAGTACCCCAATGTTGGTATCTTTGGCAAGTCCACTCTCCTCGACTGGCTCGAGACCTACACATTTCCGCTCGAGGCTTCGCTCTCGGATCCGGCCAAGGCCCGGACCGTTTACAACCGCGTTATCCGCAAGACCCTGAGCCACGGCACCACATGCGCCGCCTACTACGCCACCAAAGACGTCACTACCACCAACTTGCTCGCCGACCTGTGTCTGCGCGCCGGTCAGCGCGCCCTCGTCGGCCGTGTGTGCATGGATCAGCTGTCCCCGAAGTACTACCGCGACGCCTCGGCCGCTGATTCTGTGGCCGCCACCCGCGAATCGATCACCTACATCCAGTCCATCGATCCGACCGGCGCCATCGTCCGCCCCGTGATCACCCCGCGCTTCGCGCCTTCGTGCTCGGCGCCCCTGATGGCCGAACTAGGCAAGCTAGCGGCCGAAACGGGCCTCCCTGTTCAAACGCACATCTCGGAGAACGAAGGCGAAATTGCGCTGGTGAAGGAAATGTTCCCTGCCAAGAAGATCGGAGCGAAAGGGGACACCTACACGCACGTGTACGACACCTTTGGCCTGCTGACGGACAAGACCATCCTGGCGCACGGCGTGCACCTATCGGAAGAGGAGGTGCAAATCATCAAGGCAAGGGGAAGCAAGGTCAGTCACTGCCCGTGCAGCAACAGCGCCCTTACGAGCGGCGCGGCGCGGGTGAGGTGGCTGCTGGAGCGCGGCATTGAGGTCGGTTTGGGCACGGATATGAGCGGCGGGTATAGCCCATCAGTGTTGGAGATGGCGAGGCAGGCTGCGCTAGTCAGCCGGCATGTGGCTATGGGGTGTGCGCCGGCGGAGAAGGAGAATAAGGGTGAGAAGGAGAGTAAGGCGGGGACAGAGGGCAAGACGAATAAAGACGGTAATTCGGAGAAGGAGAGCAAGGCCAATAAGGCGAATAAGGACGGGATAGATAGGGAGAGGGCCAAGCTGACGGTGGAAGAGGTGCTGTATCTGGCTACAAAAGGAGGAGCGGAACTAGTAGGGATGAAAGGAAAGGTGGGCGGGTTTGAGGTGGGCATGGAGTGGGATGCGCAGTTGATTGGGCTGGGGAGGGATGTGGTGGATGAAGAATATGAAGGTGAGGAAAAGGAGGAGGAAGGGAATGTAGATGTGTTTGGGTGGGAAAGTTGGCCGAATAAAGTGGCCAAGTGGTTGTTTAACGGCGACGATAGGAACACGAGGAAAGTTTGGGTCAAGGGGAGGTTGGTGCATGAGAGGAAGTAGACTGGGGTATCGGGTTTTCTTCTTGGAGTCTTCTTAATTTTTCCATACATTGGATACCATGGGGATAGCATGTATTTTTTTTGGATAAAGGTATGGCATGAATCATGATTAAATGAAGTCTATGAGCTCGAATGAGCAATACAATAGATATCCCTCCCTGGTAAGACCCTCTCTTTGAGTTAGGTGGTGTTTATGTCGTTTGCTACCGTGTGCTTGTGAACTGAAGACTGCCATCCGCGGCCGAAGTGTACATAAGTACCACGTGCGCAACTACTGTAAAGGTTGACTATGTAATGACTTGAGTGACATTCCTCCTCAACGATTGATCCCTCGTGGCGCAATTGGCTAGCGCGTCAGACTGTTAATCTGGAGGCTGTAAGTTCGATCCTTACCGAGGGAGCAAAAGTTATCTTTTTGGCAATTTTCCCTTTTCCGCCTTCTGGGCATATGTTATTTCTTTTTTCGTTTTATATATTCCATCATGCCAATTCCTAGCTTGACTCGGGTACCTTCTGCTTTTTACTTTGAATCATCTTTCTGTTGTTCGTTTTCGTGTTCATACTCACGTTCTAGCCAGGCATTGCCATTAGTACAATGAGCTGTTATTATGTCTTCTTAATTCCGCATCATACATCAATAATCAAAACCATACCAAACTCCCATATCCCACTTCAGTAAGGACATACATACCTCTTTTCACCTCCAACCCCCTCCTCATGTAACCAACCACCGATCAACCGCCCACCCGGTCGTCACCGCAAACACCGTCTTGTGCAGAATATCAAGTATTTGCTCGTCGACTGGCCACGTCCATGGCGGCGCGCCCACACCCGTCCAGTTCTCCAGCGTCTGGTCAATCAGTAAGCGGACCCCGACAAAGATCAGGTCGGCAAACGGGCCCCGGATCCCGTTCCAGCTCATCAGTGCCCGAATCACGCCCGCCGCTGCTCCCTGTCCGTAGTGCATCGCCATGTTGAGTCCCCAGAGCTGCGTGTCGGTCGAGGCACGCACGGAGATGAGCCGCTCGAGGGTGCGCGCGGGCACGTATGAGTTGGGACGAGAGGTCAAGAGTTGTTCGGACTTTTCGGCAAGAGTCATCCTGGATTTGAGAAACGGTTAATTTATGAGTTGGTAGGGGAGATGTGTCTTTGGTAGATGTTGACGGAAGCTGAGGCGGGAAGAGAGTGTAAGTGCGTACATGGTGACGCCAACGAGACCGGCGCCCAGGCCGTAGAAGATTACGGAGCTGATGGGGAGAGAAGAGGTCACCCGACCAGGAGTGGTGCTTCGACCAGGACCGGACATGGTTGCGGTTGGCTTCGCCTTAGTGTTGGGTGAGGAATGCTTGTGGTTGCGATCTATTATCGTGACTGTACTACATAGATTAGGGGATGCTTTCGTTGCGTGGTACTGTAACCGTCGCGAACAGGCGCAGAGGTTGGATAATACTGCAAAAGTATGCGCCGAGAATAGTTCGATGGGCACAGATGTCTCTTGATTTCGATGATTTAATTCATGACTGGACTCAAAAGCTCCAAGAGAGACACTTTCGTGATTGGTGTATTGCTTGTGAAAAGTGACGGGAACCTCTACGGCTTTTTGCCCCACATTACCATAACAGGTTGTGATGAAGTCATCGCCAGCATTTTTGCGGGGAAGATGTCATTATGCCGGGTAAGGGATGGAGGTGAGGGATCACGCCGCATCATTTAGATTCGCGTTCGACGACCAAGGCATTCGCAAACCTTGAGAAGAACGTATTCAAGACACCACGACGGAAATCTATTGGAGACTCATATGAATGCGCTTGATGAGCCTTTTCATCGTCCCTTCGTTTGTTGGAGTCTCCGAAGGAGCGTTTGCTCCCCACGTGGAGCGTCGAAAGCATGACTTATCTGTCCCTGACAGCTCATGAACTGAATACTGGTGAGCTCCCTACGAGCCGAACCTGATGTTGGGTTCCTCCTCCAATGTATGCAAATATTCGGACGAACAAGATGAGAGGGGTCGAATATCTATCTGCCGGTGCTAAAGTTGTCCGTCTTATCGCGGATCCGGTTTATTGTTAACGCAGCTTAAACGGTGTTACTACTGGCTAAGAAACAATGGAGAGTTACTAACAAGAGTTGCTAAAAACTAACCAAGTGCCAGCTCAACCCAGAGCTACTACTGCACGTCATCACGTTGCTGTCTCCATGTCGCCGCTAGTCTCAGCCGCACACTTCGCTTAAGTTGCACCTTTGCAACACTCCCCATGTTTTGTGATTGGGGTATTGATGGCAGGCCGTTTGACGATGCTATTTTTATTCCCTTTCAATACCAACCGCCCAATCAGTGGTATGTGAAAACGCCAAAGATGCATGTGGGTGCTCCAAAAAACACAAATGCTCAACTGCGGGGATACCACATCACTCACACACTCTCTCTCTCTTCGAGGGGATGAGGACCCCGTGTGCCAATTCTTTTAACGCTTCCAGCAATGGTTTCCGACTCTGTCCTTAGTTCATCTCGACCGTCCCGGCTTGGGATGAATGTTGCAAGAATATATACCACAGAATCCGGCAATCTGGAAGTCACGTTGGCAATTTGTCGGTGCCCAAGTCACTTTTGATCTTCCATCATCTCAAGCTAATGCGGGCTGCTCCATCACAGAAGAGAAGAAGATACTCACAAGATCATTCACAAAGAAGATCCTATCCGGAAACCGAAAGAGGTGCTGCAGGGAAAAACTATCGGCGTTGTGTAACAGGGGACCTCTTTCAGCTCCCAAGCGAGACCGGAAGTTTCAAACGACTTGGCGCTCTCCTCCACGAATCGCAGCTTTTTTTTCTCCTGGTCGTGTTACCTAAACCACCCACGTCTGCCACGCAGAGCGCTCGCCAGTATGGTATTATAGGCTTTGTACTGCCGTCACTCTTCATAGCCCCCCTTTCGCAACCATCATCTAGCCATAACCGGACAGCAGGGGGTGAAGAAGGGTAGAGTCATCCCTCACGTTACACTCCGGCGTGTGCCCGAAATCGAAAGGCGGGAGGGGAGGCAACCAATTGGCGCTATGAGTGGCTTGACAATGAGGAGATTACAATGCTGCGGGCTGAAGGTGTGAAGAAAAAGATTAGAATAAGAAGGGCTGGACGGTAGGTTGCCGTGCAGCTTGCTCTTTGTTTGAATGAGAGGTGATATTACAGCTCTGTTTCTCTGTCTTCAACCAACAACCCGAATTTTGTTGTGATACGCGAACCAGTGCCCGAATTCAACCACCGAAATTTGAATAACTTGGACCTAGCCACCCATCGATATCGATATCAGATAGCCCCAAGAGGCGCGAAAGACAAGATGGCGTCGGCTCGTGGACTCACCGCTGTTGGAGTCCCTCCATTTCCATCATGGATCCTTTACATTCGGATCGCCATCGTCGTGCTGTCACTTGTTCTTCTGGGGGTTGCGGCGTGGGCTGTCTCGATGTTTGCCGGAGGAGGGTCTGCGGCTTATGGATATACGGGCGCTAGTGGGATGATGATCTTTGTGGTATGTGACTCTTTTTGTATCAGGAGTCAGCGCAAGAGCTAATGCCGGTTCCTTCAGACTATTTGGAGTCTTGTTGTTTACGGCGGCTCCCTCGGGTTCCAGTTTGGAGCGCCACACCTCTTCTATCGCATCATCGGTCTTATTCTTTACAGTCTCGCAGTGATCTTCTGGCTTGTGGGCTGGGCGTATGCGGCTAGCGAGGCAGCTGTCGCGCTCGACTGGTCTGGCGGTTACTATGGTGCAGTTCATGACTATGGCTCGGCTATGGCTGTGTGCGCTGGTCTAGGTGCCGTTGCCTGGTAAGCTTTTCCCATGTCCAAAAGGCTTTTCCTTTTTTGGTAGGGCTAACGGTCTTGCCACAGGGTCCTGTCAATCATCGATCTTGTCTTCTTCATCCTCGCTTGCGTTCGCGAAGCTACGACGCCAAAGCTCAGCCAGGCCGAACTTGGACAAGTACAGCCAACCGCCTCCGTTGCGCCCGCCACTGCTAATGAGCTTCCTCCGCAACCGGCATATTCGCAGCAGCCCTATGCGACACCATAGATGGACGATTTTGGACACTTGTATAGAATACTAGCTTATGGGACTTAAGACTTGTCACCGGGTACTACGTTGTTCTCACAGGGGATGGCTTGATGGCTATTCGCTCGCTGTGGCAACTGGGGCGTTGAATTGGGGTGCCTTGGAAGAAAGCGGTTCGATCGGAGTTTGGTGAAAGAGGAATCACCAAGAAGGTTCCCTCTTTCTATTGTCAGTTTCTAATCAATTATTTTTTTTTTTTTTTTTTTTTTTTTTTTTTTTTTTTTTTTGGGAGATACCATAGTCATCGGAAGCAGGCGCGCGATGTTGGACGATCTTATAGTGTCACTCTTACACAAAGGGTGACACTTATCTAGGGAATAATACTTGAGTAATGGCTACTTTGATATCACGACAGACACAATCCATCCTGGAAATTCGGAAATGACGACGTAAAATTCCTGAAGCGTCGTGGTTTCAAGAGCCGTCTAGAATGAAAGAAATGTTCCATGTTAGCAAAGCTTCATCTTTGATGCAAGTCACGAAGCGAGTTGGTTTTCAAATCGACGAGTGGTGGGAATCAAGTTCTTTCTGGGATGGGAGGATAAAACACACGATTACTTTGAAGGTAGGTGCGATACAAATTGCTTTCTGTAATGATGCACCAGCGAACAAGAACCGAAGACTAGAAGGCACCATTGACCACGGCTTCCCTCCTAAGTACCTTTCCAATCACAGATACACTCAAGACGTCCCGCCGTCATTCGCCAACTTGAGGCTGTACCTGCATCCGTCATGATCTGCGTGTCTCGTTTTCCCCCTCTAACTTCAATACTCTCCAACGCACAACAGATTCGCGATACTTCACCTCCTGGACACGACACTAGCCTTGTCCCACCTTCCGACAGATCCGCGGTCTCTTCATAATGTCAGCACACGAACTAGGTATTATGGAGTTCATCTCTGCTGTCCCTCTCTGGCCGAATCCTCTGGAGGTCACTAACCCGTTGGCGTGCGTCAAGCAGCTCCATCCAGCGCATATCTTCAGCTATGTGTCGAGAGACTACTATATAACAGACAAGCTACGTCCTCCAAGTCATAATATGTTGATCAATACTTTTCGGCACTTTGTTGCCACCTCAACATACACACCCCAAGGTTACCATCACATTAGACTAGCAAACACAACAAGCATCAGCCACAAAACCGCTATATTGTCTCTCCAACGTCGACACCTGTCAAGTTAATCAATCTTCAGAATCTACTGATAAGGGCTCCCTATACCACGAAAGAGAGGGACGACGTTGAACATGTGCTACACGTGAAAGCAGGGTGGAAGAGTTACCCATGTGTGTGACTACCATGCCTTGTCATTTTCCTATCCCTTCCCAGCAGACCAGGAGGATTGATGGAGCGATATTGCAATCTAACACTGCAGATATGCTGTACGACGTTACTGTGTACCATGACGACAAATTCATTGCCCGCTCATGTTAATGACCTATCCGCTCGTCCCTTACCCAAGGGGCACGCAGGGGCGAGGCACGGGTACTTGTGCACGCCCAATCATGGAGGTACGTCCAATGGTCTTTTCCATACATCCACCCTCCTTGTCCCGTCAAAGCCCGTAGTAGTCTTCCTTGTATCCATCTAGGCGCGGAAATCAAAAGCCCCCGCAGCCAAAAACAACCTCTCTTTCCCATCTACTTGCCAAAAAAAACGCCTCGCTGTGAAGTGGTATCCTGTTGTGTGTAAATGCAATGAGAGCGAAAACCGAAACCAAATTCCTCCCGATCGAACGACCCTCCCCAGGCTAATCAGTAGAACTGGTTGAACTGATCCGTCTGCTGACCATATGATCCGTGATAATTTCCTTGGTTCTGATCGCCAGAACTTTGCTCGCCCGTCTCCATAAACATATTACCCATTTCTGGACTCAGGTGAAGATCGGCAAAGCAAATACTCGGCGAGAGTGGTTGAGACGTGTTGGTCAGTACCGCATCGTGGCCCGTTCCTGGCAGATGATCGTCACTACTTACAAAGTGTGACTCTCCAGTGAAGTCGACACTCTCGCCTGGCCAGGGATACTCATTGAAGTTGCCAGCGGAAACCGCATCCGGATTTCCAGAAGCATTGGAATAATCAGGAAAGCTAGGTTCTCCCTGGGCCTGGCACCACTGAGCGAAACTGGGATTTGTAGGATGATTGGGGTTGGCCTGCTGTTGCTGACTTTGATGGTGATATCCGTCGAATGTTGGCACAGGAAGACCATCAAGTTGGGCGTCCTTAGGCTGCTCCAATTTGGCCTCAATTGGGTTCTGGTCCATCTCCATCACAATCTGAGGATTCTCAAGACAGGATCGCACCGGCCATGACGCTGCAAGTTCCTCGAGCGTACGTTCCTTCCGGCCTTGCGAGGCCATTTTCTGGAGTCGCTGGGGAAGATGAGCAGTCTCCGGCACAGGAGGCCTATAGGGTAAATTCGTACCATTGCCCTGGAGAGCAGACCGGCCCGCATTGTTGCCCGGTTGTCCAGAGACCCTTGCCTGGTACCGGCCCACTACGTTTCCCAGTGATTGTCGGTTATGTTGAACCTCCCAAAGCTTGTGTTGCAGTTCCTGCATTTTCTTCTCCATATCCTGCAACTCCTCGGCGTACTTGTCCTCCTGTTTGACTGTCTTTTCGTACTTATCCTTTGCGTCCTGTAACGCCTTGGCTTCCTCTGTCTGTTGTGCTGATCCCGTTGTCTTGCCGACCTGTAGGGCCACCGACTCAGCGAAGTCGAGTCCGAGCGGGACGAGCTCGCCACTCTCTACCGCGGTCTCGAGCTTCTTGCGGTATTCTTGTGTGTCGACATCCTGACCTACAGGGATTGGCTTTCGGATCCAGATGGGCGGGTCAGGGGGAAGATCGCCTCCCAGACCATGATCAATCAGTTTCTGCGTGGCCTCCTTGTACATTTTATAAAAGAGTTTGAAGTTGTACTCATATCCCGTAACGGCATTGTCCAGTTCGACAACGTAAAGGGCCTTGCGAATACGGGAGCGTTTTGCCGACTGGTTGTTGCGTGCACGCTCTCCTTCATACTTGGCATCAGCATCGCTCTGCAGGGGCGTCGGTTCAGGAAAGGGCGATGGAGTGTCTGCCGGCGTGGAGACAAACGGAATGTTTGGATTCATGTTGTTGTTGTCTGGGTCGAGGGAACGTCTCAAAAGGGACTTCTTTGCTCGTCCGCCCTTGGCAGAGGCTTTGGTCGTTCGCTTGTTTACTCCCGAGCCTGGTCGTGGACCGAGTGGTCCACTCTTTCCACCCTGCCGTGGCTGACCTTCGCCTCCGTCTTCCTGGTCCCGATAATCGGGAGTTCCTTGGTTCGCTGTCGTCATCCACCACCTACTGGTCGCTACATGCACGACGGGCGTTCGGGGGCTACCTAAGGACTACTTTGTTACTGCTTGTTAGTTTCTCCACGGAGGTCAAGAGCGTGCAGTATGCTGGCTGGCCTTGTACAGTGGATACTGAAGGCTCGAAAAAAAAAAAAGGGCTTGGGTACTATGGAGTAGAAAAGGAAGAAGGAAGTAGTAGCATACGAAATTTGGCTTGATTTGTCAAGGACGACAAGTCCGGCCACAAGCTCCAACGATGTTTGTGCGCAACCGCGACTGTTACGTCCTCTTGATGATATCCCGTGTAGGGAACCGTATACAGCGTATACAGCTCGGCTGTTGGAAGGTAAGAGTGGATATGGTCGTGCAAAACGGAGTACCGTTACGTGTTGTCCTGCCTTGTCAAAGAATGGGATGCTAATCTTGGCTGTGTATGTGTGTGTGTGTGTGTGTCGTGGATTTCCCCGTATTCTGCTACTGTGTGTGGGTATGGCCGACGACAACCGTGATGGCGATGGTAGTTCGTGTCGGGATCCGATATCTCCAAATCTGATCCTGCCTTCAGTTGTTTAGAATATTGTTCCTTATCCGGCCAAAGAGGGGAACAATTTCCTCAATTAAATACCCCTTGGAGGAATAGATTTGTGGCTCACGTCTGCAGCCTGCTATGGCCCATCCACCGGGATATATCGCAATTGACGAGCCCCCACTAATTTGTGTTTGAAGGGGGGCTGAGTCAACCCCTTTTAACCCGTTGCTTTTCGTTGATGTAGGATGCGTGCGTGCGTCGATGGGCGAAGTGATGGCCGTAATGATACCACCAACCACAACCTTCGTTGGGAAAAACGACGGGGGGCCTCGAAGGGGACAAAATACCAGCGATTGAAGGCGCGCTCGTTTGCATGTATGCTTCACTCGTCGGGCTATGGGTTATTCACTCGGCGGCGGTCGGTGTTCGATATGGAAATTTCTTCTTGTCCAACAGGTAGGTGGTGATAAAAGGGGGTAGCGGTCCGGTTCGACTTGCACGGCTAGGTGACTAGTGAGCACGAACGATGGGGTAATGGGACAAGATAGGGCTGGGTGAAGTGGCGGATATTTTGCCCCTTTTGTTCGTTACTTGGTTGTGCGCCTACCCCGTTCGTTCGGTTTTCCCTACTCGCTTGTTGGTGAAGTTGATGACTGTGTTTTTGACCGGATTAGTATTTCTCTGGTTGGTACTGTAGATCAAAGGTCACTTCACGGATATCCGTATTTTCTCTCTTGCGTGCTCCGCCGTTACACGCGGGACGGGTGGAATTTTGGTTGGTGTAAGGGAAGTGGCTAGTAGTGAGTGAGAGACTGCGATTGTGTGTGATGAACTAAAAGTTACAGGGGCCAGGATAACGTTAAGAAGGAAAAGTACGATGAGCGGGGAATGAAAAAAGGTTGTTGAAAGAAGGGTAATGAGATCAGGAAGGAAGAAGGAAAGGAAAGAATATTAGAGGTGAGTTAGCCGCACCACGTACACGCGCTTCTTCCTTGTGTCCCTTGTTTCGTTTGTAAGAGGGTAATGTGGCTGTACGGCGCTTGTGAAGTGCGTAGAAGTCAAGAGGTTTGATGTGGTGAGTAGGACGTAGGGTTCCTACTTAGGTTTCTACTCCTTACTCTGGTGGAAGTGGGAGTGCCTAGTTTGTTTGCTTCCGGCCAGTGATTCGCTCCGCTATTTTAATAGACTGGCAGGAGGCTGGCTGGTGTCCGGTTGTTCGTATTGCCCTTACGGGTATGTAGATAGACAGCAGTAGCAGTAGGTGATAGGTCGGCAGACTAACCTTGATAATGCTCAAGCTGCGTGTCTGTCTGTGGAATGCGTGTGTGTGCTGTTCAACTGTGACGATGGCATGAGCTTGTGTCGTCTGTCCTCTGTCCTCCTGTCCGCACACCGTCTGTTGTCCCTGATGGCCTATGCTGGGTCACCTGTGTTGAGGGTGGCGCCGTCTTTATTCAGCACCGCCGCCTGTGTTTTTCTGTGAGTCTTCTAAAGTTAGTCTCTTTTTGTTCGTCCGGATGAGCAGCCACCAGATTTTATCATGGTTGTATATGATTTTGCCTTCCCCTTTCTCTTACGCCTTGTACTCTTCTCCTGGTGCCTTTCAGTAAAGGCCGAAAACGGATGTCACGTCACGCCGGCACGTGGGGGTGCCAGGTGCGAGAGCGGAGGGTGGCGAGTGAAGGAAGCTTGGTGAGGTTGAATGTTCCCTGCTCTGCTCTGTGCAATGATCCCACCGAAATGAATCCGATGTTGTCTGAGGAAACTATTCGTGGCAAGGGAGTCTTCAAGTATACTACTCACAAGGTCTCAATGGCTTATTGGTTGATAATTCCCGACTGGTTGGTAAACCCGGGGCCAGGGTCAGTTTTTGTAGACGAGTTACTTTGTTTGGTGTAAGCCAGTATGAGCACCAGGTCTCGAGCCAAGCGTACTTGGGTTTGGCTTGGTAAGAGCGGACGAGCAACGTTGAGCACGGTTTTCTAGAATTGTTGGAGATAGCGAGTGCGGTCGAATGACCGGTATGAGTCCAGATTGCACAGAGAGTGTTGTTTCGAGATATCGAGGGATTGTTGCTCAGGTCAGTAGAAATGATCACATGTACACCTTATCTTCGAAAGGTTATGAGTTGTTCGAAAGTCAAATCTCGGCTGCGCAAAGTTAGAAGGCATGACTTTTGCTGCAAACGTCTCGTTGGATCAGTGTTTTTTCAAGAAACGATAATCCGGCAAGGTTTAAATGCTTGACTCAGGCACGAACGCAGGTAGCCAAAGATCGTCCTCGTGCAAGGACGAGAACCGGAGCAAAGGAGGGAAACGCCCAAAAAGCGGTGCATGATTTGAAGTTCAAAGTATTTCACATGCCTCCAACAGCCAGCCAGCCGGCTATCCCACCTGTCAATCTAACAGAATGACACCTAGAACTGAGTGAAGTGTACGGCAAACGAAACCACATGACACCAACGGGGCGATGTTTTGCGGCGATGCCGGGCGGTGCCGATGAACTTCAGACGGATATCATAGAACGAGGAGACTCCCTCTTGCGAGCAGGGGCCCTAGGCAACAGTCATGTGGTTGATGTTGAACCCCGTTCGTCCAGGCTCGGGGCTTTCTGAATCTCCCCGACCACTTGGTCATTGATAATCTGACAACCGTGTCCCGGAGGCCTGATGATATGGGATGAAGCTGCTCCTTATGCTCAGTTTTCCCTCATTTTCCGCCTTATCAACAAAGTCTGTCGTGGGAAGGGCCCAAGGCTTGGTTAGGGAGGCGAAATATGGAAGCATATGGTGAGGGATTGGCAAAGCAAACCGAGCGAGCAAAAGCTCCAGCCGCGCGATCCAACCTTGTTGGGGGTTTGATGGAATGTATGCACCTCTGGCGTACTCGAGACTAGAACCGCGGCAGGGTTGCTGATAACATTTGTCAAGATTTGACAGCCTTGCCACTTGACGGTCAAGCACCGGGTGAGTTGGCAGGATCAGATGGCTAAGGGCCCAGCCACTGACGATATGATGAGCATTCTTTTCGTGACATGGCCCAAGAAGAGACGGAAACCGTAACTCCAGGACAACTTTGCCAGGCACCACCTCTCTAGACTGCTCCAAGCGGACGCCTCGCTAGATCACACGAGAAGCAGGCTCGAAAGTCGCATCATGGGGTAATTCGAAAGTGCTCAGCTCCCCAATCGATCCTGATGTATCGTGTTAGAGTCTCTTAGTTTCTTGGGAATAAGTCGCCTTACTTTACCATATATTACACAACACTCTTGGTCCTCCTAGAATAACCAGGTGTTGACAACCAAGGTTGCGGGCCTAGCTTGGCTGCGAAGTCCGAGGCGTAGCTGGTGCGGAAATTGATGGGGTGATGTGTATAGCATCAAGTACCAAGTCAGTAATGTCAGATCTCCCCTCGACGATCATTTCATCGGGGTTTCTCTGTCCTGCTTTGGCCAAACGCTGGACAGGAGTGTCGTGAAAGAGCAGTCCGCTGTTGGTTGTGCCGGCATGCTGCTGGGCATAAGGAAGACCCTACCCATTGCCCCATTGATCTCAAACTAAGAAAAGGCTACCAAGATGTGAAGAGAGACTGGAAGTTGAAGAAAGGGTGAAAAGGCTAGAGGCACTACATCATCGCGCTTCGATACATGCTGCTGTCTCCTTATCGCCGATAAGAACCGAAAGGTCAAGTGGTACCTCTTTCCGTAGAGGTAATGGTACAAGTACCTTGCTAACTGCTTGTTTATACACTCTCGCTTTGATACCTACGTTTTTACCTGTTAAACTAATTAATTCCCTCAGACTGTCTGGCACCAAATCTCCTATGTTTCACGCTTAAGAAAATCATATTCCGTTACTCCAGAGCTCTCCAACCGATAAAGGGGCTCCTGGTAGAACAGATATGCACAGACCCATGGATGCCAAGACCCATGAACAGCGTTCTTTAATTGAGACGCGGTTGCTCGCAAATTCACTAGCAAAGACGCGTCTGATAGCTGGGCTTCCCCATAATCACCCAGTGAACGATAGGGCAATGCGAGCTTCACCTTCTTCTTTGCTTTTTACGAGAGTTTGATTTCGGCGAACTATCCCTTGATCAGTATCCTTTTCGCATTCAAAAATTCAAAATTGGCCGAATCAACGATGCTACCGCCCTCGTCACCCATCGCATTCCCCTCCAGCCCTCCGCCCCCAACCGCAAAACGACCTCGCGACTCCGATGGCCCCAAGTCCGCAAAACCCCGTGCTCTGGGTGGCTTCCTGGCCGACGATGACTCCGAATCTGACGACGATGACAATGTCTCTCTGGAACGATCCCGTAAGCGACGAATGCTACAGCACGATATCCAGACAGATACCCAGACAACCGAGCCCCCGCTTCTCAGCCAGCTAGCGATCGATGAAGACCCCGAGGAAGAAACCGAACGTTACGAGCGCCTATTCGGTACAAGAACAACAGCCTCGGCACTCCCTACGACTCTGCTCAGCGACTTCCTCAACACACCGTCCTACCGCATCTCGACATGTTCCGGCAAATCTATCCCTCTCCGGGAGCGCAAACCGACAACACCAGTCTCCTACGAGACAATGGTCGCAGCAAGATCGCGAACGAAAGAAGGCCGAGCCAAGAAGAGCTATTACGGAATTGACATCCACGAACTTATCGACAAGGCAACAAAGGAGATTGCCGAGGCGCACAAAGCAGCCGCCACGGCTCCCATCGCCCCTCCAACAAACCCAGACAGACCTGTACGATCGGTCGAAGAACACACAACAAACACCAAGAAGCACAAAAAGAGCCTATTATGGACAGAAAAATACCGTGCCCGAACATTCATGGACCTCGTCGGCGATGACTTGACCAATAGGCAGGTACTTCGCTGGCTCAAGCGATGGGATCCAATAGTATTTCCGCATTCCGCGAAAAGTAACCCTTCACGGCGACGTGGCGCACAAGGGCAGCAGCAGCAGCCAGAGGAGGAAAAGCCACACCGAAAAATCCTCATGTTGACGGGCCCGCCGGGTTTGGGGAAAACGACACTAGCACATGTATGCGCGCGACAAGCCGGCTATGAGGTTATGGAGATCAATGCCAGTGACGAGCGAAGCAAGGATGTGGTCAAAGGGCGCATCCGGACAAGTCTCGGAACCGAGTCAGTCAAGACGGTAGAAAACAAGAAGCCCGAGACGGGGAAACAGCAGAAGATCGCTCGACCGGTATGCGTGGTAGTTGATGAAGTCGATGGTGTCGTTAGTGGCTCGGGAGGGTCTGGCGAGGGCGGTTTCGTCAAAGCCTTGATCGACCTGGTGCTCCTTGACCAAAAAAACAGTTCTGGGGCCGGGGCCTCTTCTGCGGCTGGCCGGAAAAAGAAGAAGGGGGATGACTTCAGACAGATGAGACCTCTTATCCTGATCTGTAACGATGTTTATCACCCATCGCTTCGGCCGCTACGCCAATCAGGCCTCGCTGAAATCATTCATGTAGGCAAGCCCTCCGTAGAGGCAGTGGTCACTCGTCTCAAGACGGTCTTTGAGAAGGAGGGTATCCCATGCGAAAAGGATGCTGCGCGCAAGCTCTGTGAGGCCGCATGGGGAATGACTAGTGGTATCGATGCCAAGCGAGGAGCCGAGGGCAATGCCGAGGGTGATCTCCGCGGCATTATGGTCGTAGGAGAGTGGGTTGCCGGCAGGTTACGAGCAACCATTACCAGCACGCCGGTTCTTACAAGGCAGTGGATTGACCAGAATATCGTCCATGATCTCGCTCACGGTGGTGGAGGTGCCCGCGGTCTAGGTCGCGGTGGCGTCAAAGAGATTGTGAACCGTATTTTCCAGGAAGGCGGTGGCTTCCCCACGCCACTTCTATCACAAGCTGAGCAACCAAAGTATGCAAAGCACGAACAACCACAGACACAGCTCGGTTTTTCAGAGCAGCGAAAGAAGTACGCGATGGCGCGGTTAAGGGAGATGATTGACACGAGCGGCGAGGTCGACCGTATCATGACCGAGATCTTCAGCGAGTATCCCAACCGCGAGTTCAATGACGACTCTTTCCTCACCAAGCCTGACTCGGCGTATGAGTGGATGCACTTCCACGATACATGTTCAACGAGGCTGTACTCCAGCCAGGAATGGGAGTTAGGCCAATACATCTCCCAGCCACCGTTAGCATGTCATCACTTGTTCGCCTCCCCTAAACGACATCAGCCTCAGAACACCGAAAGGAAATGGGGTGACATGATGGAAGAAGCCGAAGCACCTCCGTTGCCCTTTAGCGGCCCAAGAGCAAACTTTGAGGCACACGAGGCCGAGAAGGTGAACAGAGCAGCGTTGCAGGGACTACAAGGGCAACTACCTCCTAGTCTTTACCGTCTGTTCCGTAGCCCCGAGGATATCTCCACGTATTTCCTGCCATATCTAGTTCGTCTGGTATCTCCCGATGTGAAGCCCGTCGTAGTCGGTGGCAGCGACAAGAGCGGGGCGGTAGCGAGTGTGAGGAGGGAAGGCGAGAAGGCTATGGTCAGGAGAGCGGCTCAAATACTAGCTGAGGTTGGCATCGCTTTGCAAAAGGGCAAGATTGAGCCGGATCCAGCAGTTGGGCAACAGTACCGGACACAATGGGTTTATCGCATGGAACCGTGAGTACACAATCGCTTTTTTTTTGTTTCTTTCTAACTGATACTGACTTGGTGTTCAACCAAACAGAGACCTCGACACGCTCGCAACCTTTGAGACAGCGGGCGCCCTCGTCCTAGCCTCCCAAGCGCCAACGCGATATGCAGTCCGCCAAGTTCTAGACCAAGAGCTGCAAAAGACCATCGCAATACGCGAGAACGCCGCCAGGCAAGCGCGCATGAACAACGGGCAGACTGCTAACTCTACCTTCAAGCCTCACGCGGCTGCTGCTCTCAGCGCCATGGACTTTAACGCTAACAAGGAAAATACGGCAATGGTGGCCGATCAAAAGGAAGTCAAAAGAGACTTCTTTGGCCGGGTGATTGTGTTGGGTGAGAAGAACGGGAATGCTACCGCTGCCGCTGGCGGGGGCGATGGTAAGGAAAGCAAGAGGAAGGGGAGAAGCGACGTGGCTGGTGATGAGAAGGACATCAGGGTGTGGGTCACCTATCACGAAGGGATCAATAATGCTGTTCGGAAACCGATCTCGTTGGAGGAGTTCATGAGAGGATTCTGATGTTATTGGGTTTGCGCGAATCTTGGAGAGGGTCGCTGCTGCCCCTTTAGATCAACTACACGACATGCTGTGGTTGACAGGTAGTATTCTTAGCAATGCAGACGCGCTGGCATTCCCTTCTTGGATCTCTCTTCTCCTCTCCTTTCATCAGCTGACGTGGTTTTGGGCTAGTAAGGCTTGAACCGAGTTGGGGCCCTTTTAGGCTGCTTTTTGCTCTCTCGTAATTTGTTTTTATAATTCCCTTTTCCCGGTTTTGTGTTCATCGTAATTATTTTTGTCTGTTGCTTTTCCCCATTTTCCGTTGTTATTGTTATTGTGAGCTACGGCCAACGTCGCATCCCTGTCAAGAGATGCATCTGGGCCCTGGCAAGCCTGGGTATGACGCTGTTCGCGCAGCCCAAACAGTGGCCCCCTTCTTCCCGGTATTCAGTGACAGCGAGGCTCGCGGGCGGAAAACAACAACCGCCTTCGTCATCCATCCAACTATTTACATCCGACAACCCCTTTGAATCGCCGTTTTCTTCCTAGTATACCTTCTTTGTTCCGACTCTTCGCCACACACACAAGACTCTCACCAGACGTTATGCATGTGGTCGACATGGATTCGGCAATGTCGCCTAACTGCCCGTGCCAGGATGGCCCACTTGCAAAAGCAAACAGTGCCGTCCATGTGACACCTCACCAGCTCTGCGATCGGTGCTCAACAGTCGTGCGAAAATCTGCAGTTCTCCAAGAATGCTTCCGTCGCCTGGATGAAGGCGATCAGCGCAGACAAGACTGGCGCCGATGCGAGATCTTTTACCACAGCCAAGGCGTGGACGAGCTAGCCAAGTCGAGCCAGGCTGGCTGTCATATGTGCACCATAGTACATGGATCTATGGCAAAGTCGGCGGCTCAAATACGCGAGCATGGGCCTGTACTGGTGAAAGTAGGCATCGAGCCGTTGCAGGACGAGATCATTGATAATGATAGCTTGTCTATGCGCTTCGGCATTCTCACAGTTGAGAAATGGAAATACTATCGAGTTCAAGCCGGGTGGAAGGAGGAAGATGGGACAGCTCTCATATACACTGGAGGGCCCTTGGAGGCCGACCACTTGTTTCGCTACGGTTGCACTCGCCAACTGACTGTCAACCTTTCCATTCTTTTGCTCAACGGTAAGGCAAATGCTACACTCATCCAAATCATCCATCTTGACAAGTTTTTAACCGACATGACAGACACACATTTTCTTCTTCCCAAGGAGGCAAGGGGATATCACTTGTCTCGCGGGCCATCAACAGACGCCCCCGAGACCTTTGAATTTGCACGATACTGGCTGCGGGAATGCATCACAAACCATGATGAATGCAATGAACATGGACCCGAGATTTCGAGATCTGATGAGCTTCCGACCCGGCTGATAGACATCGGGGGAGGTCCTGGGCAGCTGGAACCTCGCCTTTTCTACCCCTCGGCTTCCGCATCTTCACCCGACCTACAATACCTGACAGTCAGCCACTCATGGCACGCAACTGGAGTGACCGAGAAGCTCACGACCGAAAATGAGAGCCAATGGCTGCAAGGCATCCCGATAGAGAAGCTCTCCCCGAATTTCCGCGATGCGATGACGATAACACGGCGACTTGGTTATCGCTATCTGTGGATTGACTCGTTGTGCATCCTTCAAGACTCTCGGGAGGACTGGGAGAGAGAAGTACCCACCATGACCAACGTATACGGGCACTCGACTTGCAACATTGCCATGGTTGGACAAGCCGGGGACGAGGGTTGTTTCCGGGAAAGAAATCCTCTGGTAGCCTTTCCTTGCCGACTGCACGAGGCAGATGGTAAACAAAGCCGCCTCTATGCTTTCATCGAAGGATCAAACCGGAAGTTCAGTCGAGGCCCTGAAGAGATAGTGGGATCCTTTCCTCTTCTCAAAAGAGGTTGGGTAGTCCAAGAGGCTCTGTTGTCGCCCCGAACAATCTTTTTCGGCGATCACGAGGTGTACTTCCATTGCACAAAACAAACAATGTCTGAATCCTGGCCCGTGGCGCTTGACCCGCATATCCGCCATTTCAATCCCAGATTTTTGGGATTCAGCAAAGTCAGAGGGTTCCGGGAATTCGGCCAAATCTTCGAACAGAGTTGGAAGGAAAAGTTCAAGGGGATTCAATTCGACATCAAGGATGAGCGAAGGGCAGCCATGGCGGCAAAGAGCTTCCTGAAACGCAGTCGACAGCTGCGTGCCATCTGGAACCGGTTTTTGCTATACTATACCGACACCAATTTGACATACACCACTGACCGACTGGCGGCGATTATTGGAATTGCGGACGCCGTCGAAAACTATACGGGGCTCACATACATTCCCCAAGCCGGCGCTTTCAAGGAATTTTTGCCTCTTGATCTTCTCTGGTACAGGAACTTCCGTTCCGTTGACCTTCTCTGGCGCAAGTCACCCACGGGAACGAAGGCCCCTTCGTGGTCTTGGGCTGCAAATGAGGGCGATGTGCTATTCGACGAGAAGTCGTGGCTGGAGGGCTCACACGACGATTTTGAGTACATGGGTCTACTCCTTGACGTGTCAGTTCCGCCTGCAGCCTCGACCTTGTCACCAGGCATGGGGTCGGAAGTGGTCATCAAGCTGAAGACCCTCGTCAACCGGCAGACCGCGCTTGGGTTGGGAGTTCGAGAGCCCCCAGGTTTCTGGGTGGAGTACCTTCCCAAAGCGCGTCTTCAGGTTGTGCTTGATGAGCCCGTCGCAGATGGAACTACCATCTTTTTCATCGTTGTGCTGCGGACACGCACGTGGAACAACTCTGGCTATGACAAACATGTGTCAGGGTTGATTCTGGTGCCAAAGGATCCGACAAGTGAGGAAGATCCTCGAAAGGCGTTGCATAGACGTGTGGGATTCTTCCGTATTGCTGAGCCGGCGAACGTTGGTGGTATCCTCGATTTCTTTGCGGGTTGTCCAAAGAGGGAAATTTGCATTTGTTGAAGCCACGATACCACCATAGATCATTAACATTGGAGGAGTTCATTTTGTCGGATAGATAACAACAGACTAAGAAAGCATAGCATTGATGTTCCTTCTCCATTCACAAAACTCGGTCATCTCCTCGGCATACTACAGTGACCTTGTTGCGTCCCGTCTAGCTTCGCGAAAGAATACGTAACGAGTGGTATCTGGTATCACCTTCCGTCTACTTCCATCCATATTCATCATAGTGCCCATGCATCCACCACGACCTGATTACTAACAAAGCAGCAAGGCAATGACCCTGAAAATCTTTATGACGACCCTTGAACCCATCAAGATCCACACCACCAGAAACCGCCCCACAACACATTTCAGGTATTCTCTTTGCACATCGGCTACATAGGCTTTACTTTCAAGCCCACTTCCAACAACAAATCGGACCATATCAGTTCAATCGGGTATGGTGTAGCGGTAACATCGTTGACTCTCACTTCTTAGGAGTGACTGCTCTCTCAACAGCCCCGGGTTCGACTCCCGGTATCCGAGTCTCAATATCTTTTTTCTTGTATCGACATGTACTTCTTTTTTTTTTTTTTTTTTTTTGTGACAACGTTGTTTTCAAGATGCTTTCTCTTCTTGTCAATTGTGCGTGTGCTATTGATTATGTCCTCGCTACCCTTTTTTTTCTTCTTCTCCTTTCTTTTTTCCTGCTCAGGGACGTAAAAGAAGATGGCGAGTTGCAACATGATGTTCAATATTTGTCTCGTTATCCATGGTTAAATTCATTACCTGTAAAGCGAAGACAATGCTTTGTCATTCAACTGTCGTAGAATCGCAGGGTCCAACCTAGTTCAAGCGCTATTCTTTTCTCGAGTGATGAGCGTTGTCAGCTGAGAGTAAAAAAAAGGACTATTACAATGTCATTTCGACTTTATTTCCTTCTCTTGACAGGTTAACACAACAAACTCTTTGACTCCCCAACACTTTTATAATATCGAAAAAGAAAGTGTCAGAACAAAAACAGTTCGACTTGGGGGCTCATCACTGCAGAACCCCTGCGTATTACACACATTGAATACCACTGGCAGATCGTACAGAAGAGAATTTGAAGCCAAGATCAAAAAAGATACTGTCCCTGAGAAATCGTCATCGTTCAAAGAGGCAATGGAAAAAAAAAAAATTGCAAAAAGAACAGTATTATGCGCCAGCCGCGAATCGAACGCGGGGCCCATCGATGGCAACGATGGATTTTACCACTAAACCACTGGCGCTTCTTGATGTCAAACTGAGTCAAATCTAGACTCTATGTACCCACCTACTTCAAGGAAGCACTCCTCTCTCCCTTACGGCAACCGAACGATTGGACAAGAGCTTCACAAAAGATGAAATGGATATGACTGGATTAAAAAACAGCCAAGATACTGGGTATAAGTATGCTTACATGACTACTCTGGGTAACCTCCATGAAACAATCGGCGCGTTATACCGCTGCGCCGGAAACCCCAAGTATTCGGCAGGGACAAGATGCAACATCAAGTTTCGAAAAAAAAAATCCCACAACCCCAACCCCTGTAAATGCAAACAAAAACAAACATCCGCCCTCCGCCATACCTACCTCTGTCATGACACCATACTCCAAAGCATATAAACGTGGGATACGCACAATCACGGGCGAACCTTACATCGCTCTCCAACCAAACAAAAGTCCACCTCCTCTCCATGCCTCGCATCGAAGACCGCCGTGCTAAAAACGGTGGCACTAGGGTCACCACCGCTACTATCACTACTACTATGACGGCTAGTGACAGCATCGTCTCGTCTTCTTGCCACCTTTGTGGCCTCCTTCACCCTCTCGCCATCCCCGTCCGTGTCGTTCTCGTACTCCGTCTCGTTAGCCACTATCCCCGACAACGGCCCAGAAAACGTCGTAGCCCCCCGAAGGGGTATTAATCGGCCCTCATCATCATGCTCACACAACCCACCCAAGCTCGGACAGTACGGCAGAGCGATATGATCGATACCGAGCATTTCCGTCGAGAGTTCGAGAGTGAAGATGATTTCTCCTAGTCCTACTGCGGACTGAGGCTCATGTTGTGAAAAGTTTTGTTCCTCGTCCTGGGCTTGGGAGGTGCGGTTCGGGTTGCGAGGAAGCTGGTTCTTTTCGGCCGTTTCGTCGTGCTGGACCAGCAGGGCGATGTCCATGTCTTCTTTTGCGTAGTAAGCGAGATGGTGGACTCGGGGTGGGTCGCTCGTGCAGTATTTGAGAGTGGGAAGTTCTACTTCGGGCGACCAGTCGTTGGGTTCATCCTCCCCGTAGTCGGTGTCGGTATTGGTGTCGGTGTCATCGTCATCCTCGGGGTCGGTCAACGATTTGAGATCGAGCAGCGTCATGTTGAGACAGCCTCCCGGCGCTTCCGCGCTCGCCTGGCTGCGGTCTAGAATGGTGAAGTCGAGCCGTTCGCCGGCCTTTGCTGAGTAAGAGAAGATTTTCTTGGGAAACTCGGTGCTGAGAATATCGGCGATGGCCATGCCCGGGGTAACGGGTATGGGAAGCGGTTCGCCCTCATCTGTGTCGCCGGCACCCGAGCCGTCGGTGACGGTGAGACCTCGATTCGTGACAAAATCGATGAAGTCTTTGGCAGTCTGCTTGCCGCGGCGCGTGCTGCTAAGGAAGGAGAAGGTCCCTCCTGTTTTGAGCACGGAGGAGATGGCCCCTTTACCGGGATGACACTCGGTTGATGCATTAGTGTGAGTGAAAGACTGAAGTGGCAGAAGGGGCGGGTTGATGCACCCATAGTGCACGCGGATACCCTCTCCTGATGCCCTCTCAATCTGCTGCAGTATTTCATGGACATCGTCTTCATCCTCAGCGCCAGCAGTGAGCAGGAGGACGGCACCTCGTTCGTTGTGCTCTCCATCCGGTTTTGCCCTTAGGATCTCATCAATAGCCATGGAAAGCCCGACACCGATATCTGCCTTTCCCTCATGGATTGGGGCTGTCATGTGGGCGGGTAGGCGGGTCGTCGCGTTCGGGGGATAGTGGATGTTTTCGTTAAAAGGTATCAATGTACCGTTTGATTGGGTTCCCTCCAGGTTCAAATAAGCCGGACTCTCCATCGGATAGACCACCCGCGCACTCTCTGCAAACTCCACGACCGTTATCATGTTGTGCAGGCCACTGCTCGTCTCCATCTTGGCGGCCAAGCTCATTGCCACCTGTCTCTCCAGTTGCAAGGCCCCGTTTTGCTTGGCCTGGGTAGACAGGTCGATCACAACGGCCACGTTTCGCGGTATGCAGTCCCTCGCCGGATCGTCCCTGACCAAGGCACAAATCATCAAATCGCCCTTCTCCGCACCGTACCTATTCCTCACCTCGGTCCTCAATGCCTTCCAAGCATTGCGCGAATCCTCCACCGCGGCCGCAACCGCTCTCTTGAAGTTCTCCTCGAGCCCATTCTCCGTCCGGGGGGTACCAGGTCCGATCTCCCCAAACGTTCCATCCAAGTACACCACCCCATGGTCTTTGTTCAGCGTATGATGCGACACCCTCCCCTCGCAATTGCTCCTCCCCGGCGTCGCATCCGGCACCGCGAAGCATCCTGTGCTCAGATTCCTCGGCACCATTTCTCTCGGAATCTCGCCGTGGGCGCGGAGATCCAAAAACGGTGCGGTATCGTTTCTCCTCAAACCCGGCGGGTTTGCCACGCCTATAGGCTGCGACCTATCGCTCTCATCAACCCAGTTGCTGTGCGCATAGAAATCATGGATTCCGTGGACAGCTCGACCGAAAGCCTCGATAGTGGCACACTTGGCGCGCGCAAGCGTGTTCACCTGCAGGGCGGGGAAGGCGAAGCGACAATCACCGCCGGCAAAGGGCGACAAGTCGACCATGTCCCTACGGATGCGCAGCTGGCCCTTCTTCTGGAGGTGCGCGCTACCTTCCGCGTTAGTCACCTCCTCGTCCAGCTCGATCAGGTCGGCGGCGCTCTTCCAGGCCTGCTTGAAGCGGCCGCGCAGGTGGTTCACGCACGTCTGCAGCGCCTGGGTCGCCTGCTCTCGGGTGCGGGGATAGCCCGGTATGTCGATGAAATCGGCGTCGTCGCAGTGGGCTTCAGGACCTTCGGGAACAGGGTCGAGCGTGTCGGGAGCGCCGACGGCGCCGTTGGTGCCGCCTCCCGGGATGGGGAAGCCTTGCACGTCGAAGTGGGTGCCAGCTAACTGGTCGAGCGAGCGGGGCTCGAAGCAGATGCCGTCGGATTTGACGTTGATGATGGTGCCGGTGCTCGCGCCGGAGCACTGGAAGGCCAGGCGAGTAATCATTTCGTGCTCATTGTGCTGCCCGAGCACAATGGGCTCATTGATGGTGCCGAAGGAGTGGATGCATGTTGGACTGAAAGCGAGTAAAAGGAGCGTTGTTGCCAGCGCATTTGTGGCGCTTTTAGGGCGCCTATGGAGAAGGTTAGTGTACGGTTGTATTAGAGCAAATCACAGAAATCGCTGTTGAGGTTGAGGGCGTACCGAAGAAGTCCTAACATATTTCTCAGAGTAATATGGTGGGTAAAACACGAGCAAGTTGAAGTCCGTGCGACTAGATAGATCCATGTTATGAAGAGCTCCAACGAGTTGGGACTGGGACAGCTTGCGATCACCTTGTCATCCCTTAAGTTCTCGACACGTCCTGGTGGGTAGACGAACCAAAAAAGAAAAGAAAGAGAGGACAACACTCCACGTGTGAGGTTGAGGTAAAGGGATTGAAGCAAGGCATTCCGGGGAAGAATCTAAACATCACGACCTTGACTTTTCACGCTTTGACAAAGCCTTGGTTTTCGGATCAAGCGACCCATTCAGCAACCAGCAAGCGTGCAATGCGCGGGAAATCTGGATTCTTATTGGTTCAAGACAGCCGTTGCACGTGGATGTGCCGGTCATGGACTTGACATGTGCTCGGATGATCAGGTACCGCTGTCGTCCCCAACAAAATTGTCTTGACCTTCGACACTATACACTATACGTTGCGACCCCAACCCCGGTCACCCCCCACCCTCGGTCATACAACTTCATGACCAGGAATCAGATAACATTGCAAACTGGCCACTTTTGCAGGGATTTCAGTGCTTCAAAATGTCATAATTTTATTCCTAATGCTCTTGAATGATATAGAGTATTGACTAGAGGGCTCTCCCTAACTCTTACAGTAGTCTTGTCGTTGTTGTTGCCGTGGCAACCCTCCTTCGCTTGGGACCCTCCTTTGAGGCATTACGAGCTTCCAGAATCTCTTCTACCCGGGCAAATTTATCATTACCCCCTTCTTTAGCTACTTTTCTTTTGCTTTTAGACTTCTGTAACTCTAGTTGAGTCTATAAATATTGGATTTGGTAGTCTTTAGTAGCGAGTTTAATGTTCTTTATATCGAGGGCCTTGGCCGATTTATTGAATACCCTTCTAATATTACGAGTAAGACTGGATATCTCATTGCCAATACCCTTATAAATATCCCTAGACTTCTAGGGGGTCTAGAAGATAACGTCCCGGTTGAAAAGGTCTATTATTAGTGGTATTATAGCCCGGACTAGCTCATTAGGAACGGCGGGCAAGGCATTATTATTAAGGATTGCCTTAGGATCGTCGATAATAATAAATCTATTTACTAGCTATATCCCTATCTTTTTAAATCCTAATTTAAGGTTTCTAGTATTTATCCCCCTTCTTAAAACCTCCTAATAATACTAAAGGAACTATTGTTTATTTACTGGTGTAGATACTAGAAAACTAGTAAAGTCCTTAGTTAAATCCCTAAAATACAATTTAACGGCTAAAAAGATAGAGCGGTTAAGCGGTTGAATTTTATAGAATATATAAGAAGGTAAAAAGAGTAGTTGAATATTGTATTGAAATATTTCAATAAGGAAATCGTCGGTTATATAGCTAACGTACTTATCGAGAATTAGGAGATACTAATTATTATTAGCCGGCTTCGTTTCTAATAAATAAACCTCCTTTAACTACTATAAAGCAATCTATGAATTACTCTATTTACTAATTGTACTATTGTATTTCCAACTTTTAAATTTGTAATCCATTTTAGGGAACCACTATCCCTAGAAGTTAATACTAGAAAAAATAACAACGGGAATTAACTTCTTACCTTTAGTAATCCTATACTCGATAATAATTACCCAACTAGTCGCGTCGGTTATTATTAGGTATACCTTCTTTATTAGGACGGTCCCAAGCACTTTACCATCCTTTAATTCTAATTTTTAAAAACTATATTTATTTATATTTAAAATATTAACGGGAATAATACCCTTATTATAAATCTAGGCTTCCAAAAGGTTAAAGAACTTTGTAAAGGCTTCTTAGGTAGAACTTTTAATTCTCGCTAACGCGAGTAGCTTAGAAAGTTTAGTCTTGATATGGGGATTTCTTGTTAGGAAGCGATCGATCTAATGGGCGCCTAGTTTATTATAATTACCTCCTCTTTTCAATATTAATATTGCAATCCCTAATACTTGGCGACGATTGGGAGCGCGCTTAGCCTTCTCTTCATTCAATATCTAGTCGCATAAGAAGGATTCTTGAGCCGGGGATAGCCTTTATTAGGGTATCTTAATTATACGAAGGGAGGGGGTGCCTCGCATACGGTCGGAGATAGTAGATTATAGTACGCCGTACTTTTTGGCTACTGCACGCTGGGAAAGTCTATTACGGACCTCAGAGATCGCTTAATCGAGCAAAGACGAAGCTATTACGACCGGAATTAATCAAATCGATAGTGGTTTGGTAGAGTTATTATTATTGAAAGATCGAGAGTATGAAAGTGTATAGGAGAAATGGCGGTGTGGGGATGTGACCGAGGGTGGGGGGTGACCGGGCACGCTGTTCCAGAAATGGGGCCGGGTTTTAGCGCTAACTGTGCGATTGTTAATCTTAACACTCAACACCACTCAACAACGCCAACATCACGATTTCGATACTGCTGAGCTCGTCGTCGTCGTCGCATTCTAGAAATGAAGCCATCTACAGTCTTTCTATTATCTACATCATTAATCTATCGCTCAAACTGATCCTCATCTTCACGATTGTCGCCGTCATCGTCGTCGTCATAATAATCTGAGCCGTGGTCTGACTCGCTGCCCCGCACCCTTTTTTTCAACTTTTCTCTAGCAATCATCTTACCCCCATTTTCTATCACATCTTTATACCGCTGTCTCACAGACTTTACCCAGTCGTTAATAGTCTGTTGAGATAAATCCTCCCATCCTTCTTTTGCTCTTTCAAACAACTCATCAGACGTATCGCTCAATCTACCATACTGGTGAACGAAATGGTTCGGCTTCCCCCAAGCATTCTCGATGGGCGATAAATCTGGTGACTTCGGCGCGTTGAAGAAGTATTCCAAACCGACCTCCTCCTTCCACGTCCTCACGATATTTCTCGAACTGGGACCATGGCCAGAATCGTTGTCTTCCTCGAGGATAAAGTCATACCCCTCCTTCAACCATTCGCCAACATGGGGAACCAAAATATCATCACAGTAAATACGTTGTGTGAGTTTGCCGTTGGCGTTTGACGTATGGTATCTGACTAACTCAGACTTGAAGTCCAGGCCAATACATCCCCATACATGGACGTTCTTTTCCTCGGATTTTTCATACCTCTCGGCTTCACGAATATTGCACGGCTCGTATCGAGTACCGGGCTTCCTCGAAATCCATCGCCGACCGTTTGCCCGTTGGCGCCAGCCGAAATGGCATTCATCAGAGTATCTACACTTTCATCAATAACAATGCCATAGCCAGAAAGAGGGGGGATAATACCTGATACGAAGGAAGTCTGGTTGGTCATACTTCTCGAGTAGGATCTTGCAATGGCTACATCTTTCCTCGCACCGGCGAGGCGAGACGTACTCCTTCTCGCATGCGACGCGTTTATTATACCCGGCATGGTCTCGCATCGCCTTCATAATAGTCTCGTGACTGGCTTCCTTGTCACACGCATTCTGCAGTTGGGATACCCATGGCATATCAGGCGCTTCGTCAGGGTATTCTTCGTACAGCTGAATAATCTTGTCGCAATCCTTCGGCGTAACCTTCCTTTTACGCCCTCGAGTCTCCCCGTTCTCCGACGGTCCCGTACGCTGTCGTTCGTCTTTATTGATGCGGTCAACGGTATCGACATTGACAGCGAAAATCCCAGCAATCCGACGATGCGTCAGTTGATGGTATCCCAGCTCAGACTTCAGAAAGTTAGCTGCAAAGAGCGCGCCCTTAATGCGAGCCTTCTTCGGCGTGTCCAGTATACCGGGCATGGCGTCAATAAAATCGTATATATCGAAAGAAATGGATGAAAAAGATCACAACGAAGTAAATAAACCAGATTTTGGTGGCTTTGTTAAGTCGTGACGTAAGGGTGTTAAGCGAGCAATAACCCCTGTCTAAAACCCGGCCCCATTTCTGGAACAGCGTGCCGGGGTTGGGGTCGCGACGTCTAGGTACGCATCCAAGCGTCTTAATCACACCTATGAACTGGAATTATATCCTTACGGCAGTCAGCCAGTGTGTTTTTGAAATATCGTATTTCCTAATACAGCTTTGTGACAGCCCTTCTTGAATACAACGAGCGGTATCACACTAGTGTACCTAGTTAGTGCACTTACCCTGTCGGGCAGTTAATAGTCCGCCCGCTATTTGTCATGGACGAGGATTTGGAATTTAGACCTCTATGACGTATGCGACAATGCTACACTGACATTGCAGCAAAAATGTTTCGATGGTTACACATGGAATAATTCCCCCCTCGGCCAAAGGTCCCGGCCGTTTGCCTTTCCCCGACTTTCCCGGCCTTGGGGGCTCGTCTCACTGTCCGGCTTTATATAGCGAGCGAGGAAGCCCTGGAAATAGATGTATTCGATGCGGGAACTGGCCTCATCGGCGACTGATGAGAAGGATAGACTTGAGCAAAAATCTTTGGTCGCAGTGATTGAACAGACGAATGACGGCCCCAGGACTGCGCAAACCACTGCACTTGCGGGATCCCCACCCCCCGAGATCGGTCCCCGCTGCCAGGGCCGGTCCCACATCTCCGTCACGGAAGCAGCCCCACCTCTCGCTCGCTAGTATTTCTACTTAACACTATAGTAGGTAGGTAGCCCGCAACGTAGATTCCCCCGCACTTATCCTTCACCGGGTTCCTTTGACAACGGAAAGGACCTGTGTCCAGGTCTCGAGAAAATTGCAAACCGAGCACCCTCTACACATTTTCGAGACGACGATCCCGCACCTTGCGCCGTATCCCTGCCGTGCATTGGCTGACAGTTGGTTGATGGCTTTCCCAACTTGAAGTGCGACACCACGCGCGCAGGCAACGGCGCATTGTAGGTAGTCCAATTATTCCTATGCCGCTCCCACTAGACCAAATACGCAAAGTCCTGCAGCGCCAGCTCAGTCCTAGCCCACGAGCACGAATCTGAATTCGGACCTGTCGATTTGAATCTTCACCAAGTGGCTGCTCAAAGCGAGCGCATACGATCCAAGAGAACCTGCGCAGACGACCTCTCGTTCAGAGCAACGTCCCGACAAGGAGACCAAGTCGAGATGCGGACTTTACGGGCCATCGCACCTCCTATCAGAAGTCTGGGACACCCATCCAAGGTTTCGCTCACGCCTCGCGCGCTTCGAGAGCTCGGCCGACGACAAATAGACAAAAGGCAACGGATATCTCTCAAAAAGCCAAGCCGACGTCAGCGTACGATCACGCTCCCGAGCAGCATACGAATGACAACCGGGTATATGTCCCAGAAGATACGAGCATCCGGGCGGCCGCCAAACGCCTGGACCCAACAGTTTGGACCAACTCCTTTTGGATTCAACTGCTACAAAGGCCTCTCTTTCACCCTCGCAGTTTCCTTACTCGGCATTGCGAGACTTCAAAAGGGAGAATCAGACCTGCGTTTGAAGGCTGACGCAGGCACAACTCGAAGCCACCGCTGTAGGAGCACCCATTTAGACCCAGTCTGAAGGATCCTCTAGCACTATCATTCTACATCATCATCGTCCTCGTAGGGTTTCCACGAATTGGTGGTATTGAGGTAATTAGGCGTAAAAACCAAGTATTCTTCTTCGTAAGTTCAGCTCCAAAGTCAAGTCTCTGACTGAAGCGTGTACACCTGCCTTCAAATAAGAACTTTGTAACATTGTACAAACCACCCAAAAAGCCTTGTTCTGCATGGGCTATAACCCTTGATGCAGCCTTACATCTCTCTGGAAGGGTCGAGGCCACTCCAACACCAATTTAACTAGAGTAGCGGAATTCTACGCAGACAAACGGTGTTTCTCCATCACTAAAAGACTGTGTCTTAACACCTTAAGAGAATATGTTCTCGGCTGGGTCCGGACATGCTCCCTCAACCTAACAACATTCTCCCTCTTCTTCCTCCGACTTGATCGGCCAAACCTCACTTTCCCCCGTAATTATATTATATCTTGAAAATTTGACTTCCCATTGAACCACGCCCTAACCTGATACCATCCGACCGGATCGGCCCTTTTCTGCTTGCTCCCCCCCTCACCAAAACCTAAAGGGCATTGCCTGCCGTCCAGCAGCATTAATGCTAATCGGGCCTGAAATCGTAGGTTTGACCGGTCCAAGAGGACCACCACTCGAAAATGACATGACCGTGCTGCTCGCCGCCGCCGCCGCTGTACCGTTTCCTGTAAACATCCCACCAAGCGCAATGATTAGCATTTGTTATCAACCCATCGTTTTCTACCTCGTGTACCATACTCCGAGAATGATATAAAGTAAACTCACCGAAATCACCCCCCGAGCACTTCCCCGCCTCCGAAACAACCTCATACAACGTCTTACATCCGGACGGCAACGCGTCACATCCCTTCTCGCATCCCCACGACTGGTAAACCGTCATCGGCGGGTTCGCGCACGTACAACCTGCCGTGACGGTGCTCACGGTCACGCAGTCGATCGTCATGCAGGTCGAGCAGACGCTGGCGGTTGAGATGATGATGGGACACTCCGAGACGGGCGTGGGTCTGTCGCTTGTTGGCAGGAGAGGGTTGGTCAGTGGGGTGGTGATGATGCTGCTGCTGCCACTTGCGGTTGCGGTAACTGTTGACGTTGGGAGGGATTGAGAAAGGGCTTGCGTGGCTCTGCGAGGGGATTGGAAAAAGGTTAGAGCGTGTGTTTCATGTTGTTTGGAAGCTTATTGATGGAAACTTACAACGCGAGAGGGACGGCAATAAGGCGAGTGAAGGATCTCATTTTCAGTGACAGTATGCTGTTCGTTTCAGTCTTGTTGGCTCAGTCGGGGACTTTTCAGGTCGAGTGCCTGAGGTTCGATGACAGTTTCAGATGGTGAAATTCGCTGGAGAGACGGTATAACAATGTAGAATCATGGACGGCGTTCATAGCAAGCAAGTGCTTCCGTTGGAATGTAAGATTATACGTGGCCGTCGTAAATTGCGAACCGTCATCAAGTGTGTCGTTGCTGCGCCTTTTGAACCCCCAATCCAATCGTTCGGTAGGCAGCTGCCAAGTCCCCAGGTCTTACATGCTTCCTTCAAATCGCTCCTGGCAGCGACAGTCGTGATTTTATTTGCAGCCCCTCATCTGATACTGACCTGGGAGGTAGTCTGATCTCCAGCGCTCAAGCGCGAGCCGGTACGTCATGTTGAACCAAGTCCGTGACACAAATCCGCGATACGGGTAGCAAGTGCGACTTGGTCTGTTCCTGTTGTTGTACGAGAGCATTCAGCGGCCAGCGGCTGAAGCGCGATACGCTAAAGTTGTAAGTGACAGGCGGGACTGTTTTAGCTGAGCAAGTGAAGAGCACCTGGCATTTAGGCGACGATAGTAAGCCCGGTGTGGTGAAACAGTAGGTAGTTATCCCTCAACTCAGCCGAGACTTCTGACGTAAGTATCGACGTATCACTTTCGCCATGTTTCCATCAAGTATAAAGAGACCACCCAGAAGGTATTCGCAAACAATCCCACATGAAGTTCTCAAATCGCGACAATGGCTGCTGAGCCTTGATGTTGAGTCAAGGGTTCATCCCAACGCTCGGTGAACAAACCCAAAATGCTACAACATCTGACGTGCGCCTCGCTGTGCAAGACAGCGTAACTCAACGGGATTGTCACACGAAGGACAGGATTTTGTGAAGAGCAAACTCACTAATATGTGACATTTCGGATCGGCGTTAGCAAAAGTCTCGAAGTATGCTTCAAAGACCTACTGTTTCATCTTCTTGAATGACCCATTAGCCGTAGTGGTGTGAATTGGTACGGCCACAAAAAAAAAAAAAAAAAAAAAAAAAAAAAAAAAAAAAAAAAAAAAGCGGCTTTCCCATATTATCCTACCTGCTGCCCAAACTGAAAAGCATGAGATGATAGTCCCGTCTCAGGAAGAGAACGCAGGAAGAGAACGCCGAGTCTGGTTTGTGATAGCCATCACGCTACTGAAGGGAGGTCTTCACGAGTAAGCACATGTGATGGCGATAAAGCGAGATAAGGCTTACATATGATTTTATACCAAGATGCCTTCGTCTCTTCACATGTTTGAAGGTATCATCGAGCGTGTTCGTTCTGTCGCATTCACACCCTCCACTGTGTTCTTCCCCACTCATGTCTCTGATTCCAGTCGATGATCTTCAGCAGAGAGGATTCCACCAGTCATACCAGAGATGACCATCCCACGAGATTTTGAAGCGCCCCGCTGCAGACCATGTGGTGGTAACCTGTCCTGATCATGAAGAATCCTATCCCAGAGGCAGATCACGATGACCTTGATTTGACCCACGCACATGAAGTTTTCGCAACGCAAAGATACAACTCACAGAGTACCTAACACCTGCCACGGCCACAAGCTGACAAAGAAAGGACCATATGCCGTGATATCCGTCAGGAATGCAGAAATCCCTGAAGATGATTGACACTATCACGTCCCAAACCTTTTGAATCACGCCATGAAAACGGTACGGCGGAGTTCGAAGCCCTGCGACGGCGCGGAGAGACCAATGGAACGAGATGCTTGCATACGACTGCGATGACTCCGATGTATCGGAGCTTGGCTGTTACGAAACGCTGCGGGAAGGACGGGAAATCACAAACTTCCTGATTTCGGGATAAGCATATCCAAATGCCTCTTCATAATGCTTTTCGGAGGCCTCTTCGAAAGTACCATTTCGCTTGTCCTAAGCAGCAAAATAGCCAAAGACACATGCCCGAAAATATAGCGTGGCCCTTCAACCGACGTGGCTCTGTAATGTTCTAAAGGAAAAATGGCATGTCCTTCTGTGGCTGCTGAAGCCTCCAGAAGTAACCTTTCGACGGGCTACAGCCGACATACGTAATCTGGCAAGGAGAACATTGAGATAGATCCCAACATATCCAAAATCGAACTTGATTTCCTCCACGTGTCAGCCCATGCCTGCACAACTCCTCTTCATGGCCGCTTCATCAAACCAATGAAGCAGGTTATGCGTCGAGGTTTGAATCCACTTTGATCTCCAGCAGATCCCATTCCCCCACAGATAGGAAGTTGTAAGTCCGGGGTAGATCAGCAATTTGCGGGGTACACGTGTAGTAGCGCGTCCAGGTTCAATTATTTATCGGCCCCATCAACTCCATCCTTCGTCGGTCAACTTCAACCGTTGAAGCAACCATCGTGACTGGCGAGTGGTGCGTTCCGGAACTGTAAGTCGCATGCAAATGATCAAGCATGGCAGTGGTAGCACCGAAGATGTATGGTTTGGACAAAGGCGTCCTTGACGGAGCCTAATGCCCAAGGCTACCTCCTCCTCGACCTAGGTCGAACAATAAGCTCATCAAGAAGTTGAGTAAGACTGTGGGGTTTGATCAACCTCGTGGTAAATCTGATGGCTCAAGGCTCAAGAAACGAACTAAAGGGCTGCTAAACTCGCTAGTGTCTTACAACCTTCCGGCGTTCTATCGCGGCTTGACTTTATGTTTCAAGCCGGTGAACCTGGCAGGCAGTCAACAAATCTGGGAAAAGGATCACAGACCCGACCTTTGAAAGGGTCGTTGGTCGGGGAAACCGGCAACACCAGGGAGAACGACGATCAGCCATAGATACTTGGGACAAGGTAGGTGCCATTCGGACAGTATGAGTGAGCTGGTGAAGGCTGGTTTCGGACCGTTTAAGAGACGGCGAGGTGGGCGACGCGGCTGCCCGGCCGACAATGTGGGTCCCCTGGGCCGTGTTGGTCGGGCAAAACTAAGTCACTGATTGGAGTCTGGATAGGAGTTCGGGGCATTGGGGTCCTGCCCGTATGCTGCATTCTCCCGAAAGACGGCAAAACCGGCAGAGAACGCGGGATAACACGAGAGCATCGGGCCGTCCACCGGTTTCGGTCACTGTTCAGCGGTGTTACATAATGCTTGTCCTTGGCACGAGGTCCGCCGAAATAACCAACCGAGGGAGTATCGAGGCAACGTATAAATAAAGTGTTGGGGGAATATTAAGTCGGGCAAATCTGAAATCCGCTCAGGAGACACTGTCTCGAGACTGCGAGCATCACTTGCTTGTAACGATAGACCATGTGGATGCGCGTAAAAACAAAGAAGAGCTGGCCGAACATCGTGAAGTGACTGAATTTCGACCTTTCAGGTGGTTGCTTTGCCGTGGCCGTTGTCTCAGAACTGCACACCCTCTTGTTTGGATAACGAAACGGGATATCGATTGACAGGAGCCCCAACAAGATGCCACTAGGCAACATGGCTAAAATGCAAAAGTGGCCTGAGGATCGACAGGAATGCAAGGTCAAATACCCAACCTGACCTATCTGGTGGTTTGCGAATCTGCAATGGCCCATTGAGAATGGCTTGTTAGCCATAATATAAAATGAAAAGGTGCGGCTCCCGCAGCCGACAATGTGTCAAAGAGACGGATAACTTGACTGGAAACAGCATAAACACCGCTGAATGGAAGCCAATTGAGGCTTGATCATCTCCATCAGCAATTGGCATCCTTGCCATATCGTGGATGCAGGGTAGCGAGAAAGGGGAAATTGATCGCCTGGACCGTTTTTGATCGATATCGAGAGTTTGGCCCTGTGAGGGGTGAAGAGGACCTGAGTGAAAACGCTGTGAGATGCGAACCCCTGGTCGTCCCACCGTGCACAACCTGTGATGAGGGAAACGTGAGGCTTGTGAGAGATAGGATGTGAGAGGGTGTGGTGAGACAAGAGGAAGATCCCAAATGCTCGATCGAGGTTGGCCGAGGTTTGATGCAGCGCCATGGAGACGTGGATCCTCGATGCTTGACCTTTTCTCTGAGCGGTTCCATGTGTTCCAGTCGGTCAATTCACGGCCTTCATCTTGGCGGTAGAAGACGGGACTTGATGATGAGTCGTTGCACGTCGCGGGCTGGACATTCAAGTATCGTGTTCATGTGTGTTTAATCGGAAGCTAGATAGTCAAGAATTGTGAGCGGCGACAGGGCAAGCAAGACCCATTGAGAACACTGCAAAGAAACCGGCAAAGTTGACAATATCATGTAGTTGCGCCCTTTGTAGTTACACGTCGCGTACTCATCCGTGGCTGCTGCTGATGGAAATCGTGAAAGCGGTCAACAAATGGAGAGAAATACGACGACGGGAAGACAGACAGAAGCGAAGTTATACTACATGTGTACAGCTGGATTGCAAGATAACGCTCACATGGCAATGAATGCAGAACAATGCGACAAACACACTGCTCATTGACCACCGCGACTGCGACTGGTTGAGGGGGAATGGTAGACCGGCGTTAGGTCACCGGCTTCGTCAAATTGTGGTGGTGTGGTGCGCTATCGTGAGTCAAGGATAGACTGGAGGCGGAGGAGGGCCGCAAAACACCAGTTGTTGACCGCTTGTCGCCAGTTTTCCGGAGCGGCATGATAGCAGACGCCAAAAGAGAAACTCACGATGTCAATCGACGGCAGTCGCGTTGGGATCGCGATCGCCGTCGGTGGATTTGTTTGTTCGTCTTTGCCGCACGTCATACTGGGGATTTCTGGTGGGTTTTTGGCGGGCTTAGCGGGCATTCTTTTGAAGAGCGGGGCTCAGGAGATAGTGGACCCTGAAATGCTGAAAGGGTCCACTAAGACCCATGTCTTTCTGCAACCTCAATACATGATTGGTGACAAAAAGTAGTCCACTTTACTCAGAACGACGGGGGCAGTCCTCTTCAGAACCAAAGCGAACCACAAGAGTGGACTTATGACGAATGCCAAGCGCCCCACCTCTTATCCGCTGTCGGGTTCGGTTCCACCGGTGGGCGCCGGAATGGAAGGGAGAATGGATGCCTCGACGACCTCGTGTAAGTCACGGCGTCCGGGTGCCCCTGACGGTGCAGCGTCAAGCACAACCTAAGGAAAACCCGACGGCCGCAAGTTGTACGCTGTAGCAAATATCGTGCTGAGCCTATCAAAAACTTGCAGTACATATTCTGCTTGCTGTGAGGTCAAATCTCATGGCTCGATATGACAACTAAAGAACAAGAACAGTGGACAATTCAACTCGGTTGACTAGTACGGGCAATGATCGTGGCGAACCACCTACAGCAGCAGCCAGGCTTACAAACCTAAGCCGGTGCTTTGTAAGTGCAGCGTGTCCCGAGAACACAAGTGCCTCGACGTCACTGATAACGAGCTCTTCTGTTTTCCAGCTACACTACCTGGCAACCACATGGTCTGCACTCTGGATCGGTATCGTGAGCTTCGAGCTTGGTGGTTTGGCAAACGGTCCTATCTCGGTATGAATGTGCCTAGAATGATGACATGCCCCGGGGCTCCTGGAGTGGATCCCGCTATCGATGACGGCCGACAAGGGTGTCTTTGTCCCGTTTTCAAGGCCACCCGAACAGCCCAATACAACAACACAGCAAAAACACTCTCTGAACACTGTCAATGACCGCTTGTTGGCGTCACTGTGTTCTCCAGCGCGGCTCTGTCGTGTTGGGTGCCACAGCAGACGGGTCTACACTAGACTAGCCGTTTTGTCTACACTACAAGCCTACGTCGAGTTGTCACCACTTTTATGATGTCTGTATTGGGCCGAAGAATGAAGCCATCGTGACGGCACCTGGGTGCTGCAACCGAGCATTTGCAATAGCCAGGGCACGTTCTGATGGCGTCAGGGCCTGTTACCCAAGAACAGCCTCAAACAAGCCCGTCCACGCCGTCCACTCCGTCCCCATGTCCGGTCGAAGCATTGCATGGCATAACACCCAAAGGGTCCAATAGACCCTAGATCTTGGCATCTCCTGTCGGGTGTGTGTGACCACTGGCTTGGAGACATGTCACAAGCAATGGCTTCAGATTTGTCTGCCGTCACCAACTGGCCAAGCGTTGTAAGTGACTAGCATCGCAAGGCCGTTCTATATCCGACCTGGCGTGACTGCACTACCAGGGCGTGGCTCATCTGGTTCACGTTAACATCATATGTTTTGAGCCTGCTGTTAATGTAGTTGAGCAAATCGTGAACAATCGGGAGTTTAGAGCCCGATGCGTGGATTCTGCTTCCGGAATCGAGGGCATGCCAACTAACCCGACCGCGTCTCGTCAAGCGAGAGTAAGTACCTACCTGCGTATGTAAGTACACTCAAGGAGGCAGGAAGCCGCATTCAGGAACCTCAACATCCAAAATCCAATGGTGGGGCAGGCTTACGGTTCGGCGGGACTTGCGAATATTCTGTTCAACGAATCCAGTTTAGTCCCGGCTTCATTCACAATGATCATCGATCTCTAGGAAACCAAAAGGGTTGCTGGGTCCGTTACGCAAACGGGCCGTAGCCGCGAGGACCGTCATTGTCCGTGGATACTGGCGACTTATGTACAAATGAGCACCCCGGTCAACAAGGAGACAAGCCACACCCGACACATGCCTGCCATTTGCAACCTCCCTCGACCTACCAGAACCGTCTCTGCAGGCCCACTCAATATGGACGATCAACCCCAATACTTGCCATTTCTTGTTCAAGCAATGGGACCGGGGTGTTGAGTTCACTTGCACTTGGCCCTCTCCGTATCTTGCACAGTACTCCAGAGAACAGGTGAGGGCCCTGCGTAAGTAGGTAGGTAGAGGTAGGTACCTACGTAGCCAAAAGTCAGCCAAAGGCATGGGCACGCCATGTGTATGCCAGGCCGGATCGTCGTGGCCAACTGGATGGCATGTGTATAAAGGAATTAAATCCCCCTCATCTACCTCAACTGTTCTTTCTTTGTCTCCATATCATACCATCTTGTGATCTTCAAGTCTAATCACATCCATCCCACGCCCATCACCTCTTTCCATCAGCACGACGTCACCGCGCTTAAAGCTTTGGACATATTAGACTCTGCTCTACCCTTCCAACTTGCCATCTCTCCGACTCTCTTCGCCCAAGCACAGGCATACCACAACCACCTTATACACCAAAACACACGAATCATCCTTGATACCCTACACTAGTCAACATGGCTGCCAACAATTATACCAAGAAGGCGGTGCACTTTGGTGCTGGCAACATTGGTATGTGCCTCTACATCTCTTCCCTCCCCTCAACATTCCCCCAGGCTTGGACGTCCCATGTACTAACCTTGACTCCTCATCTGTTAGGTCGCGGTTTCGTTGCCTGCTTCCTTCACAACTCTGGATACGAGGTCATCTTTGCCGATGTCAACGCCGACCTAATAAACGCCCTCAACGCCAGCCCCTCCTACAAGGTTATCGAGGTGGGAAGCGAAGGAACGGAGGAATCGACCATTACCAACTACCGCGCCATCAACTCTCGCACCAATGAGGAGGAGCTTATCCAGGAAATCGCCACGGCTGAAGTGGTGACTTGCTCCGTCGGCCCCAACATCCTCAAGTTCATTGCCCCTGTAATTGCCAAGGGTATCGACCGCAGATCCGAGGACCTGCCCCCCGTGGCTGTCATTGCCTGCGAGAATGCCATTGGGGCGACGGATACTCTTGCCGAGTACATCAAGGACCCTAAGAACACTCCCTCGCACCGGCTGGAGAACTATGAGAAGCGCGCCCGTTTTGCCAACTCGGCCATCGATCGGATTGTTCCGGCCCAAGATGCCGACGCAGGCTTGGATGTCAAGCTTGAGAAGTTTTATGAGTGGGTGGTCGACCGCACTCCCTTCAAGGACATGTCGCCGCCGGACATCAAGGGCATCAACTGGGTCGACAACCTGCTGCCCTACATTGAGCGTAAGCTCTACACTGTCAACACCGGCCACGCGACGGCCGCTTACCATGGTTACATCCGCCGCAAGAGCACCGTCTATGATGCTCTCCAAGATAAGGACATCCAGGAAGAGGTCAAGAAGGCGCTCGAGAACACGTCCCACCTCATTACGCAGAAGCACGGCATCGACGAACAGGCCCAGCACGAGTACGTTGAAAAGATTGTCAGGCGCATCAGCAACCCTCACTTGGAGGATGCCGTCGAGCGTGTGGGCCGTGCCCCCCTACGGAAGCTGTCCCGCAAGGAGCGGTTCATCGGCCCCGCAGCCGAGCTTGCCGAACATGGTAAGGACTGCAGCGCCCTGCTCGATGCTGCTGAGATGGCGTTCCGCTTCCAGAACGTCGAGGGCGACGAGGAGTCGGCCGAACTTGCCAAGATCATGGCGAGCAACAAGCCCGAGGACGTTGTCAAGCAGGTCTGCGGCTTGAACGAGCAGGAGAAGCTGTTCCCCAAGGTGGTCGAGGTTGTACAGCGCGTACAGGCCGACTTGCAAGACGACTAGATGGAGCATTTCTGTCAACTTGTGTTTTCAAATTCATTCTTACTTCATGTCTTATGATAAATGAGCGAAGACTTTACGGATAGGGAATAGGGCAACGGTGTCGTGGACCCTCGGAATCCGGAGAATATGGCGTTCATTTTGGTTGCTTTCTGGGATATCAACAAGGAGCATTATACAACTGGGATCAATGGCGTTTAGCCGGGATCATATTAACATCCTGGAGGTTTTGGTTTTCCTTTTTCTTCTTCTTTATTATTATCTTCGCGCAGTCACTAGAAGCGCTTTGCAGTGATAGATATAGTTCAAGTCAATAAGAAGTACTCACACTCAATTCTTGTCCATGTCCCAGTAACGTTGTCGTATGCAAAGTGCTTCAAACTTGATCACTGCTTCGAGCCGTTTTTTTTGAGCCCATATTTTGTGACAGCTGATAATGTTCCTAACGATGAAAATGGATGATGGGAGTACCGACTTGACTACTGACCGTCATCGGTCGCGCCTTAGTCCTGTTGCATCGCTGAGACCTTTTGGCTTTGGAAATACTCGTATCTTGTAAATTTGCTCGTGTGTGACACTCCTCCGAAATGGAAGGAATTGAGTCGTGCCGTTGCGTTGGTCCAAGCCTTTTGGTTTTTGATGATCTCCAGTGGTCGACTTTGGACGTGGTTTGGCGATGGTGATGGCTTCAAACACTGAATGCACCGACGGTGAGGGGGGCGCCAAGAGATCTGCAAAGCTGGCGGTTGGTCGTTGCCTTAGGCAGCAGCTGGCGAGCGTAGGAAGTGACAGTGGCCGGCAGCTGTATCCACTTGACCGCCTGAGGGAGAGAGTGGCCCGAGCGGCGAGCAGACCACAGCCGCGAAATTGTGGGCGGCGGCCGGTCGAGATACGTGGCGGGCACCTCTACAACCGTCCGCTGTCATTTCCGGCCCGTCGCATCAAGTGTCAAGGCCTCCGAAGCCTCTATTCCGAATCCTCGTACCGCCAACCACGTTCCCCCCTTCGGCGGACCAGATATCCAATACACCAAATACACACAACCACAATTGCACCACTTCCGATAGCTTCACCCCTGACGAACCCGACGGCGGCTTTCTTGTACGGTCAGGGACCATCTCCAGCATCCAGCACGCACCCCACCTGAAGCTTGGAAGCTCGAGAACCGTTACGACCGCCCCGTCCTCTAATTCCAACTTGTAAACACCACACACCACACACCACACACCCACCCCAAACTCGCCCAACATGAGGCTGGATGTCAAGGCAAGTTCGCACAGGCTTCGTGTCTGCACCACCTTGGCCGTGTCACCGAGACACAATAGAACAACCCGATTCTGCAACCTGGCGCACACTTGCACCTCCCTCAGCTTCGGCCTGGGATCTTCCAGTTGCCCCCTATTTCGTCTGCTGTTCCGGCACCTCGACGGCCAGCTCCATTGCGCCGACACGTCCATCATCACATCGCTGCCTCCAACTGGGCCATCTCTCATTAGAAAACACCTGCTAACATGCCTGTCAACATGCAGCGCCAGTTGTTTGCCCGCTCCGAGGTTCGTTACCTGTCCTCTTGACCCCCTGATTTCTCCGGTACCAAGCAGTCTTTCAACATTCAAGGTTCCCATTGCTCACCCATATCCCGCACATAGCGAGTCAAGGGCATCGACTTCCATCCTACCGAGCCATGGATTCTGAGTACGTCTGATTCGACCCGCGATACGATGGGAGAGGGCCTGAGTTCTGACACTACTTCGGTCATTAGCGACCCTCTACAGCGGCCACGTCTATATCTGGTCATACGAGACACAACAAATCGTCAAGACCTTCGAGCTTACCGATGTCCCCGTCCGCGCTGGTCGCTTCATTGCGCGAAAGAACTGGATCATCTGTGGTTCCGATGACTTGTATGTTTGACATGGAACCTGGGGTGCGGGCACTGGGCCGCTAGTGCTAGACAGGCAGGCTGACCTGGCATCGCAGCCAAATTCGAGTCTACAACTACAACACGAGCGAAAAGATCACATCCTTCGAGGCGCATCCCGACTACATCAGAGCCATTTGCGTCCATCCTACACAACCCTTCGTCCTTACCGCCAGTGATGACATGACGATCAAGCTTTGGGATTGGGAGAAGGGATGGAAGAACGTGCGGGTATTCGAGGGCAACTCACGTATGGCGCCACCAGCCCGATATATCGAAGCAGAGCGCGCATGCTAACGGAGTTTCAGACTACGTCATGTCCCTCGCCATCAACCCCAAAGATACCAACACCTTTGCTTCGGCATGTTTGGACAGGACAGTCAAGATCTGGAGCTTGGGTTCATCCACACCAAACTTCCAGCTTGAGGCGCACGAGACCAAGGGCGTCAACCACGTCGACTACTATCCCCACAGCGACAAACCCTATCTTCTCACAACTTCTGATGACGTGAGTTATATTGACATCTGCTGGCGCATAGGACTTCACAGCTGACTTACTGGCACAGCGCACGGTGAAAGTGTGGGACTATACCACCAAGAGTTTGATCGCCACTCTTGAAGGCCACACCAACAACGTATCCTTTGCCTGCTACCACCCAGAGCTCCCTATCATTATCTCTGGTTCGGAAGATGTACGTCGATATTGTACCTGTCCATTCGCTCGCAGGCTATTACTAACTGTAACCGCAGGGCACGATAAGGATATGGAACGCCAACACCTACAGGTTCGAGCAATCGCTGAACTACGGCCTGGAGCGAGCATGGTGTGTGTCATATCAGAAGGGCAAGCAGGGTATTGCTGTTGGTTTCGATGATGGTTCGGTGGTCATCAAGCTTGGTCGGGAAGAGCCCGCTGTGTCGATGGATGGCTCCGGCAAGATCGTGTGGGCCAGGCACAATGAGGTTGTATCTGCCGTGATCAAGGGTGCCGGTGAGTTACAAAGCGGAACATCGAGAGTGACTCCGAGCTAACAGGGATCAGATGCCGATATCAAGGACAACGAACCTATCACACTCACCACCAAGGAGCTTGGAACCGCCGAGGTGTATCCCCAAAGTCTCATCCACTCTCCCAATGGTCGGTTCGCTGCTATTTGCGGCGACGGCGAATACATCGTTTACACTGCGCTCGCCTGGAGAAACAAGGCATTCGGTCAGGCCCTCGACTTTGTGTGGGCTTCCAAGGAGTATTCCAGCACAAACGAGTTCGCCATTCGCGAGTCTCCCACCAGCGTCAAGATCTTCAAGAACTTCGAGAACAAGGTCGGCGGTCTCGACGTCCCCTTCGCTGCCGACGGTCTTACCGGCGGTGTCCTCCTCGGTGTCAAGGGCCAAGGTGGCATTTCCTTCTACGACTGGCGGACGGGTGGACTTGTCAGACGCATTGAGGTGGAGCCAAAGCAGGTGTACTGGAGCGAGAGCGGCGAGCTGGTTGCTCTTGCCTGCGAGGATAGCACCTACGTCCTCAGGTTCTCGAGAGAGAACTATAACGAAGCGGTCCAGGCTGGTCTTGTCGAGGATGATGGTGTTGAGGCTGCGTTTGATGTCGTTACCGACATCAGCGAGAGTATCCGTTCGGCGGAGTGGTTGGGAGATGTCCTGATCTACACCAACAGCACCAACCGTCTTAACTACTTGGTTGGCGACCAGACTTACACCATCGCCCACTTCGACAAGCCCATGTACATCTTGGGTTACCTCCAGCGTGATGGCCGCGTCTACATCACCGATAAGGACCTTAATGTTACCTCTTTCGCCCTCTCGCTCCCCGTTTTGGAGTATCAGACTCTTGTCCTTCGCGAGGATATGGAGACGGCTGCCGAGCTACTCCCAAGCATCCCTGAGGATCAGCTCAATAAGATTGCGCGCTTCCTTGAGGGACAGGGCCACAAGGAGCTCGCGCTTGAGGTGGCAACTGACCCCGAGCACAAGTTCGATCTGGCGCTATCGCTTGGCCAGCTCCACATCGCCCTCGACATTGCGCGAGAGACTGATGCGGACCACAAGTGGAAGACGCTTGGTGATGCCGGCCTCGCTGCTTGGGATGTGCCTCTTGCCACCGAGTGCTTCGTCAAGGCAAAGGATCTCGGTTCGCTGTTGCTTGTCTACAGCTCGACGTCAGACCGCGAAGGTCTTGCCAAGCTCGCTGAGCAAGCTACAGAGGCAGGCGCGCACAACGTCGCCTTCAGCGCCAAGTGGCTACTCGGTGACGTCGAGGGCTGCATCGAGATCCTCAAGAACACCAATCGTCTCTCGGAGGCTGTGCTCTTCAGCCAAACATACAAGCCGAGCCTTACGCCCGAACTGGTGGCGGCCTGGAAGGAGAGTCTGGAAAAGCAAAAGAAGGGCCGGGTTGCCAAGGTGTTGGGCGTCCCCGGAGAGGACTCGGAGCTCTTCCCTGAGTGGGATGAGTATCTGAAACTCGAGCAAGAGGGACCTGCTGCTGGCAATCTGATTGATGTCGATGCCGAGCAGGTTCAAGAGGAGTCACCGGCGGCAGAGGAGGCGGCAGAGGAGGTAGCTGAAGAGCAGAAAGAAGAGGAGAAGGAGGTTGAGGCAGAGGAGGAGTAGAGCGACGTTTCTGCGCCATCCAAGGAAGCGGGTAACGGACACGATTTTGCTTTGTGAAGAGGATGGAAAGCGATTACAGACATTAAGATGCTATCAAGGCAGAGGAGACGCTCCTCTTGACTGCCAACGGCTTTTACTAGATATGACGGCATTGGTAGTGACCGAGACATGGTGGTTGTTGGCGGTTTCAAAAACGGGATACAGTTGGCGCGATTGCTGGTGCCGTTGTGGCCCGTGTTTATAGTAGGCAAGAGCTTTAGTATTTTGATAATGGAGGAACAGTGAACTACTATAATGACCTAGCACATGCACTTCCTGATGTCTCAACCTTCCAAATGTTCGGGATGGAGATGCTGCCGAGCTCGGACAGGTAGTCCGTCGGGGTATATTGATGGCCCGAAAGCTGAGACTAACAGGGGGTACAGCGGAGTCATGAACCCTGCCGGATTGGCGGACACGGCGGCCAAGGCGGGTCAGTCAGCGGGTCGTGGAGGGTCCCGTCGTAGAGCGGCCGTCGCAGGCGTGTTGAGAGGTGTCGTTGAGGGGAGGTTGGCCCCCGGGGACCTGGGGACACTGGGGTGTTCGCTAGGATTGGATCTTTGGAGAACTTGAGGATCATAGGTGCCCGGTTGGAGCCGGAGTCAGGGAAATTACCAAGCATCGACAGATCTGGGGATTCGGAACCGACGCAGATACTAGCAAGCCCTGAGACGAAACCGCACTAGGAAGATCTCTTTTTGTCTTTGCTTTTCTTCTCTTTCTCTTTTTTTTTTTTTTTTTTTTTTTTTTTTTTTTTTTTTTCTTCTTCTTCATTTTTACGTCGTTGGCGTTAGAGGCTTTTCTCACCTATTCTCGATCTGACGTTTTTCTTGCTGTGCGGTCAGCGGTATTTCTTACTGGCGTTGAGCTACTGCACACTTAAGTCCAGTTCGTCTGGTCTGCAGTCTTCCGTCATCTCTTCTGTTCTCTGACAAAACTCTTGCTTGGAATTATCTTTTTCGACTACCGACCTACAAACGATCTATAACCTCTTCCCGCTTCGTTCGGACGGGTTCTTTTTGCTTTGATCTTAATACGATACCCCCAAAAAATAATAACTAGACAACATCACTTCCAACCGGCAATCTCCAAACACCCGTTTCCCCAACTTACGCATCGGACGAATCGTGCATCATCAAAGTCGGTCTGGTCCAACTTTTGCATAACGCGGGATTCCCAGAAAGAAAAAACTGTTACGATACGACGCAACACAAAGAAGAAGAAGATATCAGGATATAATCACAGACAACCAAAATGACCGCCGATTCAATCGCTGATGCCTCTGCCGCTAGCGGCACCGAAGTTGGCTACCCCAATGGCCATCTTGGGCACCTCAAGCCGGAAGAGCAGGAAGCGCTTGAAAGCTTCAAGACCAACCTGACAGAAAAGGGATATTACAAGCCGGGGCCGCCGGCTTCGCATGACGACCAGACACTGCTGTATGTTTTCAATCTCTTCCCCTGTTGGACAGATCAAGTGTATCCCGGGACCAATCCGTGTTGCGCCGCGACTGCGACTGCGTCTGCAACTGCAACTGCATGTTCGCCCGCTATGCGCCAATGCAAGGATCCGGATCTCAGGGGAATAAGTGGTGACGGTGGTGGACGACAAGAACAAAGTGCAGAATTCATTGGGTTGGATCGGGAAAGCTAACAGTTGTATGCCGTACACAGACGATACTTGCGCGCCCGGAGATGGAACGTGGTTGATGCGTTTAAGCAATTCAAGGAGACGGAGGATTGGCGCAAGGCGAACGACCTCAACGTTTTGTACGACACCATCGACTTGGAGGCGTACGAGGCCAGCAGACGGCTGTACCCCCAATGGACGGGCAGAAGAGATAGGAGGTTAGTATTCAACCAAATCTTGACCCCAGTATTTCACACTTGGAGGAAAGGGTCATGTATATGCTGACATGTTGGTTCACAAAAACAGAGGCATCCCCCTTTACCTCTTCGAGATCCGCCACCTCGACTCCAAGACCGTCTCGGCCTACGAAAAAGCCGCCGAAACGAACCCCTCCAAGGCTGTCACTGACGGCCAGACCTCTCCCAAGCTCCTGCGCCTCTTCGCTTTGTACGAGAACCTGACCCGCTTCGCCCAACCCTTGTGCACCGAGCTTCCCGACCGCCCGCACGCCACCACCACACCCATCACTTTGTCCACCAACATTGTCGACGTCTCGGGCGTTTCGCTCCGCCAGTTCTGGAACCTCAAGTCGCACATGCAAGCGGCCTCGCAGCTGGCCACAGCACATTACCCGGAAACCTTGGACCGTATCTTCATCATCGGCGCGCCTTACTTTTTCAGTACGGTGTGGGGCTGGATCAAGCGCTGGTTCGATCCCATCACCGTGTCCAAGATTTTCATCCTTGGGCCCTCGGAGGTGAAGGCAACGCTGGAGGAGTTTATCGACCCGAAGAATATCCCCAAGCAGTACGGTGGTGAGCTCGACTTCACGTGGGGTGATCAGCCGAAAACGGATCCCTACATCAAGGAGACGGTCAAGTGGGAGAACGGACTGAAGGATTTCCCCGAGGGGCCCAAGTATTGGAGGCCGACGGCTGATGGGACAAGGATGGAGTGTGTCGCGGTGGGGAGTGAGGAGGGCAAGCAGAGGATGCTTAGTGTGGGGACTCTTGAGAGAGTTTGCAATGTGAAGAAGGTGGATGGGGACGCTTTGGCCGAGGGGGTCAAGGGCTTGAGCGTTGGCGATGCTGAGAAGAATGAGGTTGTTGAGACGGGGAAGGAGGCTACGGTTCCTGTGGTCTCGGCTTAAGGTTTGCGTTTTAATAAGAGTGGGAATTCTTTTTTCTCAAGTGGTGAGCCTTTGAGCGGTTGGGGATTTTTGGTTATATACAGAGATACCTTGGAAATTTCTCTTCTCAGCATTGGCTAGCTCTACCAAATACGGGCTTGTGTGTACCTCTGGTTGGAAAACATGTACAACTTGCATAAACAAGCATAATATACAGTATAAAGCGGGTTTACAGCTCGGCACATCTGCCAACTCTTAAGCACGGATAGATCTCGGGAAATGTGATCTGTGTTCTCCTTGCGTAGTGTATATCTAGCACTCGGTAGTTAGTCCCGCTCATCTGCCAGTCCCGGAAATGATGGAGAACCCCCCTTGATTACATGGACATCTGCACCCCAAATTCCATATGTAGACCATGGGTCGAGCCTGGGCCCTGGAGATATCCTCCACTCACCTCCGCTGGCTAGTGAAGGAACCTGAACATCACGGACAAGGGTCGGATGCTACGACAAATAAATCTTTGATGTGCCTTCTATACGTCCTCTAGAATCTACAACTATATTCCCCTGACCTCGCACAACCCCATACAGCCCAACACTCTATTTTACGCAATCCCCCTGTTAGCCCTCCACTTTTGTATTCCCTTCTCCAGCTCCTCCCAATCCAGCCCGTCCTTGATCAACTGCATTGTAACCCCCACCCTCTCTACCTCCAAGTTAGGCCTCTCGTCATCAAAGAACAGCATCTCCTCGTACGGTATCCCCGTTCGTTTTTGAATGACCTCAAAGTGCCTCAACTTTGTCCCCTCATAAATCTCCAGTCCACCATCAAACAACTCGATCGTCTTGCGCCCCTTTTCATTCGTCAACCCCCCTCCTGACCCTGACCCTGACCCTGATCCCTTTGTCTTTGTCTTCTTCCCACTACTGTCCTCCTCTTCCTCCCCATCTCCCTTACCATCGGCAGCCCCTGCCGCCCCCTTTGTCGCAGGACTCCGTCTAAACCCCTCCACACTCGTCGGCAGTCCCCCCGGAATCCTCAACAGCTTCAACATCTCCCTACACAAATCGCCCACGGGACTTTTGCTTGCGACAGCCAGCTTCACGCCCGCCACTTGCAACAGGTGCAAGATGATGGGGACGTGCTTGTAGAAAGAAAAGTTCTCGCCGTTGCGATCGCTCAAAACGGAGCCGCTTAGGGCCCGGAGCGGAGGCCACGGGTGGCAGTCGCTGTAGAAGGGCCAGAGCGTGTAGTCGAGGTCGAGGACGACGAGCGAGGGGAGCGGGAGGCCGTCGGTGAGGAAGGGTGGGAGACCGTCATTTTGGGGGTAGGGGGTTAGGAGGTTGGTGGTGGAGTGCGAGGAGGAGGAGGAGGAGGAGGACGCGGGGGCGTAGACGTTTCTGGATTTGGAGAGTTTGCGTGGCATTTTTTGGAGGGGTATGGAGGTATACCTATTCTGATGGTGGTTGACTTGGCTTGTGATAGGTACAGGTTATAGGTTGAAGCAGTGACTGCGACAGTGATGCAGGTGCGGATGTTGTAGTTGTCCTGCAGTGGGCGGATCACGGAACTCGCGCCGAACTGTCAGGTAGGTATGTGTTGGAGATCTCGGCGCAGAGGGGCGAGAGCGAGGGGAGATCCGATGGATGGGGCGTCCCGAGGCTAGGTAACGATAACGAGGTTTGTTCAGTTTGGTTGTGTTGATCACGAGTTGCTGACAATTGCTGACTGAAAACGAATGGAATTCGCGGGAGGTGAAGTTGAATGGATGTATCGCTGAAGTGTGCCAATGGCAACACAATCTTTCCCCCGAATTCTAATGACGGAGTTGACCCCACTTGGCCTCCCCCCCACCTTAGTTGGAGGACAGGGCCGACAGGGCGGTGAAGGTACATAGCTAGCTCAACTAAACTAGGTGCAGTGGCCCCCCGGGTTGCCAGACGGTAGACCCCTTCTCCCCGCAAGCTGACCGCGACCTGAGTAAGGCGGGGAATTGGTAGGGTTAGGGTAATATCCCGAGGACAGGTGAAGCTTGCTTTATGACGTTTTCTTCCATTTCTCCAATTCCTCTCAACCATGTCGAATTTCCTTCAGCGCAATGGTCTTTCCCGAGTGGCTGTCTGCGGTTCGTCTGATGATAATGCTGCTGCTTTCGCCCCTTTCCCGCTTCCCCTGACTCCAATTGCCCAGTGCGTCCGACATGCTATGACTTATGTCCAGACATGCAATGACATGCCGTCGAACTGCTTCACCCGCCACAATCAGCCTGGAGTTGCAGAGCTGCTATCAGAATTGCTTCCGGGGTTGAAGCCCTTTGATGGTTCGACAAGACCAATATCTAAGATTATCCGGCACCCGCCATTGGACGATCGCGCTCTTCGTCGTCAGCAGGGACATTCACCGCGTGAGAGATACGGCCTGCACTACGGTACACAACATCAAGCTAGCATCGTGGAGTGCAGAATGTCTTGGTGGCATTGACCGATCTTCAACTGCCGTCCGTCACTGCTGGTACCGCATCTGGATTTACCCCACCGCGAAACCGATTCCGCGTGAACACCAACAGCGCACTATGAGCAGGTGAGGTTGTCTTCACAGAATCCATGGGGGACACAGCATCCATTGTGGGCTGATCGATGATCGTCGGGTACTCCTACCTCAGGTCTGTCCCGAGTCTTAGTGTCGGCTCCCAGATCAAAGCCCGTAGCTTCATTCTTCTTATACGCACCACGAGTCCCCTCTTTGGGGTTTGACCGTCATATCTTCATCCCTCCTTTCCTCCAAAGTCCAGACTCATTGTCAAGTCGTCAAGCTTCATCGTGACTTTCAACATCGCAGACGTTATTACCTAGACCGAATCTCTCCTATACCTATATTCTCATAATCGCAGTGATATCATGGCTTCCGGACTCTCGGCCACGCCGCTCAAGAAGATCAACTTGGTGCGCATCGCCCATGTGTATTATAAGCACAAGAACATCAACGAAGCCAAGAAATTTGCCCAAGACTTCGGTTTCGCGCAGACTGCCGAGGTTGGCAAGAAGACATACTACCGCGGTTATGGCACCGAGCCCTTCGTTATTTGCCTCGAGGCATCGAATGAGGACGAGTTTGGTGGCGCAGCCTTCGTCGTTGAATCCATGGAGGACCTGATGCAAGCGGCCAAGACACTTCCTAACGAATGCAAAGCCACTGAGATATACGACCTTTCAGATGCCCCTGGTGGTGGAAAATGTGTCACATTTTATGACCCTGTCGACGGATTCCCCTTCCATCTTGTCTACGGCCAAACGCCGGTGGAGGCGCGAGATGTTGACTTCCCCATTGTGCGGTTCAACTTTGTAAGTCGGGTTCTCATACGACACCCATAGGGATTGGCTTGCTAACTCGTCATGACTGCCAGCCTAAGGAGAAGAATCGCGGAGCCAACGAGTTCCAACGCTTCAAGAAGCGACCAGCACCAGTGCATAAGCTGGGCCACTTTGGCGTGTGTGTAACCGACTTTGCCAAGTGCTACGACTTCTACACCAAATACTTCAACTTCTTCCCTAGTGAGGTATGCATGTCAGCCTTTGTTCGATCTCGAACCTAATATTAACACACACCTAGCTTGTCCACAACGATGAAGGTGTCAACAAGACTGTCTTTTTCAGACTCAACCGCGGAAATGACCTTGTGGACCACCACTGCTTCTTCTTCTTTGAAGGTCCCAAGATGCACGTCCACCACTCGTCCTTCGAGACGCACGACTTTGATACTCAGGTGCTCGGTCACGACTGGCTCCGCCATCAAGGTTACAAGAACTGTTGGGGTGTTGGACGACACGTGATGGGCAGCCAGATCTTTGATTACTGGTTCGACCCATCCGGCTTTATTCTCGAACACTATGTGGATGGTGATCTCCTCGATATGAGAGAGCCCACACATAACACAAAGGCAGCTCCAGATAACCTGCACGTTTGGGGTAAGTCATACGATGAAATGTGTTGAAGGATTGAAGAAACTGACTTTTATCTAGGCCCCGAGGTCCCAGCCACTTTCCTGCAGTGAGCCCTTGGATTCGTATAGGCGAGCGATATCTTACTAAGGCCCCTCGACGGTGTTTATAAAGTACACGAGTCGAAGCTCCCAAGCCTCTTAAAGTGTCAACTAATATATAATGGACGCTTTTGTCAAACATCATGCATTTGAGATACTTTGTATAGGTCCCCACTATGACGACTGATATGGTTGAAACTTGACCCAGAAGATCCATTCACCGGGTGCATGTCTCGGGCAGGCTCTCCACGGAACGGAGCGAGGCGCCAACACATGCAGTTGCGGAGGAACAGGGAACCTTGTGGTCACACGAGTTACAATATCTAGGAACAGGTCATGATTGACACTAAAACCATATCGAATTCGAGGCACCAGTTCAAGGAATATCCTCCAAGAAGTGCAGTTGCGAACTACAGGTTATTAACAGGCAACGATGATGCGGTAAGGTCGTCTTTCGAATAGGATCTGCACCGGGGACCAGTAACAGAAAGAAAGAAAAGACAAAAAAAAAAAAAGAAAGAAAGAAAGAAGGGGAAATACAAAGCAATAACTCCCAGACATCGCATACAGTATACTCTCCGGAGTAAGTACGCCACCAGAAACCTCCACAACGCCCTGGATGATGACTTTGGCCTCTTCAACTACCTTTGGTCCCTTGACATTGACGACCACCTACTCACAGTTTCGTTGTCCTGCACCTGGCTCTTCGTCTGGGATGACCTGCCAGAGTCCAACGACTTTTCCATCTCTCCTGCCTGGCTCGCCACGGACTTTGAACGCGGAGGTATAGCTCGCTTTTCAACAACATGAATGAGAATGGGACGCTTGTGATTCACTTGTAAAGTATGGCGGATATTGCTTCGTCTATTTCTGGAATGTAGTGATCGCTTCAACCCTTTTTTAATGTCTTCTATGTTTCTGTCTACTCTTTTCCTTGCTTAAAAAAAAAAAAAAAAGGGACATCAAGATGCATAAAGTTGAAAGAAATGAAACTTCAGAGAGGGTATCACGGATCTAATGAGTACAGAATAGAAGGAAATATAGTAAAGTTTTTTTTTATTGGAATCAAGCACTAGTCCAGGACGCACGATTGCTAGAAAACCCAAGATCATCTTAAAGTGGTGATAAAAAGTCGTGAAAAGAACAAAAAGAAGAAAGCAAATAGAGGAAGAGCGAAGCCAGTCTATTCAGAAGAAACAATCACGAAAAAAAGAAGTTATAGATGGTCATCGTGCGACGTGGGCCTGATTCGAACAGACGCTCCCGAAGGAACAAGATTTCTAGTCTTGCGCATTAGACCACTCTGCCACCACGCCTAGTGTTGTTATAAGTTGTTTTGAACCCTGTAACTATATCGGTAGAAAAAAGCAAAATACCATTTCTCCTTTACCACCAGCTTTTTCAGCAAAACATGATATTGAATATGCATAATGTTTCCTTCATTACTACCAAGAGGCGTGGTGATACAGAATAAGTATTTATCGAACGATCAAAGGCGACGACTATATACTTCGTGGTGTCTCGGGCGGAACTACAAAGTTAGGATTCCGTGCACGAGTTCAATAAGTTAGGTATGCACACCTCCGTTTGCTCGGATCACACGGACTTTTCTGCAGAACACGGCACATTACAAGAAACACCTGAGGGAACAGCAGGATGAGTGCGCATAAGCTGCTATCTTCTTGATCTCAGGAGCCTTGCTCGTACTAGAGACTGACAAACATAACCTTGTATGTCCAGGTCCCCTTGTCGATGGCGAGCATTGGCCTTGCGGCAAAGAGAATGTAGTGTACTCTTTTCCGAGCCAGACGATGATCGAATGATAACAGGAAGAGGAAACCAGGGAGAGCTGAGGGCGTCCTTATGCTTACTGAAGGGGCACTCGTCTGAAACTAAGGACACTGTAATAGGTAGAATCACATATACTAGGTCAATGCAAACTACCATTAGCTATCGACGTCAACAGCAGGAGAAGGAGGAGGCAATGATGGGATGCTGCAATTTTGACAGACATATAAGCAACGGCTTGTGCAGCAAGCCTATAGAGTATACTGAGTAACATGGATAGGGAAGTACTCGGCATTGAATATCGAATTGCATAGCAGCCTTGTGCGACATACGACACCCGTTCGGATAATTGTCCGTAGCCTGTGACCCATATGTGGACTTCAGCCTCAACGCCCTGGACCTGACAAGAGATCTCATCATCTGAAACGCCGCCTGAGTCAATGAATCTTGGCAATCGGGCTCTGCGTCCGGCTAGATAGACAGCGTCCCACTGATACAGACTTGGTAGGCTGCCACAGTTGCCAAGTTTTTATATCGATTATTCTTTGAACTTCCAAGGACAGTCTTCGAGGGCGCTTTCTGTCTCAGCATCGGGAGATATGACGCCCGTGGTTCGTATACCAATGGTTCGGCACTAAGGTGCTGAATTTGACTCGGAGATATTGACGTCTGCCCCCTTATGAGAGGAGACTGAGGAGCGAGGCCCAATACTATCACCACAGTTGCGGTTAGCTGCCGAGACTTATCGGCCAACACCGAGATATTGGCCCAGAAGGGCAACAATACGGCTTGTCGATGGCTTGCAACCACTGACATCCCCGATTGCCATTCCTGCACCACCGCATATTTTCATTCAAACCGGACTCTCTTACTCCCTTCACAGTCTAGCAGATCTGGAAGTACCTGCATGTAAGGCGGCCAGCGGGGCTGGTAAGCTGAACACACCATTCGGAGCGGCTGGCAAGTCTGGCATGCCCGATCGACAGCACATGTACTAGACTATCTTAAGCCTAGTTCCGTGTTCAGAAACATCCGGTTTGAATGCGAATCAGTAGTACATTGATGTTCATTCACCGGATTCTAAACCGATCAGCTAATTGTTGGCGGAGCGGAGTTCATCGCGGGCGTAGAAACAAGGTTGATGTCACCCGTAAATGGAAATCGTGCTTCGCTCACGGCGTTGCTCCAAGATAGGGTGAAGAGGTCCGTTGGCTGTGATGGTTTGCGCTGGTGTGTGTCAACGCCTAGTGATACTGGTGACCCAACTCCCATCCAAATGACAAAGCAAGGCATATAAGAAGGACTGGGCATCACCAACAGCGCAACGGCGGCAGAGACGAAGCCCTAGCTCGACAAGCAGCCTTCATACCCCGACCAAAAGTCACATTTGTCGTACCGTAACCTCGTCGCAAAATGCCCCAGGCTCATTTCTTCGCCCTGCTGCTTGCAGCCGTTGCACCGGCTGTTTTGGCGGACGGTCCCCCGGAATCGATGGGCGAGAAGTTTAGCGGCCTCAACGTCCTGGATGCGAACGGCGGACTTCAAAGTTTGACCCCGGCACCCTACACCATAAGTCAATGGCCTTGGGGTACTGTACCCAAGCTGTGCTATGACACGTCTGTCAACAATAAATACTGCAACCCGTACGATCTCGAAGTATACGATGTCAGATACTCGGATGTAGGTAAAAGACTTGCCTCGGATTCGGAATCTGTGCTTACCTTAACTTGACAATAGTGCCCCATTCCCACCACCGTCTGCCGATGCAAGAACTCGCCTATGGCCATCGACACCATTGCGCAGCGTGTCGGCCAACTCCCTGTCAAGGCTCGCCAGTATAATGGCTATGTCTCCAGCTTTGCGGGAGACATGTGCTCAGCCTACAGCGATAGCTTCAACAACTACTTCTTTGGCGACTGCGGCAATTCCGAGTCCGTCTTCTTCCATGAGCTCAGCCACAACCTTGACCGTCACGTTGCCGGGGCGTCCATCAACGATTGGTACTCCCTTTCGCAAGACTGGAAGGATACCGTTGCCAAGGACACTTGCGTCGCAGACCACTATTCCAAGGCCAGCTGGCTCGAGGCATATGCCCAGGTGGGAGTCATGGCTGGATATGATGCTACGGTACAGTCTATCTATACCCAGAATGTCGGCTGTATGATCAATCAGGTCAAGAAGGTGGTTGGACAGTTGAACAGTGTCTGGCGTAAGCAGCCTGGACAGATGTGCGATCGTTACTGGATCAAGGAGTAAGTTCTTCTCAACAACACCCATTTGCTTGATGACCCTGTGCTGACCGGAATGTAAACAGTACCACGGTTTGCATGGGACCTGATGCGGAAGCCAGTGGCCACTGTCAAGCGGCATCCAATGCTGCTGTTGCGGCGGAGTCTGGTGGTGTAAACCCAGTGTTGCCGGACGGGCAGCAGAAGAAGCACGACGCCTTGGTCAAGGAGCTTCAGCGTCACGCCGAGGCCGCGGCCGGCATTACTCCTGGAAAACCGGCGGCCGATAGGAAGATCAAGGGTAAGAAGGGCACCAAGTTCAGGGTCTGAAGCGGGAACTATGATCGATTCCAGGTCCGCGAGGTGCGATTGACTGGGCTAGGTTTAGCTGTGACTTCAGAGTGCTGAGGAAGTTGCGAGACCTCAGTTGTGAGCGACGTCATCAAACCGTCTCCTTTTGGGATAATGATAACCTTTTATTCTGGATAACTGGGACAGGTTAGGCTGTCTTTGTCGATAGACTAGGTAATAATTGATTTGATGTTTATTTGATGCTTTGTTGTCGCTTGTGGTTGCGAGGTAGTCGGCAGGTTTGTGGGGATAGACAGAAGACGCCCACTCGCACCCAGGGCAATGAATAACGAAGGCCGATGGCTCTTTCCAATGTGGGAAATACACAATTCTGACTTTGTCCACTTGTTTGTCTTCAAGCGGGGTTACGATTTCTGTCAAGCCCTCTGCTCCTTTCTTCCGAGAACAAAGGAAGTTTCCGATCCAGATCGCCAACATCCGAAAAGGAAGGAATGGTTCGATCGATGTACCTTGACGGCTCAGCCATCGATCTGATCTGCATTTCCCACTCTGGATTCCAGGGGAAGGGTCATCGATGGAAACGAGATCGAAACCCATTGAATATTTGAGCTTGTCGTCTATCCCCCCTCACATATTGTAGCCATATGGACAACTAAGTGCATGAGACGTCGTTCTAGAGCAGTTGCTCGGCCAGCTGTAGACTAGACTTAACCGCCTAAGTGGTATATGCTGAACGAGGAATCTATCGAGTCCGGCCGATGGATGATTCGAGCCGCAACTTCATCATCACTTGGCTTGTCAGGAAATTTCACAACACCAAACCCGCCGCGTGGGCCTTTGCTGGTTTCGCACGTCGATGTGCCTAAATCGACCTCCAAAGTCAGATCAATCGATTACGAAGTGGCTGAGCGGATGTGGAAGCTCCAACCAGACAAACATTATGAACCGGCAAAGTGACGCGACTCGCCGTGCCTTAAAAATGAGTCTTTGTTATTTTGTTACAAATCGAATGAAGAATGCAAACCAAACAAGTGAAATGGTGACGAGCTGATAGGTTATGAAATTTTAGCTGGCTGAAAGATTTGGGGCTGACAGGCACAGCGTGGCCGCTGGGGGGTTAGTGTGGGGCCCAGGGAGCTTATTCCCCGCGTGATGACGCTTACACAGGAGACTAGCGCAGGGCCGTAGGTCAACCCGACCACTCACAAACAACGCTTCTTGCCTTGACCCCGCTGCAGCCTGGAAGCTGCCGAAAGCAAAGAGTCTTGGCACCTCCAAATCGACCCGAATTGTTGACATTTCCAAATGCGGCAGGGAACTCCCTCCTGCCTCGACCGCTGCACGAGATGGACAGGTTGAGATCGACGAGACGGATCGAAACCGACCTATTTAGGTCGCTGTCAGAATCTCAGCTGTTGGTATACCGAATCCGATCTCTGTAGTGGGCATCATGTTGACATCACCATCTCTCATTTTGAACCGATTGCGAGATGCAAAGGGCTACGATAGTATGCGGATGAGACGAAAACGAACATTCAGTGGCAGATGGCATCTCATCATACAAACTGACATCACAAATTCACAATAGTCTGGTTGCTGGTATACATCAGTTGTTTTTGTGTATATAAGCATCTCTTATCCTCCTTCCAATCGAACAATATCTTCTCCTCCATCAAGCAACTCATCAACAGATAACAGCATCTACTCAACAACTCCAACGCACAACTACTACCAAATCACATTCTCCTAAACAACATCATCAACATGGCTGGCACTGGTAACGACAACCCCGGCAACTTCGCCAACCGGTATGTTTCCCATCATCCTCTGCTCAGCCACACTGCCAAGACACTTTGCTAACATAATCCATTTCTCCAGCCCCAAGGAAGAGGTTCAGGCCATCGCCTCCAAGGGTGGTCAGGCCAGCCACAGCGGTGGTTTTGCCAGCATGGATCCCGAGAAACAGGTATGTTTTTGATTTCCCCACCTCTTTGCAGTGAACCATGATTGAGCGTTGACTGACACATGAACCCAAAACAGCGCGAGATTGCTTCCAAGGGCGGCAAGGCCTCCAGCGGCAGCTTTGAGCCTGGCTCCGAGAAGGCCCGCGAGGCCGGTCGTAAGGGCGGCAAGGCTTCCGGTGGCACTGGTGCCGACGACGATGAGTAGAGGTCATCAACCTACTACTGCGACTACCATCATCTGATTTTGACCTGGCGCACGGGATACGAATTAATGACTTTGGCCTTTGGATGACGGAACTGTAATAACAGCACGGGATATGACACGAGATTGCAATTGGGATTTATTTGGCTGGCGTGAGAAGGCGCACTCAGATAATTTTGCTTTAACTCGGTTATCATCTTTCTCTAGGCAACTGAATGCTTTGACAATTTGCTAAAAAGACTTGTTCACTGTCATGTCGTGAAATACAAAACTCCTGTGACATTGGCTCATCTTGAACGGTTATTCTCGGTTATTCTAACCCATCCCTTCCTCCCACTGCTAAGAAGTGCTCAACTCCAAAACCCGTTCTCTTCCAAAAACGCCTCCACAGCCACCCACGGCACCGCTCTCTTCACCAATGGCTCTTCCGGGTTCCAATCCACATGTACGCCCACCAGCACTCCAGTGTTCTGCTCAAAGATCGGCCCGCCGCTATGCCCCCAATACGTCCAGCAATCATGCTGCATCGCGCCTGTGTCAGAGTTATCCTGCGGGTTGCCTACCTTGTCCGGCGCAATCCCGAGGTATCGTCCCGAAGACAGCTGCAAGACCCGACGGTGTTCTGACCCGTACGCCTTAACGCCTGGCGGATCGTCTGGGTGTTCGTCGGCTGGATGGCCGATTGCTACTAGAGGAGTATGGAGGGATGGTTCTTTATATGGCTTGCTTGATCCGCATCCGTGTGAGGGTAATTTGACACAGGAAAAGTTCCCCGCCCCCATCTCAATTCTCATGCATGAGGAGGAATTCGTGATCTTTCCACTCGTAGTTTCCCCTCCAGCCGATAACCTACAACCCTCGTCTAGGGCTTGAGCATGCGTAATCTTCAAAAGCGCCAAATCCCTTCCCAAATCCCACGCTATACACCTAGCACCTACGATCCTTGACCTTGACTTGGGAGGGATATTCGAACCTCCTCTCCTACACCCTCCTCCTCGTAATGTTGAACCCGAGTAGTTCTCCTCCTCCGCCGGCGCCGGCATAACCAACCAAAACAATCTGCCCACCGTCTGCACCGTCTCAACCACACAATGCGCCGCCGTCAACAACAAGCCATCCTCTCTGATACAGAACGCCGTTCCAGCTTCCGATTGCGCAAACGCTAGAGTGGTATCTACCGTGTGGGCTTTATGTCGTCGAAAGGAGCGGGGGAGCACGAGGGGTTCATATTGAGAAAGGCTGGAAGCTTTTTTCAAGAGGAGGGCGTGGGATGTAGGGGAAAGGTGGGTGTGATCAGACGTAATAGACGAGAGAGAGGAAGGGAGGGGGATGAGACCACGGGTGCGGAGGGTGAGCTTGCGGATGTGGGAAGGGTGGGATTGCGTAGATATGGAGGTTGAAGGTGTTTGTCGAGGGGTTGGAGGGATTGGAGACTGGGGGGACGTACTACTACTGTGATTGAAGGTTTGTTTGGTTGTTGGGGAGATTGAGTCCGAGTTACCGGAGGTGTTGGTGTTGGCGGTTCTGATTCTGGGTCGGTACGAGCGCGGCAAGCGGCATTGTTTCGGCTTTTTCTTCGGGGTCGGTTGTTGGGCGATGGTGGTGATGCTTTGTTGTAACTCTTTGGTACAACGCTTGGTTCCTCGATTCAGTACCTCTGCCTGGCCGGTACATGAACACGCTTTCATCATCTTGTAGTGTAACAAGTGGGAAACCAAATTGTCCCACGCAATTTGATGAGCTGCACCGGTTGTCCTAGGATCCAACTATATTATAGTACAGTAAACCTCCTCGGGAATTCTACTAGAAGTGAGGAGATGGGCCATTATCTACAAAAGAGCTCATCGACCAGAGAAGCAAAGGAAGACTGTGAAAGATGACGGAGTTGACAATGGTGATTGTAAAGATCTCGACTGTATCACTTGATACTCGTGTGCTGTTGTAAGTTGAATCGAGTCTTCCTTTCATCAATGCCATTGTACCGTTCGAAAAGCTTGTCTCTTTGTTCATTCCTGTGCTTCTCCTTTCAACCCAACTAACCCGCCGACAAAAGCTCGGAAAAATTCGATGAAAAAAAATATTATTAGGATCATTTGAGGCGTCTTTGTCTGGGCCCACCAACGTGAGAATATCCTCAACTTCAAGAACAAGATCTCCCAGGTGATGAGCCTACATTGGCTGACAGAATGCAAAAGTTGAGAGCAGTTCTTTCTCGTTTGGTCTTCGAGACGAGTGAACAAAGAAAGTCGAACCCCCCTTCCCCTTGCGCTGCGCCTTGCATAACGTATGACATGACGGTCTCCGTCATTGCTACCTCTTCAGAATGGTGATCCTTCATCGCTCGATGATGGTAGCCTTGTGTATTCGTGTCCAACTCTGCTTTTGACATCCTCGGACCTTCATATCAACACATGTTTCGAGGATGTGCTGCCCGTGGCATCATGGACGCTTTCAGTCATGAATCTCGGAGCTTGCAAGAGCAGGTTTTGACTCATTTGAGGGCAATGCACCGGGATCTAGCCCTACATCCCGCGAAGGTGGCCCGATATCCCGGTTGAGATCTGTTACCGATCAATGAGCGGCCAAGTTCTTCTTGGAAGACGGCTTCAACCTTATCGGTAGTTGAAGGGCGCGGTACCAAAACTTTAAATCCTTAACTTCATCAGATAAAGCACCGAAGAGCTGAAGCGCGCCAATCACTGTTCCTGACAAGAGGTCAAGGTCCTAGATCTTCCACCAGTTGCCTGCTGCGAACTTGGCAGGGCGTCGAGGGCATGTTCGGCGCACTTATAAAATGGGTGCTCGAAAGTGTCTCGGCAGGTGGGAAGCATGTATACAGGGTCATAGTCAAGAATAGGGGATCATTACTTAATTTGATATGTTCATGCGAACTTGTTGAAACGCCTGGATAAGTTGACCAGGGGTCTTGAGCTAACAAATAACCCAGTATCGGCCTGTACAAAAGGTTGCGTTTCAGAAAAGGCAGTCAGTCTCCCGCACCTCGGAAGTCGGAAGGTCCTGAACAGAAATGACTTTCTGAAGCTTTGACCCGCCAAGACTTTTGAACCAACCACACCACGCCCATCCAAGATAGTGGAGTAGTTTCGATTGCCAAGTTATCATCTCTAACGACGGCCTCGCCAGAAATGGCGAGAAACTGTTAAGGGACACACCAGGCAAGTGACGGGGGCCAGGCATTAGTCCCATCCTGCCAATTTACTACGAAGTCCGCAAACCACATTCCGCCAGATCTCCAGATTTCCATCTCTAAGCCCTACGGGTAGGCCGAGCACGCCCCGAAAAGAGTCTAACGGGACGTCCGGAGAAACATCCTTCTGGAAAGGTATTATGGTGACGTCTCGTGTCCCAAACAGGCGATTTTCTCGGACAGCTCCGAGCGGTGGGAGTGATTCTTCCTGGCACCTTGAAGCAGGAGGCGCCAAGGCATCGCGAGTAGCCTCAAACGACCCCTGGCGAGGTGGTATACAGTAATGTCTCGTGTCCCAAATAGGCAATGTTTCAAACAAGCTCCGAGCGAGTGGTTCTTCTTGGCACGTCAAACAGTGAGGAGGTAACGCATAGCGAGGAGCTTCAAACAAGCCCTGGTTGTCATTCGCGCGCGTAGGTCAGATGTTGTTTACCTCCTGAACAACACCTCAAATTTCGGCAGTTATTGCCTTAATTCGATAAGTGAGGTTTGGTCGGAGCGGTTGCTGGGAACTCGTTGGTATAAAGATGTCAGTGATGGCCTGTGTTCTGGAGTCAAAGCATCATCAGCCACTTCACAACAGAACCGGACTTAGCTGACATTAGACACTTACGATGAAAGCCTCCGCCTATTTCTCCTGGGCCTTCCTGCTGTCGCCCATCTGGGCCGCCCCAGCCGCGAACCCATGTGACATCAGGTCAACAGACACCAGCTTCACCGACTATGCCTATGTTTACGTGAGTCAGCCTTTTCTGCCGTACTTTTGTGCCTTGGAAAAGGCCAAGTTCAAGAACTGACAATCACCTAGTTCACCGGCGAAGGCACCTCCAACGGCGAGCAGATCTATATGGCTGTCAGCAACAACAATGATCCCACTCAATGGACAACGCTCAAGAATGGTCAACCCTTCCTGACCACCAACGTCGGTACCAAGGGCATTCGCGACCCTTCATTGATCGCTGCTCCGGACAGAAGCAAGTTTTGGATCATTGCCACTGTACGTTTCTCACCATCCATCCTAAGCAGAACCCACAGCCACTGACACTCTGCCCCAGGACCTCAAAGTCAACGGTCTGCCAGGCGGCTGGTCCAACACCGACATGCAAACCAAGGGCTCCAAGTCCATTGTCGTCTGGGAGTCCACCAACCTGAAGAACTGGTCTGGCCCCCGCCTCGCCAAGGTATCCCCCGACAATGCCGGCATGACCTGGGCGCCCGATGCCATCTGGGACCCTGCTCGCAACGCTTACATGGTGTACTGGACTTCGAGCGTTCTCTCTAACGGCAACGGCATCTCGGCCGGATGGAAGATCCTCCGTTGCTATACCAAGGATTTTGTGACCTTCACCAAGGCGGAAGAGTATCTCGTAGGATACGGCATGGATGTCACCATCACTGCCGGCGATAACGGAGCTTACTATATGATCACCAAGAACGGACCCAACGGATTGATCCAGGAGAACGTGTCGTACAACGGACTGTCGGGACAATGGAAGAAGGTCTCGGAGAACATTGGACAGGGCGCTTTGCCATCTGGTGAGGGACCGTTGATCTTCAGGGACAACAAGACCCCCAGCAAGGTGCGTGCGCTCGGCTATACTCGTTTGTTGACATGTTGACTGTTCCGTTGGTCGTGCTAACTCGTTGTCATTTAACAGTGGCATCTCTGGATCGACAACAACACCAAGGGATCCGGATATATGCCGTTCGAGACTACCAACATTGCCACCGGTCACTATACCAAGACGCAGAACTACAAGCTCCCGGCCAACCCACGCCACGGATACGTGATTCCCATGTAAGTTTCGCCCTGATCTGTGATAGAGAGAGTCATGGTAGCTGACCAAAGCCATCTTCGATGCAGCACCACCGCCGAAAGAAATGCCTTGTTGTCCGCCTAAGTTCGAACCGAACCGCCAGATCGTACACGGTTCGTATAAGTAAGGTCTGGTTAAAAGGCTTCGTATGGACTAGCACAAGAGGTTGTAGGGGTCATGGCGGTGCCAGACATGCGCCAGATCACATGCTTACCGTTGGTTTTTCATCCCATGGTATCGCATATAAGACCTTGACTTCCACTCACGTGCAGGGTAGTCTCTTCTTTTCTTGTACCTTTTTACCTTTAGAATATACATCAACAACGTCATGTGTTTGCGAGTGTCAACCGCTGGATCGACGTGAGCGACCGTACAGATTGGAATAGTTGTATCTGATGACCCTTTGGTGATATTGCACCCGGCTCCGAGTAAATTGGAAGTGTCGACAGTCAGTCGCCGTGTGTTGTTGGTTTCAAGAGTGGTTGCAAAAGGAAACAAAACAATGTGTCAGCGTCTCCCCTCCAGAATTCCATTCCCCCGCATAAAATCCCAGGAGATGCAGATGGACCGTTGTGGGTCAAAGCGCAACCAATGACCACCGCTCTTTCACGGTCATGCAGCCCTGTAACCAATGGGCACCCTTTCATTACTGAACTTTGTGGAGAATGTTCCGGGATTAACCGACCCGGACTCTCCGACTCCGTTGCGAAGGAATCCTGCTTGGATGTAATGTATGTAATGTAGTGTAGCATCTGAATAGCGGCCGTACATCTGCTAGCGAGTTGTCGATATCTGGTGAGAAATAGGCGTATACACTAACACTTACACTCGAGGGTCTCCACAGGCAGCCGAGGAACATTGCGTTCAAACGAGGTTGAGAAAGTCGGTCGGTCGGTCGGCTTTGGACGGCAGGAGGCAAGTAAGTCGTCGCTTGTTGTCGCTTGCCTGGCCGCCCAGAGATCCTCCTTCCGTCCGCCGCCCATTCCCCAGTTTCGATCGTTTCCATGCGATCGCTTCTTGTCCATCCGTCATTCGTGCATTTCCAGTTCCCAGCCCGGCCTTCGTCATACCTCAACTCGGCTTCCTCTCAGCTCTGCGCTTTCTTTTGTCTGCGTTACTCCACAGCTTTCTGCACTTTAGTATCCGTCTAATTAACCCCTTGCTGCCCTTGGAATCTCGATGACCGCGAATCAGCCCCTCTTGTTACCAGCGCGTTAAGCGATTGAATGATCCGTCGAACCGAAATAGTAGACTAGCATCGCGAGAACCTTGCTGTCCACCACCTACCGCAGCCGCCATTGACACTTCCAAGTTCCATCTATACAACAACCACCAATATAAGCAGCTGTGAAGCGACAACTTCCCAACTTCCTATCCAACTCCAACCCCCAACGCGCTCAAAAGGGAAACTCTGCGGGGATCGTTCCATCCAAGCCAAGCCCAGCCCACCGCACGGCGCAACCTGGGGCTCCAAGGCCAAGGGCTCGGACACCAGGACCGACGTCAGGAATTACCCTACTTGAAAAGGGCAGGTCCAGAGGAGAGACATTGAAAGGGCTTGCAACGTGCAGGACGTCCTGCATCAGGTCGACAACTCGTCGCCATTTTCTGGCAGACCAACACATCGTGCCGCATCTCGGGCCTCTGGTTCGCCGGTCCAGCAATCGTTTCCGATAGCAGCCGCCTGCTTCCCACAAACATTTCTCGTCCCACGCAAATCACCACAAACCGTAATATTCTAGGGACACACAACATATCCCTCACCTCCAAACCCTCCACACATCCGCCGTGCAGACACAACATTCGGGAGTCGTGCCAGCGACGTTCTGGTTCCAAATTGGAATGCCATCCACCATGCCGTCCCAACGTCCCTTTTTCCTGTCTACCTTCTTCGCCGCCTTCCGCCAACAGCCACCTTCTTCGCTCTACAATGGTCAACAGCCCAACAAGAATGCCACAGCGACGGCGCCAGGTGGCGCAACTGCCCAAGCCAATCCCACGAACTCCGCTGGCACTGTAGCGACGCCGCGCACAATCACTACATCCTCGAGCAATCAAGCATCATCACCAAGCTCTCCGCCTGGGCGCGAAGGTGGTGTCATGGGACAACTTCCTCTATCACCGCGCTCGCATCACTCGAGCATTCCCATTCCAGAAGGCAACCGACACCATCGTCATCACCATCACAACAGTAGGAGGAGAGGGAGTGACAGCAGCAGTGAGGGCTTCCGCGAGGTGTCCGGCGCAGAAAAACTGTACATTGGGGGAAGGACAGCAACAGGCGAAGAAAAGTTCTTCAAATTAGGTGTTGTACGGCGGATTAGGAGTGGGGATAGATTGAGCTTGGATCGATTGAGTCTTTGAAAGAGAAAAGAGGAGGATGTCGATATCTCGTCCGCACCAGTGAAAGCCCCCGTTGCCTTTCTTGGATTGCGCCATACAAGAACGTTTTCTTGCGACGGGGCAAAAAGCAACAGCAAAATAAGACCACACACACACACATACACACACACACACACACACACATAGCGACACGGACATAGCATGGGCATATGGGATAGACCTCGTCGAAGCAGTACACTGCAGAGTGGTCAGGACGTCTCAACAGAATGTTTTCAAAGGGGGCGTCAAAAGGTTTCTTCTTTTATCAGATATTCAAAGGTGGCGTTAGGTGAAGGGGCAAAGGAAAACATCATACTTGGAACGGGGGGATTAGCTACAATCACACTTTACGCTATGCTATATGTTATCTGAATGCTATCGGCGTGTATAAACAAAACTTGATATTTTAACTAGTTATCAATGCACCGTCAGAGGGTGCTGTAAGACTACAGTAAAAAAAGCACAATATCGCCGTTTGGTATATCTCACTCTGGAACAGTCACCATTTTTTATTGTACTTTGTTTGTTTTGTCACCTTTTGGCCCTCTTTGGGAGTGCCAAAACTACCTCTACATTTCTTTTTGAGCTCTTCTCTCTTTTACACAGGCTGTGTATGATTACACCTGGAATTCGGCTGACCTGATAACAGAGGCAGATAGATACGTACATCTTGAGTCAAGCATCCAAGAAGAATAACCACAAGAGAATAAATCACCACATAAACCTCTGTAACCGCCCGCCATCCAGCATCTCCCCACTTGCAGTCTTCCAGTAAAACGGCTTGAAGAGGAACATGTACATGGTCCCAATGTTGATGGCTAGGAACCAGGCCGTCTCTAGGGCCAACGACGCGTCGGTTCTGCGGATGATATTCCAGAGGAGCCCTCTTTTTCCATTCCCGTTTTGTTGCTGTCGCACCGCAGTGGCAGCAGCATTGCCATCACCGTTGCCGCTGTCAGTGGTAGAAGACGCAAACGAAGAAGAAGAACCGGAAGAGATAAGAGACGAAGACAGCGGCATAGCAGGTACCAACAACCGATAAAACACCCATGGCAAGATAAAGTACCTCGGCTCGACCAGGGGCGCAGTGACGAGAGACAGGGTGGTGGTCAAAAGCCAGAGAAGAACAGTAGATGTGGGCGGGGAGGAAGTGGCGGGACTAGGTTGGGTAGAGGAGGGGGAGAGGGTTGTGTAGGCGCCGCCGACGAGCCAATCTTCTTCTTCTTCTTCTTCTTCCTTCTGCTTGGCCTTTATGTTCTTTTGTTCGTCATTATTTATCGTCTTGGGGCCGTAAAAGTCCTGAGTAACAAAAGGAGATGCAGAAAACTCATCCCTCCACTTCAGCTTATTCTCCGTGATCTTCAGGCCCGTCTCGCCCCCAAGATCTCGCAAAGGAGGGTTATTCCCCTCGAGCCGTTTCCAGATGAGCCATCGCGACAAAGTGTAGGCCGCCACGAGGGCGAGGCGAACCAAAGAGGAGCGGAGGATGGTGTACCGGAAGATGTAGAACATGTAGTGCCTGTTGTCGGCGAGGGTGAAGGGGTGGATGATTGTGTTGTAGCGGATGATGGCGGCGGAGAGGAGGAGGGTGGTGAGGAGGTAAAATGGGTAATAGAGTTTGCGGGAGAGGACCAAGTCGAGGATGAAGCGGAAGCCTCGGCCTGATGAGTTCGTGTCGGGGGAGAAGGAGGAGGAGGCGGGAGTTGGGCCTGATTTTTGGGGTGGTTTAGTTGTTGAGGATTTCTTGGATTTGATTAATGGTTTGGTAGATCTCCATGAAGAGCGGCCTGGGTCTTTGGTAGTTGTGTGTGAAGGCGTGGTAGATTTGGTGCGAGTGATTTGACCTGCTAGGGTAGAAAGAACGCAGGGGATGAGAAGAGGGGCAGAGAAGAAGGCAAAGAAAGGCCAGATGTAGAGCATCTGGGGGAGATGGATCGTGGCGATATGGTTGGATTTATCTCCTACAAGTTGGTTAGGATCCAGTGGTTCACCAATGTCGAGGTAAAGAGGGACAAACCAAGTACAACACCCCCATTCCAAGCCACGAACCCAGCAAAGAGGCCCATGATGGTGATATGAGGCCACACCTGTCTCAACACCCTGAGCGGGTTGCAAAGAGCAGCGATGCCGATACTCAAGAGACACAACGCCCAATCTGTAGAAATAGCATCAGCATCATCCTCCTTCAGGTACAGGCAGAGCGGGTGGGCATACCATCAGGCCAGGCCATATCAACCGGTGGATCATGCACATCTCCCACCGCATACCTCCTCAACCAAAAACCGAAGGAATCTCGGATGTTTTCTAAGACGAAGTCCGGAGTGTCATTCTTAGAAACAGGCTTTGGCTTCAGTCCCTTGACCACATGCGCAGCCTCCAGACCGCCCATGTACACCACCACCCAGAAAACATTCGTCTGCCTCATAAAGAGCGCGGCGACGCCCAAGATAACAGTCCAAAGACCATTGAGAAACCCCGGCTTCTGGGAATGAGAAGCCACCCGGTTTAAGTGATTCCGGTATGCCACCAACATCACCAGAGTAGACGCGACGTCTGTGTAGTAGAGCCCCGAGAAGAAGAATATGACGGGGAACAGAGCAATGTTGATGGCGGTATGATAAGCGTAAAGGGAAACAGCACTCTTTTCTGTCCCAACCGCAGTCTGTGCCTCGATCCTACGCCGACATGACAGAGCAAGTAGGGCTATGAGGAGGGTGGCGACGAGGTTGTTGGAGCGCAGAGAAGATGGAGTGCACTCGGCCAGACGCATGAGTTTGTGCCAACCTACGGAGAGGAGGTACAGTCCCGGGGGAGTGGTGATTTTGTTGTCCCACTCATGGTAGCGGCCTTCGCAGTATGTTTGGGCTTGGGGGATGTGGAAGACTTCGTCCTATTGCAGGTGGGATGTTAGTGACTGAACCTAGGCTGTAGCCAACGGGGGTTTCTTACCAGGTAAGGCTCAGGGGCATAGTGGTTTACGAGAGCCAGCCACGCGCGAGCGAAAAAGTAAATCAGAATAAAGCCGCTGGCTGTGATGAAGGTAGAGCCCTGGGATTTTGAGCTGCTTATTGTAGATTGGGTAAGCTTGGCTAGAAGAATTGAGATGGCCAGCCCTCTCAGCACCTCGTTGAACGTGGAGGTCTCCAGGAGGACACGTAGAGCATCCATCATGAAGAAATTGAGGATTGAAATGAGAAACGAGCGGACGTCATATCCTCGTGAACATAGGATGATATGACACAGTAAGGTAGAAGCCCGAATGATGAGGAGACGAAGCCTACTACCTACCTAGGTTTCCCTCTTACAAATTGATGTTGTAGTTGGCGTGGTTGTACAAGTGTTAGTGATCCGGGACATCTCACTGGTGTTGAGGATGCGTCTTGGCAAGGAGCTGCTAATGACGACCCCACCCCCCTAGAATAGAGGCCCGAGGGTCTGTGCGCATCATCCCATCATGAGCTACGGGACGTTTGATGTCAAAAACGTTCTAGAATTTGATGTCAAGCCGAGAACTCGTCTTTCAGATCTATGGGCAACCACATACTGTTGACAAGGAGGGGTATGATGGCTTGATGTGTAGTCGTCTATAATATACTGTATCTTATACAAGCCGTGTCATACGACAGGCGCGTGTGCAACTAGACAACATACAGTCCCCAGCGCCCCAAAATCCCACCATGCCTTCCGTGGTATCAAAGCGATAATTTAGAACGGCTATCATGTGTTAGCTACAGTCTTACTGATATGCCGCCGGAGAAATGTTATAAAACTCACGTTGTCAGAGGCAGGGATCTCGTTGACGAAGTACCTCTCGCCGAGGTAGGGGATGCGCTGTGTGTGGCTGTTAGTTAACTGATACCGATGCTCTCAGGACCAGGGGGTGCTCTTTGTACCTGGAGGACGTCTCTGCGGAGACGGGGAATGCCGGAAGCGTAGTAGACGACGGCGAAGAGGGCGACACCAGTCCAAGCAGCGGCCTGGGGGAGGCTATAGAAATTAGTTAGCCGTTGGTCACGGTTTTGGTCCGTTCCGCGTCCTCTCAAGAACATGACCGCCCCTCCAAAGTCAAACGTGTGGCCATCTCTTTCGGCATAACAGAACTGTTGCACCGATCCCTTATCCTTCGATCTTGCTGACCCATACTCCTGGGACTTTGAAGAATTGGTCCCTCCTCTGAAAGTTCCCCCAAAGCTCCCATCCCAAAGCCTCCATAGCTCCCAGCGACCTCCAAGCCAAATTAATTTCGCGGAAAGGTAACCTACATTCTGTAGAGCTGCTTGGGAGTGATGCCATCGATGTGAGGCTGGTACTGGTACCTAATTCCGACGCATCAGCAGCTTGTTCCTAAGCTGTTTTCCCGCCTGTACAAATCGTGCCGGTAGGCGCCGGTCGCTGTGCGGGCGAGATCGTCGTTTGGTCGTCGCTTACTTAGGGCCGTAGGGGCTCTTGTACGCAGGGTACGCAGAGCGGAGGATGGAAGTCTGAATTCGCGAGGCTCGAAGTTAGCTCCATAATCTTCTGTCGTCATACGGTGATGATGTTCGGCGGGCTTCAGCTAGCTGGGCATCGCTTGTCGCACCGTGAAAATGCGACGCTGTTCGAAGTGGAAAATCGGGGGCATATAGGGAGCTGCGTGGCACGTACGGCGAACATCTTGGCTGTATCGTCGAGAACGAGCGAGCTGGTGCGTCAATGGCTGCAACAAGATCTCGAACTAGGAGCTGGTTTTGGATGGTCCGCGATGCGCGAGATTCTTTGCCGGACGAAGCCGGGATCGCTTTGCGGCCTCAGGCACCAATCAGAAGCTTGATGATTCGCAGTCACTTGGGCGGTTTGTTGCATATGGAGCCTTTGCCGGCCGGCAGCTTGAAGCCTGGGCCGACGGGAAGAGTGGATCCTCTTTTAAGAGCTGCATCCCTGCAGCTGGTGGTCACAGGCCTGGCGCGCACCTCAACGGCGTATCGCAGCACTGAAACGCCCCACCATCCATCATCGTCGACTTTCAAGCTCCGAGACCGAATCTTTCCACTTCAAGATCCGTTCGCTCACTAGCAACAGCAGACTTTCATTGGCGTGGTCGCGCTTAGCTTCCGCATTGAACGACGGCACCGTTCGGAGGAATTTCAACTGATTTCCACTACCGCACTTCCATCATCGTCACTCCTGATCCGAGCCTGTTATAGAAGACACACGAACGCGGGTCTTCCAACCACAGCGCAAAACGACCGTGCTGAACCTCCAAACACCCCTTTCACAACATGGACAAATATCTCGACAGCCGCTTCGAGCGGGTGGAAAAGGCCCTCGCCACCTTCATCGACTCAATCGCCAAATACAATCCCTCCGAGAAGCTCGCCGAAGATCTCGTAGCCGCCGACCGCGAGCTCGCCGCCGGCCTCAAAGAGCTCGAGCGCCACCAAAACAACCATGCGCGCATCCTCCAGCTACGACAAGAGACCGCCTCGCTCGACCAACAAACCAAGGACATCATCGGCGGACTCTGGAACATGCGCAAGGAAGTCAAATCCACACCCGCGACGCAGTACCCTGCCACCGGCCCCAAGTACCAGTTCACCACGCACGAGCTGCTCAACTACGCCAAGCGCATAAGTCGCACCACGCTTCCGCCAGCACACCTGCTTTATAACAGCGAACCTAGTGAATCTCAACAAGTAGGAGGACAAGGAGGCCAGCCGATGGAAGTCGACTCGGCAGCACAAACCCCCATGCCCGGCGGTGGCGGCGGAACCGCAACAGCAGCCGGCACCCCCGCCGCCAGCGCGGCCCCCACACCCGCCGCTTCGGGCCCTTCTGGCCCCGGCCCTGTCACCACAACCACAGCCCCCTTCTCCCAACCGCCACCTCCACCTTCAGCCAACCAAACCGCCCTTCCCGAAGACTTCAAACCGCACATCAACCTTTTGACAGGATACCAATTCCACCCCTGGCCGACGGAGGACAAGGTGCGCATGGGCGGCATGGCCGCCTACCAGTCGCTGGTTTCGCGGGCCGTGGACCCCAAGGGTTATGACCCGGAGGAAGAAGAGCGAAGAAAGAAAGAGGAAGAGGAGGCAAGGAAGGAGGCGGAGGAGCGGGCGATACGGGAAAGGGAAGAGGAGGAGAGGCGTATGCGCGAGGAGCGCGAGAGGATGGCGAGAGAGAGGGAGAGGGCGAGACGGGAGGAGGCAGAGAGGAGTGGAAGTATTTCGGGGCCGGCTGCAGGCGCCCCGGCTGCGGCGGCGTCCAGTGCAGGTGGTGGTGGGAGGAGTCAGTTTACTTTCTTGGATGGGATGGATGATGACGATGACGATGATGAGGACTAGACTCTGGGCTGGCTGTGGAGGTGATGGGTGGGATAGGGTGGAGGGAAAAAATGGCGTTGCTTGATACCCAAGATTGGCGTTGCAGGTGAACTGGAATCATTTGGAAACCATTTCTTGCATGCGACAGCAAAGCCAAAAGATATTGAGCATATAGCTCTTGCTCCCACGAGCAAATATTGATCTTTCCAAGGTTAAATAAAAGGCTAAATATGATGATACACAAAAATCAGGATACCATCCATCCTCGCGCCCAATTACCCCCAGTTGCCTTTATTTTCTCTAAGCCAGATCAGAGTAGCCGTCCAACTCTACCTATGTGTTGTACAGCAAGACTTTTCTTCGGCGTGTGCCTAACTCTCATACCCCACCCCGCTCCTAATGGTGACAACCACTCAACCTCAATGTTCATGTACTCCTACCCTCCCCCAAGCTCGATTAATCGATCTTGATGGAAGAGTAGATCTTGCGAACGAACCACCAGCTGGAGAAGAAACCAATCGAGCCTGTTGCCTGTCAGTTAGCAAACAGTACCATGCCTGGAGAAAGCGTAAACAACTTACCAGTGAGGATGAAGAAGAGGAACGAGATCAACGCGCTATAACCGATGTACAGCACACTGCCGGCAAGCCCGCTCAGCGAGAGCTTGCTGGCCCAGTAGATAAGGGCATTCAAGAAGATATAACCAGCGCTCGCACCCGCCGCCAAAAAGGCGCGCCACTGCCAGTTGTAGTTCTCAGCGCAAAGCAAAAAGTACACCATCAAGATGGTAACGGTGGCGCAAGTGAGAATCATGAGGCCGTAGCACAGGAACAGGAAGCCGAACATGTAGTAGATCTTGCTGAACCAGATGGAGCTCATGATGAAGTAGAGCTCCACGAAGATGGCGCCAAAGGGCAGGATGCCAACTAGGAGCATGCTTGGGATTGGCTTCAGGTACGTGGTCACGGGCGGGATTTGGCGTGGGATCTGGTTGGTGCGCACGGGCGGTTCGATGGGGGCGGCGCGGAAGCCGAGCCAGGAGCCGGTGACGGAGAGCGGGACCGAGATGATGAACCAGATCAGGATGATGACGAGCATAGTCGTGAAGGGGACGGCGCCCGAGGACTCCTTAGCCCACAGGAAGAGGTTCAAAAGGAAGAAGGTGCCGAAGACGATACCGGGCACCAGGACGGGGGTCAGGATGATGTTCATCTTCCACTTCTCGCCGCCCATGGACTTGTAAATGCGTGCAGAAGTGTAGCCGCCCACGAAGCCGAGGATGGTGTAGAGGAAGAGGATGATGGTGCCAAGCGAACCACGGTTGGACGGGGAGAGGAAACCCAAAAGAGCAAAGGCGATGGTGAAGCCGGTCATGACAAAGAGCTGGGCACCGTTACCGAGAAAGACGGAGAGGAGCATAGGGTAGGAGGGTGTGCGGAACACATCGCCATGCACGAGCTTCCAGCCGGAATCCTCCTGAACACCGTCCTCGAGAGCAGAAGTCCCAGAGAGATCGTCCAAGTTGATCTGGTCGAGCCTGTTGTAGCGGGCGATATCCTTTCGCAGGGCACGAACCAGAACGGACACGACAGTGAGGGTGAGGAACACGACGATGACGGCCGAGTTGATGAGCGAGAACCAGTGAATCTTGGGGTCGAACACGTGGAGATACTTGTCCCAGCGAGTTGCCCAAGCAGTCTGGGAAGGAATCCAGTAGACACTGTAGGTGAACTGCACCTTTGTCTCGCCGTCCTCCTTGAGCTCAAGCGGTTCAAAGTTCGACAGACAAACATCTGTGCTCTCCTTGGGAATATCCTTGGTGTACTTCTTGGACTCTGGCTGTACCAAAACGCCAACAACACGAAGCTGATCTGGGTTTCCGCTGACCTCGTGGTACTCGATAAGGATATCGTAATGATTGTTAAAGGTAACATGGTCGTCCGCGTCAACCTGGCCCATGAGGAAGCCGGGGTTATAGAACTCGGTGCCCGTCAACTCGTCCTTGATCCTCTGTCCTGCGGGAAGCCCGTCCACGAGCCAGTTGAGGCTCATGCCCTGCCTGATCTTGTCGTTCACGTAAAAGGCAACCCCTTGCTTGTATGTAGTCGGACATAGCATCTTGCAGGTTTCGTTTTGCTTCATCTTCAGCTCGAAGGGCGATGTCTTTATCCTGTCTCCGAACAGGATGCTTCCCAAGCTCTCACCCACGCTCTTGGGCCCTCCTTCGGGCTGGCAGAACTGGAAATGAGGTTGGTAGTAGTCATAGGAAACGACCGAGTGTAGAAGCGCATCGGGGGCGGCAACCGGCCGTATCGAGTTTACGTAGAGAGGCACCAGCTCGCCTGGCTTATAAGTCGTCGGCGCGACACCGGGAAGATAGAAAGCGGATGCGATTTGGGGTGCTACAAGCAGCGAAGCTAATAGCGCCCCGGAGGGCGCGTGGTTCTTGAGCTGCATCGTCGGCCCGGCGATAGGATAACTGTATAAAGGTAGGTAAGGTTTACCAAGCTGATAACAATGGTCCTTAGGTAGGTTCCGGTTAGCCTGACCGTAGCTGATGATGGCGGTTGGGGAGGGGACAAACGAGTCGGACACGTACTTGTGGTAGGTGTTCTGGGTGGATAGTTACCAGCTATGTCACCGCAACCCCGAGAGTCGGGAAAATGTCCGGGAGCCGTTCAGGAGGCGTGGGAGAGTGTCGGAGGGGACCTTTTGCGTGGGTATAATTGGTAACAATGGCCGATTCAAGTACCAGGATATTGTGATCAGTGGGTTGTAGTGGGCCTACAGGTACGGAGCCCGGGGGGCGGAAGCGGGGAGGGGGCAACGAGGGCGTAGTGTACAAGTGGAATGGAACGACAACCTTGACGGTTTCCCCAAGGTTAAGAATGAGGGATCGAGAAGATGAAGATTCAGGGCTGTGCCTTTGTCTGGAAGGTGGTAGGTCACTGGCGTCGATTGGGACCTATGTTGCAAGTAAAACTTGTGTTTGTCGATGGGTAGAAGAAAAAGGGAAGAAGAAGAAAAAGGATGAACAGCTGCCCGTCTGAAGTGAAATGGAACTCCCGTCAGGGCGGCAGCATGGACAGAGACCTGGAGGGATGCAATGAATGGAATCCTTGTCGACGAGCCTGAACACCTGGACGCTGTGAACAGAGCACCGCGCTGTGTTGGAAGCACTGCCGCAGGAGAGTGCACTGGCCGTTGGAATTCCATTCAGTCGAGCCAACAGAATACACCAATCATAGCCCTCTCTGTTTCGAAGGCCAACCCATTCTCGCCCCTGACAAAATTGTTGAGACCTTTGACATTATACCTTGGGTATACTCTTACTACCTCTACACATCTAAGCGTTTTCATCACACTTTTGAACTTGTTTCTCAGGCAATTACTGGATGTAGATATCCCGAAGGAACTCTGGCCGATATTCTTCGAATCATTTCAATCCCTATCATCAATTTGCAACGAAGTCTCTTCACCACAATGAGCGGTATCGGACTGGTTTGTTTGACCACGGGCAGTTGGTCGATCGTCCACAGAGTAAAAGGTCTCATTAATTTTGTCTCGGACCAGCTACTGCAGCTGATGAATGTGGGGCCGCCAAGTTTCCATAGTGTCCGTTCACCCCTTGCACGCCTTGCCAAGCCCCCAAAACCTTATCCACTCAGGTGCATTTGGCATGGCAAGGGCGGCACCGGCAGGCAAAAAAAAGTTCCCCGGAAGAATTTCTCTGCATCTGATCGCAACGGGACACTGACCTTCATATCACCACCAGCCAAAACTGACGGTCCTGTCTCGAGATTGACATCGGTACGAGACACATCAGTCAACTGCAACGAACATGGCGGCACCGGCAACTCTTCCAGCCCTGCTGGACACTCTCACCAAGTCTCTGACTTCCACCCTCGAACTCGCCCCCAAGCTCTCGACTGTTGACCCTCCCAAGGACGGCATTTCTCTTCTCGACGTCAAGAACGAGCTCCTTCTTTCCTACCTCCAGAACCTCGTCTTCCTTATTCTCCTGAAGCTTCGCCAGGCCCGCACCGGCGCTCAAAAGAAGAAGAACAATGGCGATGATGGAGAATCGAACGACCAAGACCTAGACGACTTGGTGGTCAAGAAGCTCGTCGAGCTCCGTCTCTACCTGGAGAAGGGTGTCCGCCCGCTTGAGGACAAGCTGCGCTACCAGATCGACAAGGTTCTGCGCGCTGCCGACGACGCTGAGCGCAGCGCCAAGCAAGCCGAGGCTGCTGCGAAGGCCGCCGAGGAGCCCGACTCTGAGTCCGAGGCCGCTGAATCCGGCGACGAGGAAGAAGCCGCTCCCTCGGGCCAGAAGCTCTCCGACCTGCAATTTCGCCCCAACATCTCCTCGTTTGTCCGCAACTCCGGCGCCCCTGGCAGCGAAGAAAAGCCCAAGATCGGCGTGGGCAAGTCCACCGATGCCTCGGGCGTGTACCGCCCTCCGCGCATCGCGCCGACTGTTATGCCGACGACAACGACGGAGCGCCGCGAGCGTGCGGGCGACAAGAAGCAGCTCAAGAGCGCGACGCTCGACGAGTTCATTGCGGACGAGATGTCGACGGCGCCTGTGGCCGAGCCCAGTATCGGTACGACCATTGTCAACTTTGGCCGGCGCACCAAGACGGCGGCGGAGCGCAAGGTGGAGGAGGAGAGGCGCACGTACGAAGAAACCAACTTTGTGCGTCTGCCGACGGCGAGCAAGAAGGACAAGGCCAGGCAGCGCGCGCTCGAAGGCCGCAGCAGCAAGATGCAGTTTGGTGGCGAGGACTGGCGCGATCTTGGCGCTGGCGTGGATCGTATCAACAGACTTACCTCTGGTGGCCGGGATCGCAAGGGGACCAAGGCTCTGTTGGAGAAGAGCAGGAAGCGTGGCTTTGATACCACTGATGGACCTAAGGGCAGCGGTGATGGTGGATTTGGTATGGGTGAGCGGTTCCAGAAGAGGGTCAAGGTGATGGAGGGCGGCAGGAGAGACAGGGGCAAGAAGAGGTGAAGAGGTGGTTAAGAACACATCTTTTGAATTTGGTTCTGTTTATTGTCGTTCTCGGCCCTCTATACGGGGCATCATATCAATGAATTCAATTGAATTCGCTCCTCAACACCATTTTACTTAACCTCTCTTGACGATCCATCATCACTGCTTGTTCCGATACGAAACATTCAGCCTTGTTCATCACCCTTTATTACCGACACTCAGGTGACAATACGCATAGTCCTCCCGCGAATCTCCTCTTCACGCACATGGCGTACTCCATTCGCCATGGTACCCTGATCCTCCGCCTCTCTAGCCTGCAGTCTGTTGCGGAGTCTCTCCTCAGCCGCAACCACCTTCATAGGCAAGTTCTCGCCCAGACCAAAAAAGACAAAGAACGCCCACTTCCAGCGGAACGGGTTGATAGCAACGCAGAAGAAGAACCACCACATGAGCTCGAGGTACGTAAAAAACTCGAACGGTCCGACGGGGCTCCTCCTCTTCAGGAAAGCCGTCATGTCAATCCACCGCTTCATCCAGAACGTGCGAGGACGAGCGCGGTCATCAAGCAAGAAGACCAGCAGCAGCCTCGTGTAGATGCCAATGTGCCAGTTGCCCACCGATCCGATACCATTCATGTACGTGCAGTTGATGGCCGCCACGCTCGGGAACTGTGGTGGGAAGGTCTGCAGATACCAGTTGGGCGGTTTGTAGTCCCCCTCCAGACACTCCTTGGGCAAGAAGTCCAGCTTGGGCCTTTGGAATCCCGTAGCCATGATCACCATATCGCCCTTGATCTCCTCTGTCTGTCCCGCATCTTTGGGGTTCGTTCCCTTTTCGCGGCGATTGACCGTGACTCCGTTCTCGGTAAACCCTTCAATGTCGCAGCGCAACCACTTCACCTTGCCACTACGAATCTGGTTCATAACCTCCGAGTTGACCATGGGCGTGTCGGTGAAGAGCCCCTTCTTGCCCGAAGGCGGGGCAATATCCTCTAGCTCCCGGTAGAACAGCTTGCGAAGGAAGAATTCGGGGATCCAGCTGAACCGGGTCTCCTGGCCGAAGATGTTGAGCGCCAGCAGCATGTCGACGACAGGGTTGCGGGGGATGATCCACTTCTCGGAACGAGCGAGGACGTATACCTGAGCGGCGCCCTCCTCGACAGCGTATTCAATGCTCTCGACAGCACTGGCGCCGCCGCCGATGATGATCACCGTCTTGCCCTTGGCGGCCTTACCGGTGAGCTGGCTCGAGTGGTGGATCTCGCCCTGGAAGGAGTCCATGCCGGGGATGTGGGGAATCTTGGGGCGACCGCAAGTGCCGACGGCGCAGATAATGCCGTCGAATTGGCCGTAGGTCTCGGCGTCATTGTTGATGATCCATTTCTTGGTCTCGGGATGCTGGCGGGCGCTGGTGACGGGCGTTTCGAAAACGGTGCGCTCGTCAAGGCGATAACGCTTCCAGAGCTCGCGGACTTGGGAGAGAATTTGCTGCTTGTCCGGGTAACCTTGCTTCCAGTTGACCGAGGGATGGAAGCGGTACATGAGGGAGTGGATTTGTAGACCGGAGGTGTTGTTTACTCTCTGCACGATAGGAGAAGGAAGAACTGGTCAGAGATTGTGGTCGCTTCGTCGCGTTGTTGACTCGATCACTTACACTCCAGATTCCTCCAATGTTTTCCTCCTTTCCGGCCTCAAAGATCCGAACATCGCATCCATGACCGACGCAGTGGGCAGCACTTGTAACACCAGTGATGCCACCGCCAATGACTGCGATTCTGGGCCGACCAAGACGTGCCTTGGGACTCGGAGGTGTGGGTGATAGCAGCTTGTTCAGCACAAACTGGATGACTTGGAAGATGAAAAGTAGCGGGTGTAGGATGGGGTTCTGGACCCTCGATTCGAGCGTCATCTCGAAGACGGTTTATGTCAATGAAGATGTTGCTGAATATGCGACGGTTGTCTTGTGAGACATGGGGTTAGTTCGCAAATGTCTTCGATGAAACACACGGGGTGAAGCTTTCCTTTTATTTGCTGCTCTCTGTAGCTTGATCTGGTTCCTGAATTTAAGCGGGATGCTTGACGTCATCGCGAGGAGAGCATAACTGTGCATGTGAAAACCCCACTCCACTCTACACCACATAGATGCTTTCACAGGTCAACGTCAACACAGGTTAATGTAGGTAGAGGTAATGTTGCTGTCATAAAGTTACAGACAGTTCGCTTGGATGCACCTGCCGCGGGGTATACATTAGTACTGATGTTGCTTTTATACCAGGCACTATTGACTTTGGTTTGGGCGTCGGACTTCTGGGAAAGACTGTTGGGCCCGTCTTGTTGCCTTCCTGTCACCGTAAAAATCAGCATGTGATAGGCCCCAACACCTAATATTGAATCCTTGTAGAGTTAAGAAAATTCGGAAGAGCAGCTCGTTTGGTGTGTTTTGGAGTACCTTGCAAAATATTGGACCAACTACTCAACAAGCCAGGCCGTGTTATATATAGTCTCCAGCCTCCGGGTTTTTGCGTCCTCACGAGCCGTTATCCTGTGGACATCCGCATCCCACTTGACCCTGACGTCGTCGTCATGCATGAGGCCCAGCTCTTAGAGTGCAGGGGATATGGGCTTCCTGTTTGCAGTCTTTACAACAACGCCACGTGGAGCCTATGTGTGAGGCCCATTGATTACGATGGCTGCTGCTAAGTGTGATGGCGAGCTTGTCTTGAAAAGATGAGGACCCCCGAGTGTGCCGACTATCTCCATACCACAGCACTCGCCATTTCCAGGTACGCGCCGTCTTCTATTGCCCTTCCCGGTGCCTTGTAGTAGGCACCATCTTCGTTTGTCTGTTTCTCTCACCTCTTTAGTTTTCTGTGATGACGAACTGACGTAAGGCATAAAAACGAGTTCTGTGGAATTGAACATCTCCTACCGTTGCTAATACCAAGTGCTTACAGAGAAACGCTTCACCATGCCGTCAAGCTGCTCTAGCTTATCATCTTTTGCATCAACCCTTGACAGCTTTGATTATCACAAACCTGCTGTCAGCACTTCTCATCCTAGGCGTGGTTGCGGGTCCGTCTGGATTTTGGAACAGGATTCTTTGAAAGACATGCCAGCCAATATCCAGGTCATGCAGGCCACTGGGTGTACGAACGCCGAAGCGGTCAGGTTACTGGAGGTAAACACCACCTCATCAAGTACTAAAGGTCCCGACTAAGCAATTCTACTTCTTCCGCAGAAAACAAATGGCAACATCCACAAAGCCGTTGCCTGTCTGGTGAGTTAAGCCACTGGCGCAACGGTTGTCTAGTAGACCAAGCCCTACACCGGGATACAGCCAGAATGACTGACGTTGATATCAATCTTGGAAGCCCGGTAAAGACGAATGGGACTTCAACCTTCCTCGAGTAAAGGTACCCGAAAAATCCAGCAGCGCCATGGACTATGAGGATGGCTTCTCCACCCGCTATCGCACGAATTTGCGGGGTTATGAATTTACCTCTTCCGAAAGTAACGGGCACGATACCGACGACCTTAGCCTAGATAAGCTGGTTGCCGATGTTCAACGTGGCGTATCCTGTACGGTGATTCGCAGTCAACTTACACGCTTTCGGGAGCGAATGGGGCCCGACAAGACTTGCCAACTGTTGAACGGTCTGGTTAAAGGATTTCCTGGATTGTTCTACGTTGTCCAGAGTCGGAATGTTGAGATGGTGAAAATGTGGGCAGAGTACGGAGGCGACGTCAACACTACATATGGAAAAAGTAAGTTTCCCCTCATTGCCTACGCTATCGTCCTCGGAACGTCGTATGCAACGGACACGACGGCGCTTCTCAAAGCACTTTTAAGTGCTGGCGCATCTGTGGCTTGCATTCCCGAAGCCTTCCACACGCCTCTCTCGCGAGACCTTATGGATGATGGTCCTCCGATTGAAGAGTCTGGTGAAATAGCTGGTGAACATCAGAAATGGTGTAGCCCCTATGTGCGGAAGCGACTGACGGATACTCTGAACTTCCGCTTTGAACAACGATACTTTCTTCATCGCGCCGCTCTTCTGGGGCGTTTGTCAGGTGCAAAAAACCAGGTAGCCAAGTTACACAAAGCTGGGAATCTACTGGGTATCTACTACAACCTCATAGGTCAAACAGCCGCAATTACCCATGTCATCGATCACTTCATCAGGTATTAGAGCTTTTCTCATATTGTATATCCTTTCTTTCTATCTCATCTCTCATTTTCTGTTGTCTTCGTTATACCCAGCACCACATTCAAGGCTGTTTATGGGTGCCTACTTTGGGGTCCATCTTTGCTGACCCTGGCTGAACCGTTGAAGTCACCTTGCGCTCCAAAGGCAGAAACAGGAGCAGAAGCAGGAGCAGAAATCGAAACCGATGGTCCTTCTATTTGCCGGGCCCAGCGGACACGGCAAAACTGAGTTTGCTCGCAGTCTTGGAAAACTTACCTCTAGAGACTTGGAAACGGTCGATTGCACCAGTATACGATATGAGACAGATCTCTGGGGTCCTTTTCACCCATTCCAAGGGTGGGAAAACGGCTCTGCCCTCAGCAACTTTCTGGAGAACCACGCCTCCCAGGAGTGTATTGCCTTTCTGGACGAGTTTGAAAAGACAAAAGAAGAAGTACGGGAGTCGCTCCTCAAACCCTTCGATGAAGGTATGTGCAGCTTATCCTCTGGATACATGTACCAGGCATGTTGTTGACTCACTCATGAGTACCTACTTTTAGGCATCCTTCCCAGCCGCAAAAACCCTAAAGTAAAAGTTGACTGTTCGAGAACCATATGGATCCTCGCAACAAACGCGTTTGACAATATAATCCATGACTTCTGCAAGAGGCACGCAAGTGACCTGTTTTCGGACAATCCAGGAGAAAAGGGAAAGAAGCTTATCAGAAATCTCTCGAAGATGATACAGAAAGAGAGCATAGAGAAACTTGGAGTGAGTGTATTCCACGCATGCGAACGGCGTCTGCAAAGAGATGGCCTGTTAAACTAGTAATGCTAACATATGATGGGTTTTGCCCGACAAGGCACCACTTTCTGGACGCATTTCCGAATTTGTCCCGTTTCTGACCTTCTCACCTTGCGAGCAAGCTGCAATGGCGGACAGGCTCCTCGCGGATTTCGGTTGTAAGATAATTCAACCAGTCAAGGAGAGCACTGTACCAAGCCAGGCTCGGCTGGTGGGGGACTTAAATGTCCAAGTTCGACGCAGCTACTCGGTTTGCAGAGTGTTGGTGACGGACGGCTACATTCCGGAGCTGGGGGCACGGAGCATTGCCAATACGGTTAACCGGGACATCAGCCTTCCTGTGGTGAACGATTATCTTGACAAGAGAGAGCGGCTTCATGAGAACCAGGGGAGATGTACATATGTCGTTGGCGTGAACGAGGATGATATGATTGATGTGTCGGAGGCGCCGAGGAATTGAAGGACATACGGCATTATGGAAGAGGTTGTTTAGCTACTTGTTGGGAGCGACTAGAAGGGAAGGAAAGGGGAAGGAGCAATGGGGGACACAGTAGTGTATGCCTCTCAGCTGCGTGTAGACATGCCGAAAGTGAAACGCACCTCACCTCCTTGGCTGATAACATAACACCCTGCCTGGATAGGGGTATGCTTCGTTGCGAGTCGCAAACCATATCAAAGTTGAACTTACGTGACGGTCTTGTTGTTTCACTGTTATCGCACTCATGGCCTCCCGTGTCATAACACCCAAGTTCCTCGGCCGAGATTCTGAGCTGACTAGTGTAGTAGAAAGCGCACCGCTCGAAGTGCAAACTACCCTTACGGCACATTTTCATTGTCAAGTCAAGTAACAGAACCCTACTAGCTAGCCATAAAGCTGCGAGACTGCCATGCTCAGATTATGTGTTTGTTCAATATGCTGGAGCATTGTGGTTCTTGTCTCTTGCTGGGCATCAAGGATATGAGTAAATCTTCAATCCGCAGAGTAGACTCGCTGAGCGTGCCGTTGATGGAGACAAGGGTGGGAGTGCTAACACGCAGACACTCGATCGATATTCGTAGTTTCGGTTTTTCTACCGAAATATAGCTGGACTGTGTAACTTCATTTGTAAAGTGTATCCCTGTAGTTGAAGGGGTGAACTATGAGCGAAGTCCCCTGCGCTCATCAACCCTTTTGTTCTTGGTGCCCACGAAAGAGTTCCATCAGCCGGATTGCAGTGACTTTAAACATCAATGTGGATACGCCATCAACGGCCTCATGGATGAACAATGTGTGGCTGGACTCGGGATGTCCGACATGCTTATATTAGTCCAGCTGGGAGGTCGCTGTGAATGCCACTGTTATCACCACACCCAGTGACGGTGTTGTGTGACATGCATAAAAAATTTGACGAGGAGGCAGGTGGTGATTGGTGTGAACAAAGTTGAAAGGCTCGAACCATTTCCGCGGGATGTGGCAACTCGAGATCCATGACGGACATCAGCGAAAGAACTGAAAGGTATCAGCTTGGGTTCCGGAGTAGATATTCTGTAGATGGGTGTGTCGATGTTCTCAGGACCGCAACATTCTGAAATATGAACAGGCTCTACAATACGGTATCCAGAAAACGTGGTGCTGAGTCAAGATATAAAGTTCGTTCCTTTTGTCTCACACTCGCTTCCGGTGTCGCATGCCGCGTAAAGTAATGTAGACTAGACGTTCCAGATCCAGATTGACTGACGGTTTCGAAGGTTGGAATTTGGGGAATCGAGAAGCATGGCGGGGTGCATATCTGTGCAGTAGTGCCGGAGAGAATTGCGTAGCGCGTGCGTTTTGAGCCATTTTTTCACCCGGCCGACGAAGACTTTACGATACCTAGAATCTAAACAGTAGTACGAAAGAGGACTCTTGCAATTTATTACCATGTTTGGTTAAAAAAAAGTTCGACGAGTCGTTGACAGATTGGGATCCGTGCCTGGCCGGCCCGAGAGGCTGGCAATGGCCATCACTGTTAGCCGGTCGGGTGCTTTGACATGGCAATGGGAAAGATCGGATGATTGCTATGGTACTTGTGGTTGGCCTGGTGGTTTTCAAATGGAAACTTTTAGGGTGACTCGATGGGATCGAGTAAAGGTAATCTCTTTTAGGTTCAGACCAGTGGTGCGGGGCAAGATAGAGTGAGATAGCCGCAAGATAGCTTATTTGCTTATCTCTGGTCTTTTAGCGGACACTAAGCCCGATCAGGCCTGGTATCGCTTTCGAGCACAAAGAGCCCTGCATGCCCCGGCTGCTGCCAAGAAGGCGAGCCATTTCTGTCTAGTGCTACTACCTAGCCATCGACAGCCGATAACAGGTGGACGAATCATGATGAGGGAATTGAGGGAAGCTGAGTCCGGTCCAAGCTTGATCAGCTGGAAAACATCCAATGTGTTGCCACGCCGTCACCAGCGGCCCTTTTTTTTTTTTGGTGCCTTCACTCGCTGCCTGGTTGTTCTTCCGTGCCCGCCAGCAACAACGTGCTTCTTTGCTCGAATGGGCGGACTGACGCTACCGTCGCACGTCCGCTACACTACTTGGTGTACCGTTGGATGCCCCGCGTGGCTGGATTCAGTCCGAAACCATACATGATCTTCACTGCTTCTGATATCATCTGCGACACGTTTTTTGGATATTATTTTATATTTTTTTTCAATAATTTTTTTTTTTTTTTTTTTTTTTTTCCGTCTTTCTTTCCCTTGGACCGCCCATGGCTGCCCTTGCGACCTTGGTTCTCTGCCTCAACGGACAAGACTTCCAATCCCCCCTTGAGCCCATGAATCCGTGGTTCACCTATCCCAATTTGGGTGAAGATGGACCTCGTGTCTCCCCTTCCGTTCTCCAGCGAGGAGACCCTAGCAGCTGCCTGGTCATGCTAGCGTGGCGCCGCGTGGGGGCTCCGGGGGGCTCGACTCGGCTTTTCCACATCAACACACTCGGCGAGCGAGCGAGACGATAGTACGACACTCTCCCGATTCTACCCCAACTGGGAATTGAACAAAGGAAGCACACTTTGCCCCACATGACATGCGTTCTGCAGGCAGGGTAGGTCTGGGTATCTTTGTGAGATAGTGTTGCATTGCTCGGCCTGATATCATGTCAATATTGTATGTCAGTGGTACCTGACAACCACCACTGCATTACAGAGCATTGCCAGAGAGCGTCTTCGATGCAGATAAAATCAAGGTATTGCCCCCTTCCCATCCATTCGTCTCCTTCTCGTCTGTCAATATCACAAGTGAAGCTTTGCCACTACACCTTTTCCACCCGTCGAACACCAACCCTCCGACTCAACACAACGAGACCCGCGGAGCATATACCTCCCGTCAACCTGCTCCAGTCCCTTTCCATTTTCTGGTCACATTTGGCAGCATTCCGTGCTCCACCCCGGTTGTTCGTCGAGTCAACAAATCGTCCAGGTTCCCCTTTGAAGAAAAGAGCCAAGTGAGAACCCCTGCCTTGTCTGCTTGGAAAGAAGGCTACAATCGGTACCAATCGACCGACCAAATCTTCATCGGTCTTCGTTCCTTCCACCCGGTCTTCGTTGGCGGGAAAAGAAAAGGGTCAACGTCGTTGTCCAGCCCTCCTTTTACTCGGCTTTTTGCTCGACTGCTGTTCCCCCGCATTTACCCGTTGCCGCGCCACCTCCACCGGATCCTCTAGCAGAAAAACAGAACTGCCAAAAAGGCCCACGGCCCGTGAGAAAAAGGGGAAAGAGAGAGAGGCAGAGAGAGAGAGAGAGAGAAGTTCGCGTGTTGCTTCGAGAAAAGAAGAATCTCGTGCTTCCACCACCGAACCAGCGCCCCTCCCTCGCCTCTCGTGTCGACGACCACGCCGCCAACTACCTGACCAGCTCAGGTCCTCTCACCAAACAATCATCACCAGAAAGGCAGGATGGCAGAGAAACTCAGCGCCGTAAGACGCTGGTCAAAACGGCTGGCCGTCGAGGCCGAGCCCGGGCTCACCACAGCCCAATTGATGGTGCGAAACCTTGTCTCTTTGCCCTGATAATCACATGATAGACACTCGCTCTTCACTCGGTCTCATCGCATTCGCATTTGTTGGAATTGCCGCAGCCCAAGACTGACACTTGCCGTTTCTCTCACAACAGTTGACGAACCACGACCTGAAGCCCGTGGAGGCCGAGCGTCGAACATGGGGTGCTTGGAACTTTGTCGGCTTTTGGATTGCTGACTCGTTCAACATCAACACGTGGATGATTTCGTCGTCCATGATGGTGAACGGCCTGTCATGGTGGCAATCGTGGCTGTGTGTTTGGATCGGTTATGCCATCTCGGGCTGCTTCATCTGCTTGACCGGTCGCATTGGTGCTACTTATCACATTGGTTTCCCCGTCGCCAGCAGATCCTCCTTCGGCATCTGGGGTAGCTTTTGGCCTGTCCTCAACAGAGCTGCCATGGGTATGTGGCTTTTACTCTTTCCATCGTCTCGTGTTGATTTATACATAGCGAACCTTCTCATTTCATGAGTGCTCTTTGCTGACCTTGGTGGAAATAGCTTGTATATGGTATGGTGTTCAGGCTTATATCGGAGGTCACTGTGTGTATCTCATGATCCGATCCATCTGGAAGGCATGGGTAAGTGACTCCCTATATCAATCCTCTAACACCATGTCCATTCTAACTGTAAGGTTCAGGACCGTAACACGATTCCCAACACCTTCTCTCCGACATCAGGCACTACGACAGCCGACTTTGTCTCTTTCTTCATCTTCTGGCTCTGCTCATTGCCCGCCATCTGGTTCCCTGTCCACAAAATCCGCCATCTGTTTACCGTCAAGGCCTACTTTGTCCCCTCCGCCGCCATTGCCTTCATGATCTGGGCCATTGTCCGTGCCGGCGACATTGGCCCTATCATTCGCCAGCCATCTTCCCTGAAGGGCAGCGATCTTGCTTGGGAGTTTGTCAAGGGCATCATGACTTCGATCGCCAACTTTGCCACGCTCATCGTCAACGACCCGGACTTTTCTCGTTACGCCAGGAAGCCCAAAGACGCGCTCTGGCCCCAGCTCTTGACGATTCCTACGGGCTTCGCCATCACTTCGCTCATCGGTATCCTTGTCTCATCCTGTTCGTTTTCGATTTACGGCGAAGCTGTCTGGGATCCGCTCGAACTGCTGGAGAAATTTCTGGACGAAGGCAATTCGGCCGAGCGCTTCGGCGTCTTCGTCATCGCTTTCGCCTTCTCGCTCGCCCAGCTCGGTACCAACATTGCCGCCAACTCGGTATCCGCCGGCGCTGATCTGACTGCTTTGTTGCCTCGCTGGATCAACATTCGCCGTGGCGGTTATATTTGCGCGGCGGTCGGTCTGGCTATGAACCCCTGGACCCTCCTCAAGTCCAACAACCAGTTCACCACCTACCTTTCGGCCTATAGCGTATTCCTCTCCTCGATCGCCGGTGTCATTGTTTTCGACTACTATGTTGTTCGCCGCGGTTATCTCGAAGTCAAGGAACTCTACGATGGGCGCAAAACCGGACCCTACTATTACACCTGGGGTATCCACTGGCGCGCCTATGCCGCCTACATTGCCGGTATCTTGATCAACGTGGTCGGCTTTGCCGGAGCAGTTGGAAGGACAGTTCCGATTGGAGCCACCTACATTTACAACGTCAATTTCTTTGCCGGTTTTCTCGTCTCTGGTGGCGTTTACTCGCTTCTTTGCCACTTCTTCCCCGTCCCGGCCGTTAGCGACAAGTGGATGGAAGTTGGTGACGAGATTGAGGACCTCAGGGTTACGTATGACAGCGACGGCGCGACCGGAAGTGGTCATGAACTTTATGTTGATCCCATGGTTGGAAAGTCATACAAACTGGGCGCAGATGACAGCAAGATTGTCTGAGAAGGGCAGACATATCTTTAGACGGATGTAGTTCAGCGCACACTACTTATACGCTAGACACGCACTCACCAACACGGGAACGAAGTAATGCGGTTGGTCTTTATTTTTGCATAGACAAGGCTTCTTCCGGAGTACAGGTGACAGGCCAGGTTTGGTTTTGTTACCTCTGATAACTCGACTTTTTCTCGAGCCTTGGTGTTGGGACTGGAAATGCCACGTACGCGGACTAAGGCGCAATGATAGTAATTAGGGTAGGCTTAGAGAAGAGCGTGTTGTTTGATGTTTTGGTTAGGAATACCCGGTTGGCTACGGTTCACGACTTGATGAGTTACGAATAATGATAATGAAGATAATACGTGTTACACGTACATACGTTCCGTTCATACTTTGCGTTGTGTGTATATGTTGTATATGTTTGTTCATTGCGCGTGGTGATTATTTGTGTGTACTTTGATTTGTTTGTATGTTTGTCCCCTGTCTTTTAGCTCTTGTCCCCTTTGAAAAACATCGAAGTGGGATGTTCTAGAGTATCACTTGGGATATCATATAGGTATCACCGAATTCTTGCCCTTATCGGACACGAGTAGACTTCAAGATCAGACAGCAAGCTCTCAAAGATAAGCTCAGCCTCACATTGTGTCATGTCTACTTACCTACCTAGCGACCCTTCTTTGTCTAGCAATCATTACAGAAACTGTTTACTTTTCACTGGGGATTCGACAGGCGAGAACTGGGACTTGAACTGACGGTCAGCACGATAAACATGAAACAACCAGTAGTTGCTTCACCATTACCAAACTTCCATTCCCAGCTTTAAGCTATATGACAATCTTGCATGCAGATAACCAAAGGTGTCAGAAAGCCACTTCCCTATAAGAGGGTTGGGGTCAAAACTTGAACAAGTCTTTATTGTCGAGAAATTGTCGAGTGATCTCAAGGCAGCTAGGCAGCTCTTGGGGTATGTTTGGGGAAGGCACGTCTGGACTACTGACTTGCCTACAAAATGGAAGATTGGAGGGTGTGCGGCGATAACGCTCGTCGCCCAACATTTAACATCTACTGTTTCCATCTCATTCTATCTCTCTCATTCAGCTTTTGGGACATCTGTAGGAGCGCACTTTCTTCCCGTCCTTTTCATCAACTTGTTGGTTGGTTTGCATCGCCATTGTTATCACCATCTTCTTGCATCCTTGTCGCCCATTCAATGAGTGGGCTTCCATTTCCCATCACCACTCCCTTCTAGTATTTTTAAAGCTGCCCAACTCTCTCTTTTCACTTTTCCGCTACAATCTCACAATGAACTACACTTTTTTTTTTTTTTTTTTTTTTTTTTTTTTTTTTTTTCCTTTTCGCCGTCGCTCTTGTTACACCTCCGTCCCTCTCACCTGTTCTTGGCTTGACGCTGAGGGGTCGTCTCTCGAGTCTGAGATCTATGGTAGCATCGGCCCAAATGCATATAAATGGCGCGTCAGCCACTCAGGCAAGTGCAAGGTAAGTCACGTTTCTTCTGCGAGTTTATTTACAATGTCTGGTTTGCTTGACGATTCTCTCTCTTGTTGCGAGTTGAATGATTTATCATCTGTCCGTCAGTCTGTCTTGTTCTCTGTCCCGCCACAACCATATCATTCGCCCGCTTCTTCAACCAGAACTTTGTATCCATGGAACCCCAAGAACCCTCAGAGACGAAAGCACCTGAGACCAGTCCGCAGGATTATCCGTGGCGCAAATATTGTGATCTTTGCTGCGATATCAGTGAAGATGACACAAAAGTGCGCCCATATCAGCGGAAGCCATGGAAATACATGAGTCAGCAATGGAAGGATGTTGGACCTGCTGGTCCATTCTGCTTACTTTTGAACATTTTGTTGGCGCAGAAGAATTCTTGCATGCGCATGAGATCGGGTTTAGGGGAATCTATAATGGATGTGCAGAAATAGAGCTGTATCGACCCGGCAGCGGTCGACATCGAGAGCTTAATCTCCGATTCTTTACCGGGTCAGTTTATTTATGGTCTTACGAATCCCTTCGACCGAGCTCTACGCTTAGTTGGCCATGATTGTAATTGGATACCATGCGAGCAAGGCATCACAGAATATTTCACTGATGTCCACGCCTCCACATCTTTCAACTAACACTCACCAGATACAAGACCCCCCTACACGCCATGGACGGCGATGCTGAAACCCCTTTCTTCTATCGATGCCTCAATCCGAGCCAAGTCTCTTACATGGATAGCTAGGCAAATCAATGCCTGTTTGAAAGAACACGACACCTGCGAAGATACTTCGGTGTCGAATCTTCCGACCCGCGTTGTTGACGTCAACTATGCACCTCAAAGAGTGCGTATCATACCAACCAATGGGGCTAGTGGAACGTATATCACACTCAGTCATTTCTGGGGTGATCCGGGTCTTATGAATACCAAACTCACCGCTCATAATCTCGAAGAGTATATGAATGAGGGTATCTCGATTGAGGATCTCCCACGCACATTCCGGGATGCGGTCGAGTTGACCAAAGACCTTGGCGTCTCATATCTGTGGATCGACTCCTTGTGCATTGTTCAAGCAGATCCAAGTAAAGATATGGAAAGTCACACCAAGATGGTGAGAGAAGACTGGGAGCGAGAGTCCGCCTCCATGTGTACGATTTTTGCTGGTTCATACGTCACTCTGGGTGCAATGGTTTCTCCTGATTGCCAGGGAGGTCTCTTCGCTCCTGTCGAGCATCGTGTTATCAGTGCTGATACTCTGCCCGATGGTTCCCATTCCTATCTCTACGCAGAGGAACACCACAATCACAACGAGAAATATCTTCTCGAATCTCGTGCATGGGTTTATCAGGAGACCCTTGTGTCGTCACGCACTCTGTATTTCTTAGGTCGCGAGGCTATGTTGCTCTGTCGAGACTACCATTCATCCCAATGTGGCCGACGTGGCCTCGCTTCAGGGCCAAGCATGGATGGAGCAGGCAGACAGACTGCTTTCTTCAAACTCCCTGCGAGAGCTACCAAACATGGGGCTGGAACTCAGTTAGACACTTCAGTTTCACGGGTCAAAAACAAGTTTGATAAATCACTTCCATGGGCCAAATGGCAATTGCTGGTCGCTCGCTATGGCCACCAAACCGACATCAGTTTTGCGAGCGACAGACTCATAGCAATTGAGGGGCTTGCTGGATATTTGCAGCACATGAGGCCTGGCGAGCGCTACTTTGGGGGAGTTTGGTCGGGCTCATTTACCAAAGACCTGCTCTGGACAATAAGAATCCACGGCCACGAGCGACTGCGAGTTGGTCCAGATACCATCAAGACGAATCGGAGCAGCGAAAAGTGGCTTTTCCCGACATGGTCATGGGCCTCGCTGAGCGATGAGCGGCATCGTATCAATGTAAGATACATTGATTTCAGTGAGAGGGTGAACCTCTCCCTCCACGGCCCCGGATCAGACGAAGAGCAGCTCTACCAGGATAGCGCCTTCTTGTTACGTCCTGTCGGCGAGCCTTTTGCACAAAACAAGATAGCAAACGGACAACAAAAGCCTCAGCATCCCACCGAAAAGAGGCGCTATTACGAACTCAAAGTGGAAGGCATTCTCGTTCCAATCCCACGGTCACTGTTGTTTACAGGGGAGGTGGGAATGTTTCTCCCCAAAATCCACTGTAACTGGCGCCACTTCTGGTGTGACTTTGGGCTTCTCGCCTTCCACGACTGGTTTTGTAAAGAATATCCTGAAGGATCTGCTGAGCCAACGTTTTACTGTCTGCGTATGATGAACTACATAGGTCGGTCTGGACACTATATGGGCTTGGTGCTCCGTTGCGTGGACGAGGAAAACCAACTTTACGAAAGGCTTGGGGTCTGGGAACAGCGGTATGTCTTGAAAATGGGCGACCCTGAAGAGTTTCTGGACGAACACAGTTCCGCCAAGAAGAGGAATTGGAAGCCAAATTGGTGGCAAGAAGAAGGTGCGGAGGCTGAGCCGGAGCCCAGGGTCATAAGTTTGGTTTGAGTCTTGCTTCGTGAGAAGGGTTACTGATCCAAGTACATATTTCGTGCCTTTCCAGTGCGCATTCTTTCTATTTCAGGTCTCCGTGTTGTACTACTGTCTTGTTTCCTTTTCCCGTTGTTCTTTGCCTGTGATCGTTCTCTTTCTTCTTTCTTCTTCCTTCTTCCTTCTTTCTTCTTCCTTCTTCCTTCTTCCTTCTTCCTTCTTCCTTCTTCCTTCTTCCTTCTTCCTTCTTCCTTCTTCCTTTTCAGATAAAAGGCAGAACATTGTTCTGCGCGAGTACAATCGTTTGGTATCAAGAGTTTGATCCCCTGTGTAAGGACACTCAGGCTCAAGGGAAACACCACAGAAACATCGAGTACATGATATGAGCCACAACTTTGAACGTTGTAATAAATTCACATACAAGAGGTGGGTCGGGTCACTCAGTACATGTAGTGTTGGTAGGATCTTTGTAATATCAAGACCGGAGTTAGCCCGCGTTACAGACAAGAACATTGTCGATACTTCACTTAGGTAGTCAGTTATTAATGTTAGTGTTTGCCATGTTGACCTCTGGTACGACATAAGAACTTGAGGGAGCGTATTTTCAAAGAAGACCGGGGTAAAACCTATCCCGTCGAATAAAAGGAGACGACAAGTCAAGCCAAAAAGCACAACCTCAGTTGCTGTTATTGTAAGTGACGCTAGATAGTACGAATAAGACTTTAATGATCCGGGTCATATAATTTTACCATGAAAAATCCCTCATCTGACTTGTCCAACCCTGGCGGATGACCGTTTTTTCAGCACATTTAGCTTTGAATCTTGTTAAAGCCTTCAGGTACCTAGGTTGGGGAGAGCTATGCAACCACTTTGGCGCCATTTGATCAAGTTGGTATGACCTAGCTAGAGGTAGGAAGCTTGTAGGTCAAGGTGACTGAGGCGCTCATCGCTTGGTAACAGCAAAGAAGCAGAACATCATCCTCTCCAAGAGGAGTTTTCTTGAGGATACGGAGATTTTTTCGCAGGATAGCGGCCAGGCGATTATCCTCTCCAAAGTCCATCTCTGAATTGACGTTATTCAGAAGAGGCAACTCTTGGCCGTTATCCTGCCCCAGTGGTGCCTCTAGATTGCTGCTCTCTTCAGATGGCGCGTGTGAGATGTTGTTGTCGTCGTCCTCTCCCTCCTCGTCGTCGTCGGTGTCGTCTTCCGGGGGGTCAAAGCACATATACCGTACAACCTTCCTAGAAAGCCACTGCAGCCTCCCTTCCATCTTCGCGAACAGTTCAGCACCCTCCGGACAAAAATGGAACCTTGCATGCACCTTTCCATACGCCGACTCGTACCGTCTCCGCGCATACTCGCGGGATTCGTAACAGATATGGGCCAAGAGCGGCGGTTGGCAGCTGAAGAGCATAGTATTATAAACGATCCCCCTTCTGGGTTGTCCAAATGGGTACTTAGATACCAAGTCGTCTCTCTTACGGACATGCTCCTGGATGCCTGGAATGTCGCATCGGCATTTACAGGATATATTGGCTACAAAGATGTCGTCTTCTGCGATGAGCTCGTTCCATATCATATCGCGAATTTCGCGAGGTAGGGACCAGAATGTCACCCTACTAGTCTTGGTCGTAGTCCGCGTCATTGTCGTTATCGTCGTTATCGTCGTTGTCGTCGTTGTAGTCGGCGTCGTCGTTATAGTCAGCGTCATCTTAACTAACATCCCCGTACCCTGTCGCGGCTCATCTGGGTCAACCCCGGCGCTTGGTATAGGTGCGTCGACTAGTTGCTTTTATTAGTATTCTAAGATTAAGGACGTAAACAAATCCCTAACATTCTTTACGCGGACTGCTTCCGCTCGTTGGTTGATGATTTCAGCCATTATTACCGGCTTAGTACTTTCAGCCTCTGCTATTGGGGGACTGAATCAGAGTGCTCAGGAGGGATATCATCAAGCTGAATGATAAAGTTGAAGTGGATGACAGTAGGAACCGAGTAAAGAGATCAAGATGCGCGTGAGTTGGGGGGGGGGGGGGGGGGGGGGGGGAATTGGATAATAGCGTTTGAGGGGAGACCGCCGAAATCACGAAATGTGACAAAGCGTTGCTTCCGCCAACATGCGTCGGATACGGCAATGGCAGTTGGCTCAAAAGAGGAAAGAAAGACGGGAAAGAAGGGGGAAAGAATAAAGGGCGAACTCATCGGTCTTATTACGATTGACTGCATTCCCTCACAATCTTCACCGGTCGAAAATATTTTTCATGGAAAGATTTAGAATGAAGCTGCGAGGGGTAAAATGTGAGAACTCGCTCATCGCCCAAATGGGAATAGCGGAGACAAGGGCGGCAGTCCCCGCTGCAATCATGTCCCCCATTGATGCAACTTAGCTCGGGCACTATAGAGGACGGGTCGGAGTGTTTGCATTAAAAGGGACTTTTGCATAAAAGAAAGCAGGGGTCATTACTGCCAATGCCTTGAAGATGAGTACTTTTTGTAGGTCCAGCTTCTTGTATAGAAACAGAAAGCAAATAACAATTATGCATCTGTCCCAAAATGGGAGGAAGATGGATGTGGAAGAACAGAGACTGGGCTTTTCCTAACCGAGCTTGAGGAGAAACCAGAAACGTCGACAGAAACAACAAAAAAATATTACCGGGTCCAACGCAGTTCCTCGAGACGCGGGCGCCACCGGAGATCAATTGACGGAGGTGGAAAGGCCACAATAACCAGGCAATATGCTCATTTCTAGAGCTGGGTCAGAGGAGAAGTCGACCTCAGGGAAATCTTACACATTGGAGGTAAGTGCCGTGAACGTGAAGCCCGGTAAATGGGCGAGTGCAGCAAGACTTTCACTATACTGCTGGGAGTGAAAGGAGAATACGTATATCGGCATTGGGATCTGAAGTGAAATGATGAAGCTATAAAATAGAAAGGAAAGAGAAAAAGTGGGAATGTTAACGAATCAAAAGAGGGTGCAAAAAAACATACAACACCAGGGATTCGCTGGTCGTCACCGACCCAACTACTAGTCTGGCCCTCACTGGCTTATCTATGGGAGAGCGGACGGGATCCCGAGTTTTCCAGTGGGTATGGTCGTATGTAATAATATAACTTCATCTTACCACTTATAAGCTGACATCGAGGTCCCGGCGACATAAGAGTACAGTAATGTTTCCGCAGGTGTAAAAGATTCGGGCACTATAAGGAACAGCTTGCTCTCGCTAGTGCCTTACTTCCGTACAAGACTCGAAATTAGGACTACTAAAAAAAGCTTATACTTAGTAGGGCACTTGAAAAATAGTATTTGTATAAAGGAGAGTTTGCACTTGTGGGGGAAATTACTGTGCAAGCCCTTTTTTGCCTGTGGGTGGGCACGACATGACTCGTGAGCCACGAAAAAAAAACATCAACCTCGAAAAAGAGGTTTGACTCAACCCGAGCTCGGTTGATACAATGGTTATGACAAGAGTGGGATTCGAACCCACGCCCTTTCGGACCACGGATTTCCTTGAGGAGGATTAAGGGTTTACCTTAACGTGGCGCCTTAGACCGCTCGGCCATCTTGCCTGATGATGGTCTTGTGATCTCTGGACCAGCATATGTAGTCAGTGTTGTGACGGCTCACTTCTTATTGAAAGAAGGTCACCAACGCCAATGGAAGGTACAATTGAGATGTACATAAATCATGTCTGATCTGTGTCCGGCTGAATTCGCTGATTGCGATGAACCCCCATACAAGCTTGGTAGGCGTCGACATTGCTTCGACCCACCTCCTGATGAAGCTTTGGATAAAGACGCTTCGGGACTTGCGGGTAACTACTACTCATCAAACGCCCCAAGTCCCTCAACCATCCATTACCAAAACCCCCCACATCATGGGTATATATGAGACGGTTGATTCTCATAGAAGATAATCCCCAGGATGGTACCACAAGGACAAGATACCTGGGCATTTCTCATGTCGGACCATAAAGGCACTAGAAGGGAGTTGGCGGCGACGAGGGAACTGCAATGAAAGTGGGAAACGGCAACGCGGACAGACAATCAGGTTTGGCGAGTTTGTTTGCGTAGGATAAGGCTGTATTCTTGTTCAAATACCAAACCGGCAATGATGAAAAATACAACGTAGGGGTATCGTGTAACTCTGCCATGCTCTTGCAATATCCAATTATGCACCATATTCCTCCATCTCCCCCGATTTTGTGATGCTCAATTAACTCAAGGACGTAGACGCCCGACTCTCCAAGGCTCAACTGGATGCCGGGCAGCCAAGCGTGTCTGCGAGTGCTTTACTGACTTTTTCTCCGGATTGGACCTCTAGTCCCTGCCGGTGGGATGCCTGAAGAGCACATACCAGGCGTGGATGACGCCAGGGAACCAGGCCAGGATGGTTAGGAGGATGTTGATCCAAAAGTCAACCTTGAAGCCGCGGTCCAAGAAGACAGCCAGGGGCGGGATGAAGATGGCAAGAATGAAGAGGATGATGTCGGAAGCGCCGAAGCGTGTCTTAGTGACGGCGGGGGTGTTGGCTACCGACTTTTCGTTGCCATAGGTGCTTGCTGTAGTCGGGCGGTTGGTAGCTGGTGTTGTGCCGGCGGCGGCGGTAGTAACAGTTGTGGGATCGGCTTGAGGGTATGTTGTGCCCGCAGTAGCAGCAGTAGGGGCATCATAATGGGGCTTTTCTGTCGATGTGTTGGGGATCGAGGGAGGTGCCGCGTATGCTTGTGACATTGAGTTTTGCATCGTGAAGGCTTGGATGTGGGGTTTCGTAGGGTGCTCGGTTCAGTTCTTGATGTGAATATTAGATGGTGAGGTGACTTCGGTTCACGCAATCAGGATGGCGCGGTGGAAGAAAATTAGGTAGATGTTGATGTTGGTGTTGTGATTTCGGTTCGGTCAATACGAAAATATTCCTTGAATGGGGGGCTGACCTATTTCTACCTCCCCAGCAAGACTTGGATTCGTTGTCATTCAATGGAACCACTTCATTTTCCGTCATAATGGAAAGAACCGTGAGATCACCAGTCACCAGACCGAAAACTTCCCATCACTTCCGAGTGCGCGACGGTGAGCAAGTTCGAAAGAAGGCGTAACACGCACGACTGTTGTGGCGGATTAAGGGTCCAATGACGTCATGGGCAAAAACAACGGAACGACTGGGTCGATCCTTCCCGTCACGCCCGTCACCCCTCACGTCTTTTAGCTAGTATACATTCAGTCAATCGCCACGAACGAGCTTCTCATTCTGATAGTCTTCCTGTACGTTCCGACTAGTCAATGGAACATCTACACTCGAAGACGACAGGAAGCAATTGCAGAAGAAGTCTGCGTGATTGTCAGCGACGACCGACGAGCCTCTCGTGCCCTTTGTCACAACGGCAAAATCACCGAGACAGCGCGCTCTATTTAACTTGGCATCGATCATTTAAAGATACATTGGGCTCCAGCCACAAGCCATCCAATACGGTACTGCCCATACGGGAACGGTGGTCTGGAAGCCTAACTTTAAAACTCTCTTGACACGCATCTCGACGTGGTCACCATCTTAACCATCCAGGGATGTTCTCATAAGTATCTGAACTCGTACCATACCTACTCTCTTTTTGCTCCCCTTCCTCAACCTAATCAAACCAAGAAAGCCGAGCCCTAGCTTTCTCATTGACAGACAAGATGGCGCCTGGACCAAACCCCTCACTTCGGTCTCTCCCAAACATATCATCTACCGTCTGGCTGGCTATGGTTCTGTCATTTTTCAGTCATAGTGCCAATGCTAAACCCGCTCAGCCGCAAACTGTCGGGTATCTTGACCTCATCTTCTTCGTAGAAAGACTGCCAAATTGCACCGGCACCCAGATAATTTGCCCGACCCAGTTGCATTGCTCACTCCTTACAGTTCCCTACAGACGCTACCCAGATATCCGCTACAACACATGATGTGCAATCCTTCCAACCTTTGATGGAACCATGGCTTGTAGCCAGGCTCAATAGTGCGGTAGGGGCGGTTTAGTTGGCGCTTTATACGAGCATCAGGGACTGTTCGATTCATGGAGCAGGCTTCGGATATTATTACTATAGGTAAGTCGGAGCCGTCGACGAAAGGGGTGACTGCTGTGTACAGGCTCTGGGTTCAATGGTTGGGTGTTTCTGAGCATCTGCTGGCTTCGTCGCAATGTCTAACGCCTAATAACAACAGTTAGACCGTCACGGCATATCAAGACAGGACTAGAAAACCCGCCAGAGATTCCTGTATTACCTCCACAAAGCTTCCCTCATGTCCAGAAAGTACATTTCACCCGGCCACAATCGTCAATCCTTCGGATGATTCACCACACCGATTTGCCGTAAATCGCCTTACCACAACTTCTTGGCTTTGCTGTGTCCATCACGGAGCGTCAGCCTCGTCCTGCTTCAGCTGTTTGGCAAACCACTTTGACATTTAATGTAAGGATCGTTGGGACGATACCAACAGTACCGAAAATTGATGCAATCGCCGCTGCCCTACTGTAGTGCCCATATCAGCTACGATGCCGGTACGGAAAGAGCCTCAATCCATGAGTGGGATTTCCATTTCCGTCATGTATGTCCGCGCAACTCGCAACCTCATGTTCTCGCGGCATGCGTCTTCAGAGTACGTAGCGTAGATCTGGACAAGCACGGCCTTCGTTGGGTTCATTGTCGCAACCGGGCTGGGGACGAACGATAGAAACATAGTAAGTTAAGTAGTTCGAAATGTTGAGATACTGCACTTTCTGCATAATGAGATATTTGGACCAATTTCGAGTTGATTTGCACTAGATAGACCGGAGTGTCAGAGCCTCACTGGTGTTGAGCGCATCGACGCTGCCGGATAGGAAGTATTGGAAGCAGTTGGTGGGAGTGAACTCCTGGAGTTCTCTTCCACCTCTCAGTCACTGCTCGTATGCATTGTCTCACATCGAATTTCCATTAATGCGTGGCAGGGTCTGCAATTATACATTAGTGATCGTTCGCTTGCGAGAATTCCGTTTTGAGTCAATCGGTTTAGATCGGTTCACCGTGACAGACGTGAGGGAAAAGGAGACAAGCAAGAGAAAGCATGCTACGCCAGCAAATGTAAGTGCTCAACATGGGCGAAACAATCACATACGACCATACCCACTGGAAAACTCGGGATCCCGTCCGCTCTCCCATAGATAAGCCAGTGAGGGCCAGACTAGTAGTTGGGTCGGTGACGACCAGCGAATCCCTGGTGTTGTATGTCTTTTTTCGCATTTTTTCCTTTGCTCTACGTATATCTTCGGGTTGCATCCCTCCGTTCTGCTCACTCTTTTGCAGTAGACACGAGTGCATTGTCGTTCTGAATGAGAAGACATGTCCACAATCTGGAAAGTTGCGTTATCAATTCCACTTGAACGAGAGAGGTGCCGTTGTCAGGTAACACATGCACTTCCAGTAGTTGTTCTATAAAGACAAGTAAAAGAAGTAACAACGAACGGACTCGAAAATAAAAAGTACAAAGGTAGAAAGGTAGAAAGGAGCTTCACATAGTTCGGTTCTACTAAGACCTAACATATAAACCTAGGTAGCTTTTCTTCCCCTTTCGTGCTCTGACCGTTGATTAAAAGCAAAAATAGTTGCGATTGTTGTAACTCTAACGTTCATTCACGTATCGGAGAGGGGAAAACAAAAACAGACATGCACTCACACGATCTGCGACATGCTATTGACGAATGATTCAACTAGGAGTAGGTAGAACCGGGTTGCGCAAAAAAGAAAAAAAAAAAAGAAAATGCCCAATAACAGGATTGAACTGTTGACCTTCGCATGACTTGATATCTCGGAGAAGATATTAGTACGACGCTCTAACCAGCTGAGCTAATCGGGCAGTTGCTGGTTGTTGATAAGCGTTTGGAATTAGGAGTCTAAGAACGCATGACACCAATCGAAACGGGGTACTCCTTCTGCGTCGAAGTTCGCCGGCTGTGTAACTGTCACTCCCTTTTTCCTCCACGCTCAGACATAATAGTAAGGGTGAACATTCATTCAAGAGATTCATGACTGTTGAAATAATTAGAATCTAGTGATGCAGGAGTGAAAGATGGTTGGTTGCGAGGAACGTATTGCGAGGGTTGATTCAGCGAGCCTACAAGTGCTCAGACCATGCAGTCTCGCTGCCGACCATGTCTCCTAAGTCGAACTAGTCTTTTGTCACAGATCACTGTAGAGCCCTCAAAAGAGGAGTTCCCGGATTGCTCTAAGCATTATTTGGGAAGAATTAGGCTGGTGATTGTCCCTGAGAAGAGCTGAGCTCAACGGTGATGGGAGAGTGAAACCCTGTTCAACTGGACGACTGAGGATCTGAGAAGAAGCCATTTTGTATGCATGTGCGGTCATTGGCGTGTGTGTGTCGGTTAACCATAGATTAATCGTGGATTTGGCCTTGAAGCAAGGCCTGGTGGAGTAAAGTAAAAACGAGTTTCATAATAAGGCCAAATGGAAAAGCATCGTGATACTTAGTACATATGATAATTTTTAGACTGATTCAGCAGTAATAACATACATGGTTACTCGGGTACATCGATCCAAGAAGGAGGTTGGAAGGCCATTGGAACAAGAATGGACAGTCATTTCACATTAGCAGGAAACTACCCATCTATTACGTTCCGAAACTCGATACACTGAGCACTTGCGTGTACGTCGAGTGAGAGAACTCGTGTCAACCACATGATTGAGCATGGTGCATGGATGACTGAACTTCAGTCGGTTGCGAGATTCATCGAGGCTGTGTATGCTCGATTTGCTGGATCCGTGGCTGAGATTTCTGCCTCATCAGATCCTCGCCTTCCCATCAGTCCAGATTGCTGCAGTGTTGCTGGGCGGCAGGCGCAAGTCGGTTTTTTCCCGGAAGCGGCAAAGGTCACGGTCCCCGGTCCCCGCCGTGATGCATTCCCCGCACTCGCTGGATATCTGTGTTGACCGCACCTGCCACATACACCCGGACACAACAGCATCTCTCAACTAAACCCACCTAGGAACCAGCAAAAATTACCCGTTTGCTGAAAGCATCGGGATCCACGGAGCGTCCGACACTTACTCTAATCACTCTCTGCCACTCAACCAAGTCAGTCCTACTCCTTGGCCGTGGGGATCGAGGCATATGGCGAGTTCTCGATCGCCTTATCGGTATGCTGCCGTTTTTTTTTCCCCTTTCACATCCACAATCACCACTGACATGAGATTAGGGTATATCCTGGCTAACGTCTATCAAAACCAGACCATGGTTGTTTACCTTGATCACATATACCGTACATACCGACTAATCCATCCCGTCATATCTCCCGCAACGTCGCTCAAAGCCCAGCCTGCCGGTCACTGGGCTTTTACATCATAAGATCCGAACAATACGATATCTTTTTCGTCGTAAAATACATGACCGCATTATGCACCAATTGGAGGCCCTGGAGAAACCCCTTGGGGGATTCGGCTGGCGCGGAAAACTCCCGTTTCTTCGGCAGTGAGTGCCTAGCTTCCTGGTCGTACGGTAACGCACCGAAGACAGGGGTTTTACCGTCCAAGTCCCAGACCTAGCCTCTCGACAACCAATAGTTTGACAACCAGACTCAACGAGCGGATGAAGTAGGCAACAAAACATCAGAACCACTCCTAAGGTTTGTTGTCCTTTGCCGCCTTCTCGCTCCCTTTACCGGCATTCTCCTTGGCTGCCTTTTCTTTAGCTGCCTTCGCCTCCTCTTCTTCCTTTTTCCTCCTGTCTTCTTCTTCTTTCTTCTTACGATCGTCCTCTTCCTTCTTTTTGCGCTCCTCTTCCTCCTTCTTTCGCTGTTCCTCACGCTCCTTTTCTTTCCGTTCCTTCTCGGCGAGAATGCTCTTCTGTTCGGGTTCCGAAAGTTTTCCCCAAGCGGCAACGTTTTCGTCCCCTATATGACATGTCAGCTGGAATTGTCGGGAAAAAAAAATCTGGGGATATAAACTCCAGCTTACACTTCTTGACACATTCGTCAACCCAGTTACACTGTTCGACCTCACCGTATGCCGGGTGTTTATATCTCGGGTGTCGGCTGGGCCAATTCGAGGCGTGGTAGTGGTGCTTTACCAGGGCGGCGCGCGCGTCATGGTTGCCCGAGTTGGAATGGCCCTGGCCAGCAGCAAAGGCCTCAACCGTCAAGACCAAAACGCGGCTCACAAGCTTGGATTCCCCCAGATCGTGAAACGTATCCCAGGTGATAGGTTTACCCGGATTCTCGTTGGCATCGTTCATCTCGGCGATGATGGCGTTGGTGAAGGCTGAGGGGCCTGTTCCGCTGATGATCTGGTCAAAATCGAGCTTGACTTCGGCAAGCGGCACACCTTGCTCTTTAGCAACCCCGTTCAGCCAGGTCATTATTTGCTCAATCAGCCTCATCATGACTGGCAGTTGCGGCTTGCACATGAATGTCCACTGACAAAACGAGCGCGACTTGGGTCCAAGAATGGGATGGTCCTTCCAGTCGGGCTCGTCGATTTCGACGCCAATGACCATATCAATATCAGCCATGTCGTATCGCTCTGGCACAAATTTCGAAAGCGGCTTGAGGGCTTCAACATCGATGTCGGCATATAGACCGCCCTCGGCGTACATGACTAGGTATCGCAAGAGATCGGCCTTGACAATTGCAGCCTTGACGCTTCGGTAAAAGTTGACGATATCGGGTCGGTTGAATCCGTCGGGGCCGAAATGCCACTCGACGTATTGCATGTCATTGCTGTCGGTCAGAACTTCGTATCGGTATGAGGGGTTCTGTCCCACCCAGGACCGCGCGGTGTCGAGATCGCGTTGCTCAAACGCAAGCGGGTTGACTTTCCAAGTCTGCCATATCTTTCGCGGGAACTCGGTGCGCGTGTACTTGGGAATATTATGCTTGGTCGCGACGTGAGGGAGAACGAACGTTGTGTCTTGGACACCTGAGTGAAAGAGTGTTACGTTCAAAAGGAAAAGGACGAAAACGACAACCGCGATGTAAAGAGGTGCGCCGCGCCGAAATTGGGTCGGCAAACGATTTCGGAATTGCGCCGTTGTGGCAGCCAACTTGGGAGAGCCCAACGGCGATACCAACTTGGCGATCATCACGGGCAGGTGCACCAGACTGCAGCCCTTGAAGCGAGTGGCATCAACTGTGAGGAAACGCGACGATGATAGCGGCGAGAGTTGGCGAGTAGAGGATGGGAGCGAGTGAATCAAGGACCAAAGTCGCGAGAGGAGGGAAGGGAGAACAAAAAAGTGGCGCCCTCAGGGTTGATGATGGACCGATGAAGATGCGGAGGAGGAACAAAAGGCCGAAGACATCACCAATTCTCTTTCCCCCCGCCGGGTCCCTGTTTGGCTATCAAGCTTATCACTTGCCCGGTCGCGCGTCTGTTGCAAAGATCACCCTGGGAATGCCTCAATGTCGCGGTGATTTGTTCCCTCGAGGAAGCCAGATTGACAGGGGCGTGCCTGCCAGCCACCAATCATCCGGCAAGCAAACCACTCTTCCATCCCAAGTCCTACATCGTAAAATGGTGCGGACGAGAAGGAATTGAATTTCGAAGAGGGTTTCGGTTCTGGACCGATCATTGTCCCGTAATCGACCAGTCACAGTGGATAGAGGTCGTCCCAGGTTCTTCCCCGGTTCTTCCCCGACAAGGGAAATCCACTGATTCTGCAAAGACTGATTGCCAACATCAAGACAAGCAATCCCGACCATTGAGCAAAACCCCTGGTCGCGACCTGTGGATTGGACGAAATGTTTGGGTAAATGGGGGTACGGGAATTCGATATCAGATGCTGTGGCAGAGACAAACTTGGAGGCGCGAACGGCGTAAAATCAGGACGCATATTCCATTCCTTATCATATCCCGCAAGCGATCCGAGCGGTGTTATGGGTCATGCATTTCAACAGAATGGTGACCGGGGCTGAAGTAGTATGATGAACATGGGAATGAATATGCGTTAGATTGGATTGGCTGTGCACTTTGGGGTTAGTGATAGTGGCTGCTGGAGGATGTGACTGAGACAATTTCCTGTCCGAGAAGATGCAACCCACCAATGTCGTAGTGTACATTCTGTAGGACCAGTCTGTGGCCTAGAGCTCACCATCTGCTGCTGTCACCTAACAAGGGCAGGCTTCGAGACTCAAGATGGAGGCAGGAAAAAAGGTCGCCATCGGCCACTGGCCCGTGCCGTCAACAAGACCATTACGCTGCATTCCAAGAGACTTCCTCCCTTGGCTGTACGCTTGCAATCGTTGCAGAGCCGTATGCCGGCAGTGAGACCCGTCTACTCGGGATCACCGCGTCAGAAAGAGGCCTCGACTTTCCTCCCCAGTAGCGCGATTGGAGGACGGGTTTTCCATGTTTGTGTCCTGCATCCAATGATCAGCTCGGATTCGACTTGCCTTGCTAAGCCCTATGATGAAATTGCTTACATTACAGTCGGGTATAGGACCGTGCTTTTAAGTTCAACTTTTCAGCGCATGAGAACCCATTTCGCCAACCGTTCGCCCCTCATCCTCTTACGATTCCATTAAATCGCCCTCACATTATCCGTGGGGCGTGTCGGTTTATATGAATGATCGATTGATAACGTTCGGCATCGTGCCAATAGGTAGTGTGATGACTTGCGCGTGAGTTTCATCCATGCAACAGGTGTCGTCGAGCTATGCGATGATTAACCCGCGGGCGTGCCTGGCCTGGCCCCCGCTCTGCCCCCTGCCCCTCCCGCTAGCGCTACGCACTAACACCCGCCCCCCCTGAGGTTCCAACTTGAAGTAACTCCAGTTTTCTCGTGCGCGTCCCACATCGCAACGTCGGTGACTTTTTCATCCTCCTTGTATCACTTTCATCTTTTTTCATCTTTATTTTTCCTCTTGTCCTCTTTTTTTTTTTTTTTTTTTTTCCCCTTCTTTACAATCTCTTTGGTCGCCTAACATCCATCTTGCAGTTTGACAAGCACGTGCCGTCGCGTTTTCAAGACCTTGTCCCGCGCTCCAGTAAATGACGGCCTCAGGGCGCCTGATAAGACGATTATTGGCACATTCCCCTTGTGGTTAGCTGGGCGTTCAGTGCGACGCGACATGCTGGCACGAAAGGAAATATCTAAAGCGGTTGATCTGAGGAACTAAATCGCCAGCGCGGTAGCTTCCCTTTCACTATGTATGGTACCCGATGGACACAATCTTCGTTCACCAAGTTGGAGTGCCTTGCGTTGTTACCGTGCAAGTGCCCGGAACGTGAGGATATAGCAATGAGCTGCGCATCACCACTCTGTCGCTCGGCCGTCTCAATCATGCACCAGCCGAAATAACGTGAAGAGAATCGGACACTCATTAAGTTCAAAGCCATTACGCTCACAAGGAACCAACCGCCCATAGTCCAGTTATCCTTTCTACCCCCGCAAGTCGAGACACCATTCCTAGACACACCTCACCTTTATATTAGGAATATTTCAAGTGTTATAGTCATGCAAGTCTCATGGCACCACTTCGAGCACATACTTCTGAGAGAACCCAAAGAATATGGAAATAAGATACAGTCTAGCACACTGCTAGGCTCTAACCAAGCGAGCCGGGCTATTTCAGGCTGTTGGAGTAAGAGCCAAGTGCCCCACGCGGAGGCGGAGCCACTAAACCTCGCTTATCCAGGCCTTGTTAGCACTTTATTCCAACGTCGACGTCGTCGTCGCCGATTCTTGAGAACAGTTATTGAGGTTCAGATCGTCAGCTCAGCAGTCAAGCGTGAAAGGGCTATATTGTCCACGTTCTTAATGAGGATCAAAGCACCTCCAGTAACAGATATGGGGTCTGAGGATTTTTTTCATCTTGTAGGTCTTGACGAGTGCCTCATGCATATATGGGCCCTGACCGGCCGATCAAGGGCAAGAAAGGTCGCTTCTTCGTCTTCAGTCAAGTTCGATTCTCATTCAAATGGAATCATGGTCTACTGCAAATGATCATCATCGTTCTAGGTCTATAACCGGTTCGTTTGTGCACATTAGGTATCTAACCCGTTCTTTCTCGTTCATCTTGTTCCTAATAATAGTTCAGCATAAAGGTCATCCACACACACTTGTTCTTTTCACAACACGGTGGTAGTTACGAAACCTGACAATAAGTGCGACAAGGACGCACGGAATAAACAGGGTGAAAGATATAACAAAAAGTACAGATCAGGAGAAGAGCCAAAAAGAAAAAAAAATCAGCCCAACGTGGGACTCGAACCCACAGCCTCAAGATTAGAAGTCTTGCGCGCTACCGATTGCGCCAGCCGGGCGCTGATATGTTAGTGCAGTTTTGAATTTTGCGGCCTATACCTGTGGGACTAATTTTGCTTGGTTGTGGCTTAAGGATGGCAAATTCCTTTGTACATGATCCGTTTTTCACGAAAATGCTCTTTATTATGCGCAACAGAACAACCATATGTCAGTAATAGATAAAGAAGTCTGTAAGGCCTACATAGCTAGCCTGATTGTCAAGTTGTTTCTGGGAGATTGTGTCGCTCACACTCCCACCTACAGTCGGAGTTGGTGTACTGAGATTTGACACCAAATTGTACAGCCCAAACACTCGCAAGCGATCGACGAAGAAAATTGAAATGAAAGGGTGAATTCCGTCGTGCTAATCTGTCATCGTTAAATTTACATCCCAATATTGTTATATAACCCAAATTCCAGAAACCGACGAAAAGTTGGGTTACGTCTGTCGGTCTTACTGAAAACTTCAGTACACAGCCAGTATGCCGTGGTCACTCAGTGATGCCGCTTGACTTATGTCAACATAAGAACTATTTGTGGGCAGAAAGGAGCTGATATAACCACTTCTACTTTATTGCCACCCTAAGTTCACCTCTCACGAATAAGAAATGACTTATTTCTGCGGTCGTCAGCGGCCTCGGCACTTTTGAACAGGAGCTGACTGTGCATGAAAACCAGCTTTGAGCCTGGTTAGAAATTTGAGACATTCTCTGGCGGATGGGTGGGTACTAGGGAAATCTGTGTTCATCGTCAAGTTTCCCGAGATGAGACCTCAGCTGAGGTTGTATTCGGGAATCCTGGCCGTGTTGATGGGAATCAGATGCAGGCAGCGTTCAAAGGTGATAGGTCCCAGATGCGAGGCGACATAAATGTTACTTTGCCAGTGCATAGCGTCTATATTCTTCCATCCGCTACATAACAAGATCGCAGAGGAAGTCAATGTACTCTAACTACAAACATCCATCTTGGTCCCGTTTCACACAGGAGAGAGGCCAACCTGTTCCCATCCTCTGCGTATTCGATATTCAGCCACGATAGGTACCTTATATAGCCCGTGTATCTTTTCGCCGCGAATAGTATTCCAACAGAAGTGCTTCTCTTTTTCTTGCGTGTGCTATGTACCATTTAGTCGGGCGGGGAGTGGTTGGGTGGAACTGAAAAAATAGGGGACCAAGGGCCAAAAACCATTCCCACGATGCATGTCACCTATCATGTGTTTAAATTGCAGGTCCAAAATCCAGTACGTAGTGCTCAGAAACCAGACGTGGGCGATTCTTGACTTCGGGACGTTTACCCCCCTGTACTGCTTGGTGTGCAGGGGAGAGACAGCTCGGTAGTAAGAGCCGAGGCTCTGGGGTCCCGCATTGCGTGTACGCAGTAGATCGCCTCGCTTCGTTCGCTTCCAGGTTGTTTTCTTCGATGACGACTACCGATCGTAAATCGACACTTTCGTTACCTCCGCCAGATCCGGGTATTGGGTTTGAAGAAGAACGTCATCTTTGAGTGCTTGGTGTGTTACATTGCTCCGTTTCTGTTTTCCTTCGACGCAATCAGCAAAGCGAGTTAGCCATCACATCGAAGCAGCAGTCAAGTGACAAGCAGACATTGCCGAGACGGAGCAGACGAGAGCTACGGTATATGCAACTTACACAACGAATGCGACATCTCGAGCCCTTTGGTGGTAACCGATCTTACTTGGGAGTGGGACTGGAGCTGAAGCTCGAAATACTCACGGCCTGTGACGGGACTGAAAGGATCGGAAATATTTCTTTTGCCTTGGGCACAGCCTCTGGGGGTGGCGATGACGCCGAGCCGCTGTTAGGAACCTCAAGCCAGACACCGGTGCCGGTACCTTGTCCGTGATCTATTGCGTTTCTTCTGGCAGCGTGGTTGCTGTAATGGCTGCGGGACGGACTGCGCCGACCGTGATAGGCGGCTCCTTGAGGAGCAGCAGTAGCGGAATTAAGGCCGGGCACGGAGGAGCCAATGGACGGCCAGTTGGTTCGAGCCGAGTCAAATACTCCAGTGTTAGGAGAGGCCGAAGGCTCTGAATGTGCCAGGGACACAAGACGGTGGCTTCTGACGGATGTGGGATCCCAGCTTGCCCCGGAGTCCCGGTTGAAACGTTTCGAATCGTCTGGGTGGTCATTCGCTGTGATGTGGGCTGGAGCTTTGTGAGCTTGTTCTGGCTTCTTGAGAACTGCCGGAATGACCGATTGCTGAGGTTTGAGAGCCAAGGGAGTTTGATGCTGTTTCTCCAGTCGATCCTCCTCAGTCTCAGCGGGCTTGATCCAGCCACGCTTTTCCAGGGAAGCCCAGCATCGTTTCAATGTCTGCTGGTTCAGGCGACGATTGATATAGAAGACCAAAAATCCAAGGCCAATGACCCCGGCGATAACGAGAATACTGGTTTTACCATGTTCCTCAAGCTCCGGTGAACCCATTTTTGGCAATCGTTGAATTGACTGGATCGGAGAGGATGATTTCCGCTCGTCGAGTCCTTTTTCAATTATTCATCCATTTTCCCTCTAGTATAGTGTCCTTGGTTAGAACCATTTTTTCGAGCAGACTGGGAAGAACGCATGCTCAATGCACTCATGACCTTGCTAACAGACATTACTTGACCGTAGATACGAGCTGCGGTCGTTACGGGAATCAGATATCGGACATGAAGCACTCGCGCTTGGCTGCGTCTGCCTCCAGTGGTGTTTTGCCGCTGTTGCTGCCATGTTTTGTGTCGGCAGAATGAAGAAGTCCGTGCCTCAGCCAGTAGATAGAACATTGATCCTCGAGGTCCACGTCCGGATACTTTTAGCTCCGAGATAGAGATGAGATTTCGGCCTTGTCACCCGCAAGCCATAATTACGGAAGAAGCGGAGGAGAAGAGGACGACGAGCAGCACCTGGCGGCCTTCAAGGTTCTCAGAGTGGTCTGTGCACAGAAAGAATTTCTTGCCTGCCGGCTGCTCCCACGACGCCAAGGCCACCACCATCACCATCACCATCATCACCATCACCGCGCGGCAACTGTGCCCTTCAACCTTACAGAAAGAGGCTCGAGAGAGGATGGAGGATGCAGACCCGCGAACCCGGTGCGAGTGAGCGGCATTGGAGGCATTGACTGCAATCTTGAGATATTGCTCTCTTACCGCCATTTCGGTTTGCTCGTCGTCAGCGTTTATCCACTACTATTTCAAGTCGGACCAGGGGGCAACGCATATCCGGAAGACATAATGATACGTACCTTCTGAATCCACCCACACACCTCTAATCTCGGAGAGCGCCGCCTAGGCGGCAGCACCGCCCCAGTGGAGGCAAATAAAAAAAAACAATAATATAAATTCCATTTTTTATCCTAAATTCTTAAAAAATATTAAAGTATCGCAGCAGAAACGCATCAAACCAAACATTAAAGGGTAATAATACAATACAATAGTATAATACTAATATTCAATATACTATAATAAAAATTAAATTATATATAAATATACTATTTATAAAGAAATTTCTATTATTTATTTTAAATTTACCGTTACTTTTATTGAATTATCAATATTACAATATAGTAAATTTCTCAGCAGTACAAAATCAATAGTATAGCAGTAGTTAAATCACTCGGCGAAAAAAAAAATATAATATACAAAGATTAAATAAATTAATTTACTTCTTAAATACGTTTTTTCAAAGGTTCTTTTACTAAATAATATTAAAAGAAACTACTACCGCAAACATCACAAATATTACTATTAATATTATTAAAATAGATCTTGCAATTAATTATAATTAAATTCTTTAACTATAGGATATTAAAATCGACCTTATAGACCTCCCTCCTAATTTTTTTAATAATATTTTATTCGATCGAATATTATTAACCTTCGAAAAGAATTAAGAAGAGCTACTACTATTAATAGATTAAAATAACTTTATTAGTAGTAATAGTGCTAAATTTACTTAAATTTTATTAAACCCTAATATTAAAAGGGAGGGTAAAGCTATTTTTAAATTATAAAAGAAAAATAATAATTTAAATACTAAAAAATAATTTCTATTTTAAAATTAATCGAACTACCTGCTAAGCCCAATACTAAACCTAACGTTAAACCCAATATTAAACCCAATATTAAACCCGCCGAGCCTATTAAACCCACTACTCCCGTTAAACCCGCTACTCCTACTAAACCCGCTACTCCTATTACTCCTACTACTCCCGCTACTCCTATTAAACCTATTAAATCCGCTACTCCTATTAAACCTACTACTCCTGCTAAACCCGCTACTCCTACCGAGCCTACTAAACCTATTAAGCTTATTACCCCTATTAAACCTATTACTCCAATTCTTCCTACCGAACCCGATAATCCTTTTAATACTCTACCAAATCTTACCAAATACTAAATAACTTTCTTTCTATATAATAAGAGAATAAACTATACTACGGAGGAATAGGCTCGTTATATACTATTTTTTAATATAATTTTTACCCCCGCTTAAAAAGGGTATAAACGACTATTTCCCAATCTATTTAGTACAATAGAAATTAATATTCAAACTTTTGCTTATTAACTATATAGTAATAATAAATATTATAAGTAAGGAGGTACTAAAGTACGGGCGAAACCAACCTATATTGGAATTTAATATTTAAAAAACATTCGTAAAATAATATTTCTAAATAAATTAATAAACTTTCAACCATCTACTATACCCTGTACTTCTAAAACCCCTAGGTTAAACAACTCTTCCTATAACTATACTCTAACATTTCTAAATAAAAATAAAATTCTAAAGAATATCCGGACGTACATTACTAAAAAAACTAATCGTAGCTTACTTACTACTACCCTCTTTACTTAATTATATAATAGCTATAATCGAAATATAAAACGTAAAAAGGTATTACACAAAACAGACGGACGCTAGCTTACTAGGCAAAATATTATTAATACGGGCCGTACATAGTAGAAGAAGCATTCTAACCTATAGCGAATATTAAGCAACAATTTTACTAAGGATATTCAAATAAAATAAATATTAAAACATCTTACTTCGTAACACCCCGACCCAACTAAATTAAAAGTAATAATTTAATTTACTATATCTATTACTATTACCTGTAAAATAAACGGCCAAAAATCCTCGGGTATAATATAGGCTTCATCCAAACAGTTTAAAACCTTATAATGCCGTGGCTTCTTTATACTTATAAATACTACTTACAATACGAATTAACTTAGCTAATACCTCTATATACTATTTATTTAAAACGAATAAGGAAAATAATTACTATATAGCTACTTTCTTACTAAAAAAGCAAATACTAATATAATAGTAAAAACACTATTAATAATCTATAGGTAGATTAAAGAACGGTACGTTCGGGAATAGCCACTTCGGTATATATTTACTAATAATTCGACTATTAAATAAAAGGTAGTTCGAAACGCTTTTAGTAATACCGATAATCCTAAGGTTCAATACTTACTTTACTATATCCACATAGAACAGACACTACGAAAGAAACTTTCCGCTAACGTACACCGGCTTTACTTAAATTATATAATTTAAGTATTAAAATACTATAAAATAAAGAGAGGCTATTTTAAATCTATCTATTCAATAAAAGCAACCTTATTAGGCGGAGATCCGTTAAAAAGGTATATTAAATAAAATTAGGAGTAAGTAACGTAGCTATAGGCAAACTAAGTTAGGGAATATTCCCCTCTACTCTTATAAATAAATAGTATTAATATAATATTTATTAATAGTAATTACTAATATTTTATAGGTTCTTATAACTAACCCTTTGGAAGGCTACTATAATGTTTTAAAATATAAGAATAAAGTAATTATACAATAGTTTTCGCTCTTAGGCATTATTAAATATATTATTTATATTAATAAATAATACTTCGACTACGCTGCGAAAGTACAAAATAATTTCCGTACCAAAACGGTTAATAACGCTACTTCTTTCCCCGGATTTAACCAATTCCCAATACTAGTATAGACTTTAATCCTACCCGAAGCGAAGGAGGGCAAACGCCTCTACTAAAGTAGTAAAAATATTAATATATTATATATTAATATTATATATATAGCCGCCAATGAATAAGAGAAGTTCAATTAGGAATCTATTACTTATACGTACCAATTTTATAAAAAGTAGCAACTACCTTATAAATATCTTTAGTACTACTATTTTATAAACTACTATTAAATTTTAACGGAGGTCCGCCTAACTTATTAATTAAAAGAATAGTAATTATATAACTTTAAACTATACGAATCTAAGGAGGTACAACGGTAAGAGTAGGTAAGGAATATAAAGAGGAGGAACCTAGCCTAAAAATAATAAATATAGGAGATTTCAGAACTATAAATAAATAAATTCTATAAATTCCAAATAATTATAAATCTCTAATATAGGCTAGGTATAAAAGAGGCAGAACGTACTTGTACATAAATAATTATAAAGGGCTGTAAATTATATGAATAATTTAACGTAAGGTATATAAATAGGGAAAGGCTACTATAGGAATAATATTGAAAGTAATAGTAATATATAATTTTAATAAAATATACAATATCCCGTAATAAATCTAATAGTTTATCGTTTATTATCCGCTATTTACCCTTAACTAATATTAAATTAATACTTAAACATTCCTCTATCTTACTTTTAAAGAATTTTAAATACGCTAAAAGCAGTTTTAAAGAAGTAATAAAACTTAAAACGTAAATGGTATAATAAAGGTTATTTCCTTTATTCTACTATATAATCTCCAAATATTCTTAGTAAATATCTTACTAAACTTTAATTATCTAAATAATAAGAATAAACTCCCTTTTCTATAGAAGTTCATTAATTAGAACTTAAATATCCTTCCTATTCACTTTTAGTACAATAATAACCTTAAAAATTTATAAACATTCTCTAATAAACTTCTTTTACACATTAATACTATCGGTATATAAACCCGTATTAATAGGTTCGGCGTATTTCTAATTAAACTCTCCCCTAATTACTATTAGAATTTAAAAGAATTAAACCCTAATAAAATTCAAATTTAAGCCTTAATTAAATTAATTATACTATTATTAATATTTTATTATTTTTAAATAATAATATTTAATATATCGAATAATTCAGAAACCTTCTAATAATAAACTTAGAATTATTAATACAACATATTAATCCCGTAGTAATTATTTACACATTATTAAATTCGAATTATTACCTCTCTATAAGAAATCTCGAACAACAATTTAATAGATTTAATGAAGTTTATTAGAACACTACTATAGGAATTAAATTCGAATTATTACCTCTCTATAGAAGGTTTCGAATAATAATTTAATAGATTTAGTAAAATTCGTTAAAATACTACCGTAGGAAGACGGCGCTAGAAGGTTCGCTCCTAAGTAATATTTAATAGTATATAAATAGGTTTAATAAATTCTATATTAAAATTTCGAAGACCCGAAGCATTAGAAAACACACTTTTCTATTGATAGTTAGTACTATTAATAACTTTTTTTCTTCGCCGGCTTTAGGGTTAAAATTTTCTTTATTATTTAAATCGGACACTTCAGAATCCGAACCGTATTCATTACTATCGCTATTATTATTATTATTAATAAGGTTATTATTATACTATTTACAACTTCCCTATAATCCGCAATAATATTTACGCTTTTTAATTTTTAAATTTACTAAATTTCTTTTTAAACTTCTTAATCTCATTTTCTTTACTATTTCCAAAAAATATTAAACCGTTTCTAAAAAGTATAAAATTATTATTAGAAGATAGTAATAGAAAAAACGTAGAAAAGAAAGACCCGTACCGG